ATGACACGTTGTATTATGGCGGAAGAACAACTTGCGCGCCTTCAGCACTACATAGATACAAATCTTAAAAGGTACAACTGATTATCTATTGAGAATAACCTTGCCTTGATTATTGGCCTAAGAATCTTTTTCCCTCCTTTGATTAGAAGGTGCTGATGAAACAAACTGATTGTACTGATGAAGCAAAGACATCACCCTCCTGTGTGTGTGTGTGTGTGTTTGTGTGTGGGGGGGGAACGGGAGGGGGGGAACGGGAGGGGGGGAACGGGAGGGAAGCGGGGGACAGGATTGAAGTGGGGACGAAGCTATATATTTGCTTCATTTAGGCTTCTCATCCTTCTCTCTTTATATTGCAGATACCAAGAAGAAATTGTTCGTTTGCGAACATTGTTAGGAAATACTACTCCCGCTGCGCATTCAAGACGCTAGAACTGTGTAGTAATATACTTCAAAGCCATAATCAAAAGGCGGTTGTAAATATGTTGGATGCACTTCGAGTTATTTGTATTGTGTTATGGAGCATTTTTCGACCGAGTGATCAGGGTTTGTCGTGGGTTTTCTTTCCTACGCTCCATGATTGGTTAAGAAAATTCGCGCCACTCTCTCGACCAATCAGATCTAAGAAAAAGTCCAATTAAGACTTTCAGGACTTTCGCCAGAAGGTTTTGGTGCTGGGACACTAAAAAGGAAGAGTGCTGCATAATGTCTGGACGTTTTTAAGTCGTTGTACAGTTTTCCCTAAAAGTATTTATTAGTCATTTGTTGGAAGGAAGTGGACTTTACCATTCGAAAGAAAGTGTGTTTAAAACTGACTATCTTTGTTGTATTGCTCCTTATTATCGAAGTGATATGCTTATTTTAAACGATCCCTTGACCTGTTGTGGCTCATTTAATCGCAAGTTTTGTAAAAACTATAACTGGCATTGCAGGCGGTGTCACGCTGCCTCATTGAGGGCCTTTGATCAGACCAAGTTTGTCAGCGGTTTAGTGTGCACCCTGCTATGTCCATGGTGTATTTGTTATGGTGCGTCTGCAAATTGTAAACGATAGACCGATGCAGGGTAACTATTCAACAACTAATGTGTCAGGGGAATTATGATAATCGCAAATCTCGTTGTTTTGTAGGTCTAAAACACAAAGGTAGCCGTTGAGTCATTACGTTGGTGGCTATCTTAGTATTTCCCCTTAATACCGACGCAAAGATAACCATTAATTCTTTCCATTGATTAGTGGCTATCTTAGAATAGATTTCCCTATATACCGACGCAAATATAGCCGCTATGTCATTGCGTTGCTGGCTGTCTTAGGGTTTCCCTCTATACCGACGTAAATGTACCCGCTAAGTCATTGCGTTACTGGCTCTTAGGATTTCCCTATATACCGACACAAATGTGGTAGCCATTAAGTCATTGCTTTACCCGCTTTGTTATGGTCGGTAATATCAGTTATAAATCAACCGAAAAATTCAGTAGCCGCAAGAAATGCTCGTAGGTATAGACGAACGCAATTACGAATTTCGCCGTTTTTTTTAACGCCGATCACCCTTACTACGAACTTAATATTCCCTCTTCACCCGTAATTTTCTCATTGACCCCAATTCGACTGATGATGAAGCGACCTTTAGTAGGTAAAACTATGTCAAGGTCCACAACCAGAAGTACCGAGAAAAACTTGATTATCGTAACAGTGTTATACTCAGTTGATCATAGCTTTTTCTTTAATGTGGTGGCTCCTAAAGGAGCCGTTTGATTGAATGAAGAGTTGATATCCTCCTTATTTCTTGGCCGCCTTCTTCGGAGATTTCTTCGCTGCTTTCTTGGCGGGCTTTTTAGCTGCAGGCTTCTTCGCTGCGGGTTTTTTGGCCGCAGGCTTCTTTGCTGCTGGCTTTTTAGCGGCGGGTTTCTTCGCTGCTGGCTTCTTAGCGGCGGGTTTCTTTGCAGCCTTCTTGGCCGCTGGTTTCTTTACCGTCTTCTTGGCGGCGGGCTTCTTTGGTTTGACGGCAGGCTTCTTCTTTGCAGCTGGCTTCTTCTTCGGCTTCTTCTCCTTCTTTTCCACCTTGGCCACCCTGAAGGAACCAGAAGCACCAACTCCCTTGGTGTGGACAAGCTTGCCGCTAGTAACACCCCTCTTCAAAGCCATCTTCAAGTGCGAGCCGACCTCACCAACCTTGTAGTTAGCCTTGATGTACTTCTCGATGGCTTGGCGGGAAGAGCCGCTTCGCTCTTTCAACGCTAAGATGGCAGCTTTGATCATGTCTGCATAAGGTGGATGCTCAGCTGGCTTTTTGGGCGCAGCTGGCTTCTTTTTAGCGGGGGACTTTGCCTCGGACATACTGTTTGCTGTAGAACTTTCGGAACTAGGAGTAACAATGATTGCTTAGAGCGCGCTAGGCAATGTTATTGTTCGTGTACGGACCACCGAGGAAACAGGGTTGTTGCAAAATGGCGGCGTCCAAACTGTGTTAGTTTGTTTGACATTTTGGTTCACAACGAGCTAATTCAATAACATCGGATATTTTCTAGTCAAATAGAGCATAGCTAAGTTATCTCATAAAATGTAGGTGTGAAGTAAAGTTTGATTTACTAAAATTAAGAAGGTAACTTCACGGGCAAGAGTCTAGAAAGCATGGAGATTTAAACGAGAACTTTGAATGAATGATGAAAGAAGTTTTGTTTGAGTCACCTTTCATTCGTAAATTAAATGTCATATGAAAGAAGAAGTCCTAAACCATGCAATTGTTAAAAAAAATGAACATTTTGATGCATATTCGAAGGCAGAGCGGCCTCTAAACTCAAACAAGAAGAACAAAACTACAACATCCGCCATTTTATATGTGACTGACCTTGATAAGAGGTACAATGCTAAATGTCTCGATTGAAGTAAATCACTTGAAGCTGGGGCTTACTTTTATGGAAAATTTTTTTGAAAATTAACATCGATTGAACAAAGTTCTGAGCTTAGTTTTCTGGATTACCCCGTTACGGATCAGCCAAACAAGTTTTTGCATGAATTGGTCGCGCGCTCTCGACTCCCGGGCAAGATCAAGTTTGACAGTATTCTCAATAATGATTACAGTTGTTTATTTACACCTGCGAAAAAAATCAACCAGTTGCCGATGTAATATTCTTGCTAAACGTTGCAATAGGTTTACTAAACGTGTGATTTATGAAGTTCAGAAGAAAGCGCTATTATAGACTGGATGTGAACAGTTAATTCAATTGTTGATCAATATTGAGAGTTTTATTTGACGACGCAAAGGAATAAGAAGACCCGGGTTTCTCGTCTAACTACCCACCTTAGGAAAGAGGCTTCAAGTTTTTATATATCATAAAATTACAGTAGGGATGAAGTCTTCAGTTTTTAACGCATATGCAGCAAATGAGCTTTTTGTTGCATATTCAAAAGCAGAGCGGTCTCGAAGTTTAAACACGAAGTACGAGACTACAACGTCCGCCATTTCATACGTGACCTTGATAAAACCTGTGCTAAATGTCTCCAACGAAGAAATGTAGTCTATTGTAACTAATATTCCATAAAGCATCTGAGTAAAGTTTCTAATTAAGAAACCGATCTGAAATATGGCGAAACGTTCAAGTAAGCACTGATGATTTGCACAATACTAGCGCCAAAATCAAAGGGCCAAGTGAAGAATAAAACATGTTAATGATGAGTGGGTCTTGCTTTTATAGCAAATGTTTTGAAAATGAACAGCGATTGAACAAGGTTATGTGCATAGTTTTGTGGATTTGCCTCGTTACAGATCAGCCAAACCAGCTTTTGCATGAATTGGTTGCGTGCTCTCGACCTTCGGGCAAGATCGGAGTCAAGTTTGAGAGTATTCTTAAAATATGATTACAATAGATTTTTCACAAAGCAAAACATCAAAACCAATTGCCGATGTAGTATTCTTGCTAAACGCTGCAACAAGTTTCCTATATACGCGAGAAATTAAAGACGCGCGCTTGGTAAACGCGTTAATATATTTTGAGTTGCTAATGATATTTACTTCGGAATATTTGGTTAGTAGAAGCTCATAAAATTGGTCATTGCTTTTATTCATGTGGTGGCTCCTAAAGGAGCCGTTTGTGATTTGAAGCAAAGTGCACTTATGCTCGTTCTCCGCGGATTCGGCGGGCCAACTGAATGTCCTTTGGCATAATGGTGACACGCTTGGCGTGGATGGCGCACAAGTTGGTGTCTTCAAACAGACCAACAAGGTAAGCCTCGCTAGCTTCTTGAAGAGCCATCACAGCTGAGCTTTGGAAACGCAGATCAGTCTTAAAATCTTGAGCGATTTCTCGCACAAGACGCTGGAAGGGCAGCTTGCGGATCAAGAGCTCGGTGGATTTCTGGTAACGACGGATCTCACGAAGAGCGACTGTACCAGGTCTGTAACGATGAGGCTTCTTGACTCCACCGGTGGCGGGAGCGCTCTTACGAGCTGCCTTTGTGGCGAGCTGTTTTCGTGGAGCTTTTCCACCGGTTGATTTTCGTGCAGTTTGTTTCGTACGTGCCATCCTGTTCAACGACTCAAAATAACTGATAATGGAAAGTTGTGTATAGAAATTGATTTATACCTGGCGGGCTTACTTGTGATTGGCTCAAAATGAAGAGATTTGATTGGTTAGGTACGAAAGCTGCAAATAATTTCATGGATATGCTGTTATTTGGATCCGAAGTAACATGGAAGGTCGTTTAGGCATAGGCCAAATATGATCGTCATTTTAAGTTTAATATATAGCATAACTAAAGAGAAAAGCCAATTATCAGCGAGTAACTTTTGGATGAAAGAGAGTTTTTTTCCATCGAAAACATACGCGCGCGGAAAGACCGTGTGATTTAAGTTAATATATGTTAATATAACACTAAAACTATGCTTAGATATTTAAATCAACCAATAGCAACCCTTATTTCCATTCTGTTTTCTGAGAGGTCTTATCTTTCTGTATAAAATCTAGTAACGTTCGTTCAATCGCCATAACTCAAACACACGATTAATAATCAACATGTCAGGTCGTGGCAAAGGAGGTAAAGGTCTCGGAAAAGGAGGCGCCAAGCGTCATCGAAAGATCCTTCGTGATAACATCCAAGGTATCACCAAGCCAGCCATCCGTCGTCTTGCTCGCCGTGGCGGTGTCAAGCGAATCTCCGGCCTCATCTACGAGGAGACCCGTGGTGTTCTCAAAGTCTTTCTTGAGAACGTGATTCGTGATGCTGTGACATACACAGAGCACGCCAAGAGAAAGACCGTGACAGCCATGGATGTGGTGTACGCTCTGAAGAGACAAGGCCGCACTCTGTACGGATTTGGCGGTTAGACAGACCATCCTGGCACAATACAAACGGCTCCTTTAGGAGCCACCAAATGCAAAGAAAGTCATGATCAATACACATGTTTGCCTTTTCTCAGTGTGTTACGAACGCTTACATCTCGCTCATTCATTTGCTAAACAAAACGATTGCACCATCCGTGCGCGTCACGATATGGGGCAGCAGCTTGGAAAGAGAACATTGCGCGCAAACGAAGAACGGATGAAATCCCCTTGGCATTACTTGCCCGCTTTCTCTTTTCCCTCTTCCTTCCCTTCCTCTAACCTTGTTTCTACAGTTGAATATTTATACAACCATAATGATTTTCCTTAAAGCTATACACGATCCAGTTGCATACTTCGCTGGTGCTTGTTAGTATCGTATCACTTTCTTCCCGAAATTTGTTTCATGAATCGCGTGAGTATAAATTGACCATACAATTAAAGTCAAGCCAGCTAACTTTCAAACTGCAATTAGAAGCAATTTCTTATAACTGCCAGTAATGTCGTAATAAAAGATTCAACGATAAACGATTTTGGCGCGCAACTCACGCACATTTGCGTCAAGTAAAAATTCCGACGTCGTTATTTCTAAGATCTTGGTGCGCGTAAACTCTGTACGGATTTGGCGGTTAGACAGACCGCCCTGACACAATACAAACCGCTCTTTTAGGAGCCACCCGATAAGAAAAGTCGTGACCAATAAATTTGTTTCCCTTTATGCGTGAATTAAAATTGTATATCCTTCACTCGTTCTGTTTAACAAATCGCGCATCACTATAAAGTATTGAAGCGCGAAGAACAGCACATCCCATGCAATGGAATGATGAATAAAGTCGCCCAAACATTCTATCGCATGGCAGCCCTGACTCGCTTTCACTGTTCTCTCTCAAGCCTTGTTTTGCCATTGTAATATTTAAAATGACCATGGTTTCCTTCCAAGCTACACATCGTCAAGCTGTATTTTCCAAGCACGCCTGATTAATACATTTTTTTCCTATCTGATTTTTGTTTCGTCGTTCGCATGAGATACATTGACAGAACATTAAAATTCACACCGGCCTTCCCTCAGACTTTCAAACTGGATTTGGGCGTAATTTGTTATAACCGCCGGAGATGTCCACAAAAATAAAATTCAGCAATCAACGAGTTTAGCGCGTGAGCTACACAACTTTGCGTCGAATAACGTATCGGAAGTCGTTATTTCTACGATTTTGGTGCGCGAAAACTTAATAATGTTATTTTGGTCGTTGATCGACATTCGTGTCCAAAGATTCTTTGGATTTATCACTTCATGACATAAAATTGGAAACTGGGGTGGAGGGGTTCTGAGATGATATTTTCATAGTTCTTATTCACCTCATCGTATCTAGCTAGTCAAGACTTTTGTATTATGTGGTGGCTCCTAAAGGAGCCGTTTTTGATGGGTTAAGGCTGACTTATGCCTTGGGTTTCTTCTCGGTCTTCTTGGGCAGAAGTACAGCTTGGATGTTAGGAAGAACACCTCCCTGTGCGATTGTGACACCGGCCAGAAGTTTGTTCAACTCCTCGTCATTACGGACAGCCAGCTGAAGGTGACGGGGAATGATTCTTGTCTTTTTATTGTCACGAGCAGCGTTGCCCGCCAACTCAAGGATCTCAGCGCTCAGATATTCGAGCACAGCAGCCAAGTACACTGGAGCCCCGGCGCCAACTCGCTCAGCGTAATTGCCTTTGCGGAGAAGACGGTGAATTCGACCAACTGGGAATTGAAGCCCTGCTCGGGATGAGCGGCTCTTGGACTTAGTGCCCTTAGCTTTTCCTTTACCGCGACCAGACATGTTTGTCGTGAATTGCTTGACTGCTAACAATGAGAATGAATGGGTAACCCTTACCAAGTCTGTTATTTATAGTTCGTTCATTATGCAGGAAGGATCGAAAAGCACCAATCAATTTTAAGCTTCGCACAATTTGATGGCATTGTAATTTTCTGATTAAAGAAAGAATAACATACAAATTGACCCACTGGGTTAGTATATCGTAACAGGCCAATCATTGATCGAGAATTTCGATCCGTATGCTAATAGATCCTCTTACGATTCTGATATAAATACAAGACGAGTTGCGCTGCACATCTATTCATTTTGTATTGATTTAGCAAGATGCCAGCCAAAGTTGCAGGAAAGAAAGGCGAGAAAAAAGCCGGAAAGGCTAAAGCCATTGCTGATGGAAAGAAGAAGAGGAGAGGAAAGAGAAGGGAAAGCTATGCTATCTACATCTACAAGGTGTTGAAGCAAGTTCACCCTGACACTGGTATCTCCAGCAAAGCCATGGGCATCATGAACTCGTTCGTTAACGACATCTTCGAGCGCATCGCCACCGAAGCTTCCCGCCTTGCCCACTACAACAAGAAGTCGACCATCAGCTCACGCGAGATTCAGACTGCCATCAGGCTGCTTCTGCCCGGTGAACTGGCTAAACACGCCGTAAGTGAAGGAACCAAGGCTGTGACGAAGTACACCAGCAGCAAGTAAACTCACTTTGTGGGTTTCCCGCCAAAACCAACGGCTCTATTAGGAGCCACCAAATATTATGAAAGTCAATTATTAACGCAATACGAGCTTTAAAAAATGATAATGTTTCCCCTAGTACCAACCATTATAGTTCCGATCAAGTTTAAGTCTGCTTTGTACGTCAGTTCGGTTTTTAAACGGACCGCAGGAACTGTATTCTTGACGAAACGAAACAAAAAATTTCAAATGAGGAAGCACAGCAAACATGAGTCATAGATGGACGGGGAAAGGAAGGGAAGATTATTGTCCATGATTCATCTTACGAAATGTCACACTGAACATTAATACTTTGAAGAGTCAGTGTTTATTTAATTTTTTCTTTAAATTGACAAGAGTAACTGCTCGATCACTTATTGTCTGACCAAACGCTGGTTTATTCCAGAAACAAGATCGATGTAGAGTGGATCTCCGGAGTTCAACGCTTTCCTTAGCGACTTACCTACTCGACGCGGCTGGATTTTAACGCAAATATGTGCAAGTAATGATTGAATGAGCTACGAGAAACAGGCGGCCTGACTTAACCTGAGAAGTAGAGTCAGACATTTACCTCACCCAATTCTTTCATTTTAGCGTTTTACAAATCATTAATTAGCTGTTATCTAAAAAGCTCTTATCTTCAAGCGTGCTCCATCTAAACAATCGAGAGGTAGCCTGTGATGCTCATGATCTTGGATGCGCTTAAAGCGGGAACATCGGTTAGGCGAGTAGAAAAAACCTTTTCTCTTAAGTCCCAGGCCTCCCGCGGTATCTTCGCTCGTTTCAACACCTGAATTGAAGCACAAATGCCGCCAGCTACATGCAATACTCGACAAAGTTAAAGTTTCAAGCGAACAGAAATCTTTGGAGTGTACAAGTAACGACTGACGACTTTTTCAGTATTGAGATATTCTCTAGAGACTGATGGTTGTTTCGCTCTTGTTTATCTTTGTCTGTAGGCAGGGAGAACGTGATGCGTGACGAGATTATTAACACCGCTATGTAACTGGTGTATCTGTCATGGCTTGTCTGTAGCAAAATTGTTAGAATTACAAAAACAAAAAATTTACGTGCCTATTCGAAAATTTAACCTAATTCTGAATGACGATTAAGCGGCCATTAATGGTAAAACTGGGGTGAGGGCCATAACCTTAATTATCGGAAAGTTGAACTGGAACATCTAAGACGGTTTTATTACTCAGTTGGTCATAACTTTTCCTTTTACGTGGTGGCTCCTAAAGGAGCCGTTTGATTGAATGAAGCGTTGATATCCTCCTTATTTCTTGGCCGCCTTCTTCGGTGATTTCTTCGCTGCTTTCTTGACGGGCTTTTTAGCTGCAGGCTTCTTCGCTGCGGGTTTTTTGGCCGCGGGTTTCTTTGCTGCTGGTTTTTTAGCAGCGGGTTTTTTCGCTGCTGGCTTCTTAGCGGCGGGTTTCTTCGCTGCTGGCTTTTTGGCCGCGGGTTTCTTTGCTTTCTTCTTGGCGGCGGGCTTCTTTGGTTTGGCAGCAGGCTTCTTCTTTGCAGCTGGCTTCTTCTTCGGCTTCTTCTCCTTCTTTTCCTCCTTGGCCACCTTGAAGGAACCAGAAGCACCAACTCCCTTGGTGTGGACAAGCTTGCCACTAGTAACACCCCTCTTCAAAGCCATCTTCAAGTGCGAGCCGACCTCACCAACTTTGTAGTTGGCCTTGATGTACTTCTCGATGGCTTGGCGGGAAGAGCCGCTTCGCTCTTTCAACGCTAAGATGGCAGCTTTGATCATGTCTGCATAAGGTGGATGCTCAGCTGGCTTTTTGGGCGCAGCTGGCTTCTTTTTAGCGGGGGACTTTGCCTCGGACATCTTGTTTGCTGTAGAACTTTCGGAACTAGGAGTAACAATGATTGCTTAGAGCGCGCTAGGCAATATTATTCTTCGTGTACGGACCACCGAGGAAACAGGGTTGTTGCAAAATGGCGGCGTCCAAACTGTGTTAGTTTGTTTGACATTTTGGTCCAAAACGCGCTAATTCAATAACATCAGATATTTTCTAGTCAAATAGAGCATAGCTACGTTATCTCATAAAATGTAGATGTAAAGTAAAGTTTGATTTACTAAAATTAAGAATGAAATTTCGGGGTCAAAAGTCTACAGAGTATTGAGGTTCAAACAAGAACTTTGAATGAATGATGAAAGAAGTTTTGTTTGAGTCACTTTTTATTAGTATATTATATATCATATGAAAGAAAAAGTCCTTAACTTTGTAATTTTTTGATAAAATAAAGATTTTAATGCATATTCGAAGGCCGAGCGGCCTCTGAACTCAAACAAGAAGAACAAAACTACAACATCTGCCATTTTGTATATGACTCACCTATGAGAGGTACAATACTAAATGTCTCGATTGAAGTAAATGACTCGAGGCTGGGCCTTGCTTTTATAGCAATTTTTTTTAATTAACAGCGATTGAACAAGTTTCTATGCATAGTTTTGTGGATTTACCTCGTTACGGATCAGCCAAACCAGTTTTTGGTCGCGCGCTCTCGACCTCGGGCAAGATCGGAGTCAAGTTTGCGCGCTCTCGATCTCGGGCAGGTTGGGAGTCAAGTTTGAAAGTGTATTCTTAAAATATGATTAAAATGGATTGTTCACAAAGTAAAACGTCAAAACTAGCTGGCGATGTAATATTCGTGCTAAACCTACCCTAGCTTTCTTATGCGTGAGATATGTGAAGTTCAGAAGTAAGAGCAGTAATAGACAAGATGTAAACAGTCCAGTCAATTGTCGACCGATTGAGAGTTATATTTAACTATTCTTACTATTTTTAAGTAATAAGAAGGCCCAGGCTTCTCGTCTAATTAAGCACCCCAAGAAAGAAGCTTCAAGTTTTAATTTATGATAAAGTAACGGAAGGAGAGGTGCTAAACTTTGAATGCGTATGGAGGAAATGAGCTTTCGTTGCATATTCAAAGGCAGAGTGATTACGAAATTTGAACACGAAGAACAAAACTAGAACGCCCGCCATACGTGACTTTCGGAAGACCTGTGCTAAACGTCTCGAATGAGGAAATGCAGTTTATATTGTAAACTTAAACTTCATGAAACATTTGCGTAAAGGTTTTTAATTCAGAAACCGACAAGAAAAATGGCGAGAAGGCGCTCATGATTTGCATAATACTAGCGCCAAAATTAAAGGATTAAGCAACAGGATAAAACCTGTAAATAAAGACTGGTAAAACACATGTACGCTTTGGTTATGTTAGGAGTGAAATAACCTTTGTTTTCATATACTGTGCAGGATGTTAAATCAGAAATCTATGAAATCTAAACTTGCTGCTAAAGATGCGCACTTTTTAAACGCGGTATTATATTTTGAGTTTCTAATGATGTTTACTTCGGAATATTTGGTTAGTAGAAGCTCATAAAATTGGTCATTGCTTTTATTCATGTGGTGGCTCCTAAAGGAGCCGTTTGTGATTTGAAGCGAAGTGCACTTATGCTCGTTCTCCGCGGATTCGGCGGGCCAACTGAATGTCCTTAGGCATGATGGTGACACGCTTGGCGTGGATGGCGCACAAGTTGGTGTCTTCAAACAGACCAACAAGGTAAGCCTCGCTAGCTTCTTGAAGAGCCATCACAGCCGAGCTCTGGAAACGCAGATCTGTCTTGAAATCTTGAGCGATTTCTCGCACAAGACGCTGGAAGGGCAGCTTGCGGATCAAGAGCTCGGTGGATTTCTGGTAACGACGGATCTCACGAAGAGCGACTGTACCAGGTCTGTAACGATGAGGCTTTTTGACTCCACCGGTGGCAGGAGCGCTCTTACGAGCTGCCTTTGTGGCGAGCTGTTTTCGTGGAGCTTTTCCACCGGTTGATTTTCGTGCAGTTTGTTTCGTACGTGCCATCCTGTTCAACGACTTAATAACTGATAATAGGAAGTTATGTATAGAAATGGATTTATACCTGGCGGGCTTACTTGTGATTGGCTCAAAATAAAGAGATTTGATTGGGTAGGTACGAAAGCTGTGAATAATTTCATGGATCTGCTATGTTATTTGGATCCGAAGTAACATGGAAGGTCGTTTAGGCATAAGCTATTTATTATCTTCATCTAAAATTTAATATATAGCATAACTAAAGAGAAAAACCAACTCTAAGCGAATGTTGCACATAACTTTGGATCAGGAACAGAGTTATTTTCCATCGAAAACATACGCGCGCGGGAATATCTTGTGATTTATGTCAATACATGTTAATATAACACTAAAAAATTATGCTTAGATATTTAAATCAACCAATAGCAACCCTCATTACTATTCTGTTTTCTAAGAGGTCATATCTCTCTGTATAAAATCTAGTAACGTTCGTTCATTTGCCATAACTTAAACACGAGTGATAATCAGTATGTCTGGTCGTGGTAAAGGAGGTAAAGGTCTCGGAAAAGGTGGCGCTAAGCGTCACCGAAAGATCCTTCGTGATAACATCCAAGGTATCACCAAGCCAGCCATCCGTCGTCTTGCTCGCCGTGGCGGTGTCAAGCGAATCTCCGGCCTCATCTACGAGGAGACCCGTGGTGTTCTCAAAGTCTTTCTTGAGAACGTGATTCGTGATGCTGTGACATACACGGAGCACGCCAAGAGAAAGACTGTGACAGCCATGGATGTGGTGTACGCTCTGAAGAGACAAGGCCGCACTCTGTACGGATTTGGCGGTTAGACAGACCATCCTGACACAATACAAACGGCTCCTTTAGGAGCCACCAAATGCAAAGAAAGTCATGATCAATACACATGTATGCCTTTTCTAAGTGTGTTACAAACGCTTACGTTTCGCTCATACATTTGCTAAACAAAATGATTGCACCATCCGCGCGCGTCACGATATGGGGCAGCAGCTTGGAAAGAGAACATTGCGCGCAAACGAAGAACACATGAAATCTCGTTGCGTACTTCGCTTGTTGCTTGTTTGTAACCTGCATCACTTTCCTCCTTTTCCGAGTGTTCTTTTATGAATCGTATGAGTATAAATTGGCTATAAAATCAAAATCAAGCCAGCTAACTTTCAAACTGGAATTAGACACAATTTCCTATAACCCCCAGTGACGTGGACATAAAAGATTCAACGATAAACGATTTTGGCGCGAAACTCACGCACATTTGCGTCAAGTTAAAGTTCCGACGTCGTTATTTCTAACATCTTGGTGCGTGTAAACTCTGTACGGATTTGTCGGTTAGACAGACCCTCCTGACGCAATACAAACGGCTCTTGTAGGAGCCATCAATTATAAAAAAAGTCGTGAGCAATAAATTTGTTTCCCTTTACGCGTGAATAAAAACCGTACATCCTTCACTCATTCTGTTAAACAAATCGCGCGTCACTATAAAGTATTGAAGCGCGAATAACAGCACATGGCATGCAAAGGAATAATGAAAAAAGTCGCCCAAACATTTTATCACATGGTAGCCCTGACTCGCTTTTGCTGTTCGCTTTCAAGTATTGTTTCGCCATTTTAATATTTGACACGACCATAGTTTTCTTCCAAGCTACAAATCATCAAGCTGTATTTTCAAGCACGCCTGTTAATACATTTTCTTTCCAATCCGATTTTTGTTTCGCGGGTCGCATGAGATACATTGACAGAGTACAATAAAATTCATACCGGCTTACCGTCAAACTTTCAAACTGGATTTGGGCGTAATTTGTTATAACCGCCAGTGATGTCTACAAAAACGAAATTCAGCGATCAACGATTGTGGCGCGAGAGTTACACACCTTTACGTTTAAGAACATCTCTGAAGTCGTTATTTGTACGATTTTGGTCCGCGCAAAAAAACTTCACGAAGCGTATTTGGCGTTAGGCGACATTCGTGTCCAAAGATTCCTTGTATTTATCACTTCATGACAAAATTGGAAACTGGGGTAGAAGGGTTCTGAGATGATATTTTCATAGTTCTTATTCACCTCATCGTATCTAGCTAGTCAAGACTTTTGTATTATGTGGTGGCTCCTAAAGGAGCCGTTTTTGATGGGTTAAGGCTGATTTATGCCTTGGGTTTCTTCTCGGTCTTCTTGGGCAGAAGTACTGCTTGGATGTTAGGAAGAACACCTCCCTGTGCGATTGTGACACCGGCAAGAAGTTTGTTCAACTCCTCGTCATTACGGACAGCAAGCTGAAGGTGACGGGGAATGATTCTTGTCTTCTTGTTGTCACGAGCAGCGTTGCCCGCCAACTCAAGGATCTCAGCGCTCAGATATTCGAGCACAGCAGCCAAGTACACTGGAGCACCGGCGCCAACTCGCTCAGCGTAATTGCCTTTGCGGAGAAGACGGTGAATTCGACCAACTGGGAATTGAAGCCCTGCTCGAGATGAGCGGCTCTTAGACTTAGTGCCCTTTGCTTTTCCTTTACCGCGACCAGACATGTTTGTAGTGTAATGCGTTGACTGTTATCAATCAGAATAGCTATTGTACCAGCAACCTCGGTTATTTATAGTTCGTTAAATATGCAAGAGAGATCGAAAGTCACCAATCACATGAATCTTCAGTAGTATGATAGAATAACAAGCAAACTGACCCACGGGGTTAGTATATCGTAATAAACCAATCATTGATCGAGAATTTCGATCCGTATGGTAATAGATCCTTGTACGATTCTGATATAAATACAAGACGAGTTGCGCGGCACATCTATTCATCTTTGTTAATTAGCAAGATGCCAGCCAAAGTTGCAGGAAAGAAAGGCGAGAAGAAAGCCGGAAAGGCTAAAGCCATTGCTGATGGAAAGAAGAAGAGGAGAGGAAAGAGAAGGGAAAGCTATGCTATCTACATCTACAAGGTGTTGAAGCAAGTTCACCCTGACACTGGTATCTCCAGCAAAGCCATGGGCATCATGAACTCGTTCGTTAACGACATCTTCGAGCGCATCGCCACCGAAGCTTCCCGCCTTGCCCATTACAACAAGAAGTCGACCATCAGCTCTCGCGAGATCCAGACTGCTATCAGGCTGCTTCTGCCCGGTGAACTGGCTAAACACGCTGTGAGCGAAGGAACCAAAGCTGTGACGAAGTACACCAGCAGCAAGTAAACTCACTTTGTGGGTTTCCCGCCAAATCCAACGGCTCTTTTAGGAGCCACCAAATATCATGAAAGTCAATTGCGAACGCTATAAGAGCTTTATAAAATGAGAATGTTTCTCCTAGTATCAACTAGTATTTTGTTTTTAACCGGATTGTGCGAACTGTATTCTTGACGAAACGAAACAATTTTGCAAATGAAAAAGCGCAGCAAATATGAGTCATAGATGGACTGGCGAAGGAAGCGAAGACTACTGTTCATGATTTATTTAAAAAAATGTCACACTGAACATAAACGCTTTAAAGAACCAGTTTTTTTTTTCTTTTCAATTTACCTCGATCACATATTGTCTGCCCAAACGCTGATTTATTCCAGAAACGTGTTCCTTATACAGTAGATCTCCGGAGTTCAAAGCTTTTCTTAGCGGCCTACCTACTCGACGCGCTGGATTTTAATGCAAATATATGCAAGTGGTGATTAAATGAGCTGCAAGACACAAACGGCTTGATTTAACCTGTGTTATAGAGTTAGACCTTCACCTCAGCATATTCTTTCATTTTCGCTTAGTAAAAAGTGTACATTAGCCTGCGAACCTCTTAATCTTGAGCGGAAGCAGCGGATTAGCGAGTAGGGAAAGATAGAAAGTTTTTACACTTAAAGTGGAGCAAAAACACCTGCAAGCTACATACAATACTCGACAGAGATTAAGTTTCAAGAGAACAGAAATCTTTGGAGTCTACAAGTAACGATTAACGACTTTTTTTTAGTACGGAAATATTCTCCAGAGACCGATGGTTGTTTCTCTCTTGTTTATCTTTTGTCTGTAGGCGGGGAGAACGTGATGCGTGACGAGATTAACACTGCTAAGTAGCTGGTGTATCTGACATGGCGTGTCTGTAACAAAATTGTCAGGATAACATAGAGAAAAGTTTACGTGCCTATTCGAAATTGACGCGTTTTGCGCTCTTATAGCAGCCATTTTCTCATTTTAACTCATTCTGATTGACGATTAAGCGACCATTAATGGTAAAATCGGAGTGAGGGCCATGACCTTAATTATCGAAAAGTCGAACTGGAACATCTAAGACGGGATATTACTCAGTTGGTCATAACTTTTCCTTTTATGTGGTGGCTCCTAAAGGAGCCGTTTAATTTAATGAAGCGTTGATATCCTCTTTATTTCTTGGCCGCCTTCTTTGGTGATTTCTTCGCTGCTTTCTTGACGGGCTTTTTAGCTGCCGGCTTCTTCGCTGCGGGTTTTTTGGCCGCGGGTTTCTTTGCTGCTGGTTTTTTAGCAGCGGGTTTTTTAGCTGCTGGCTTCTTAGCGGCGGGTTTCTTCGCTGCTGGCTTTTTGGCGGCGGGTTTCTTTGCTTTTTTCTTGGCGGCGGGCTTCTTTGGTTTAGCAGCAGGCTTCTTCTTTGCAGCTGGCTTCTTCTTCGGCTTCTTCTCTTTCTTTTCCTCCTTGGCCACCTTGAAGGAACCAGAAGCACCAACTCCCTTGGTGTGGACAAGCTTGCCACTAGTAACACCCCTCTTCAAAGCCATCTTCAAGTGCGAGCCGACCTCACCAACCTTGTAGTTGGCCTTGATGTACTTCTCGATAGCTTGGCGGGAAGAGCCGCTTCGCTCTTTCAACGCTAAGATAGCAGCTTTAATCATGTCGGCATAAGGTGGATGCTCAGCTGGCTTTTTGGGCGCAGCTGGCTTCTTTTTAGCGGGGGACTTTGCCTCGGACATGTTGTTTGCTGTAGAACTTTCGGAACTAGGAGCAATAATGATTGCTAAGAGCGCGCGCAAGGTAATATTATTCTTTGTGTACGGACCACCGAGGAAACAGAGTTGTCGCAAAATGGCGGCGCCCAAACTGTGTTAGTTTGTTTGACATTTCGGTTCATAACGAGCTAATTCAATAACATCAGATATTTTCTTGTCATAAAGAGCATAGCTAAGTTATCTCATAAAATGTAGGTGTAAAGAAAAGTTTGATTTACTAAAATAAAGAATGAATTTTTAGGGTCAAAAGTGTAGAAAGCATTAAGGTTCAAACGAAAACTTTGAATTAATGATGAAAGGAGTTTTATTTGAGTCACTTTTCAATAGTATATTAAATATCATATGAAAGAAGAAGTCCCTAACTTTGTAATTGTTTGAGAAAATGAACATTTTGATGCATATTCGAAGGCAGAGCGGCCTCTAAACTCAAACAAGAAGAACAAAACTACAACATCCGCCATTTGTGATATGTGACTCACCTGGACGAGTGGTACAATGTTAAATGTCCCGACTGAAGAAAATGACTCGAAACTAGGTCTTACTTTTGTAGGAAACTTTTTAAAAATTAACAGCGGTTGAGCAAGTTTCTGTGCATAGTTTTTTTTGGATTTGCCTCGTTACGGATCAGCCAAACCAGTTTTTGCATGAATTGGTCGCGCGCTCTCGATCATAGGGCAAGATCGGAGTCAACTTTGAGAGTATTCTTAAAATATGATTACAATGGATTATTCACAAAGCAAAACATCAAAACCAGTTGGCGATGTAATATTCTTACTTAACCTGCAGTAGGTTTTTTATACGTGAGATATGTGAAGTTTAGAAGTAAGAGCAGTAATAGACTAGATGTAAACAGTTTATTCAATTGTCGATCGATTGAGAGTTTATGACGCAAAGAAATACGAAGGCACGGGCTTATTGTCTAACTAACTTCAAGTTTTTATAAATCATAAAATTACGTTAGGGAACGTAGCCTAAAAATTTAATTGTATATGGAGCAAATGAGCATTTCGTTGCATATTCAAAGGCATAGCAGTCTCGAAATTTGAACACGAAGAACAAAACAACAGCGTCCGCCATTTCATAGTTGACCTCGATAAGACCTGTGCTAAATGTCTCTAGTAAGAAAATGCAGTTTATATTGTAAACTTATATTTTATGAGACATCTGAGTTAAGTTTTTAATTAAGAAACCGATTGGAAAAATGGCGAAACGTTTCAGTTAGCCCCGATGATTTGCATAATACTAACGCCAAAATCAAAGGGCGAAGTGAAGACTTAAACACGTTACGAGGAGTGATAAAAAGTTAGTACGCTTTGGTTATATAGGGAGTGAAATAACCGTTGTTTTCATATACTGTGCAGGGTGTTAAATCAGAAATGTCTATAAATGAACTTGCCGCAGAAGTCGCGCCCTTAGTAAACGTGTTAATATATTTTGAGTTGCTAATAATATTTACTCCGGAGGATTTGGTTAGTAGAAGCTCATAAAATTGGTCATTGCTTTTATTCATGTGGTGGCTCCTAAAAGAGCCGTTTTTGATTTGAAGCGAAGTGCACTTATGCTCGTTCTCCGCGGATTCGGCGGGCCAACTGAATGTCCTTGGGCATGATGGTAACACGCTTGGCGTGGATGGCGCACAAGTTGGTGTCTTCAAACAGACCAACAAGGTAAGCCTCGCTAGCTTCTTGAAGAGCCATCACAGCCGAGCTCTGGAAACGCAGATCTGTCTTGAAATCTTGAGCGATTTCTCGCACAAGGCGCTGGAAGGGCAACTTGCGGATCAAGAGCTCGGTGGATTTCTGGTAACGACGGATCTCACGAAGAGCGACTGTACCAGGTCTGTAACGATGAGGCTTTTTGACTCCACCGGTGGCAGGAGCGCTCTTACGAGCTGCCTTTGTGGCGAGCTGTTTGCGTGGAGCTTTTCCACCGGTTGATTTTCGTGCAGTTTGTTTCGTACGTGCCATCCTGTTCAACGACTCTGAATTAGTGAATGCAGGAAGTTGAGTATAGAAAATGATTTATACCTGGCGGGCTTACTTGTGATTGGCTCAAAATGAAGCGATTTGATTGGTTAGATACGAAAGCTGTGAATAGTTTCACGGATCTGCGATGTTATTTTGATCCGAAGTAACAAGGAAGGTCGTTTAGGCATAAGCTAAATGTAATCCTCATGTTAAATTTAATAGGTAACATAACTAAAGAGTAAAACCAATTCTCAGCGAATGTTGCTAGTAACTTGTGGATGAAAGAGAGGTGTTTCCATCGGAAACATATGCGCGCGGGAATACCGTGTGATTTATGTTAATACATGTTAATATAACAGTAAAATTATACTTAGATATTTGACTCAACCAATAGTAACCCTTATTCCCATACTGTTTTCTGAGAGGTCTTATGTTTCCGTATAAAAGCTAATAACGTTCGCTCAATTGCCATAACTCAAACACACGAGTAGGAATCAGCATGTCTGGTCGCGGTAAAGGAGGTAAAGGTCTCGGGAAAGGTGGCGCCAAGCGTCACCGAAAGATCCTTCGTGATAACATCCAAGGAATCACCAAGCCAGCCATCCGTCGTCTTGCTCGCCGTGGCGGTGTCAAGCGAATCTCCGGTCTCATCTACGAGGAGACCCGTGGTGTTCTTAAAGTTTTTCTTGAGAACGTGATTCGTGATGCTGTGACATACACAGAGCACGCCAAGAGAAAGACCGTGACAGCCATGGATGTGGTGTACGCTCTGAAGAGACAAGGCCGCACTCTGTACGGATTTGGCGGTTAGACAGACCATCCTGACACAATACAAACGGCTCCTTTAGGAGCCACCAAATACAAAGAAAGTCATGATCAATATACATGAATGCCTTTTCAAGGTGTCTTACAAACGCTTACATCTCCCTCATACATTTGCAAAACAAAATGATTACACCATCCCCGCGCGTCACGATATGGGGCAGTAGCTTGGAAAAAGAACATTGCACGCAACTTCACAATACCCGGCCACTTTTGAACGTTACTAAAATCAGTTGCTTCCGAAGTCGAATAATAATTAAAGGTGAGGCCAGTTAAACTAGTGCTCACGCAGTCCCGCACTCCCGCAGTCAAATAAAAATGAAAGGAGAGGTCAGTTAAACTAGTGCTCCAAAGTATATATATTTGTCGGTTTACTAGCCAGCGAAGTCGAAATGCTCAGTGATTTAATTTTGAATTACGCTTGAAGAAGGAGGAATAAAAATATGACTTTTTATTTCAATTTGAATTTCTGTTGGGTTTAATGAAGAACGAAGAATATACATTTGAATATGTCGGTTCAAATTCAGAACGAAGATTATATATTTGAATATGTCAGCTCTTTTCGAACTGCTCAGAAACAAGGTCTGCGTGTTTGCGCACACCGTTTGGTCACGCTAAAGAACGAGGTCTACACGTATGTAAGCGCAATTGTTTTTTTTCGCGCTACCCACTGCGTTACTCTAAGAAAGAGGAATACACCACAGAATTTGCAATTTTTGAGGTGGTTGTAGGTCGTTGTAGGTGGTTTTAGGTGGTTTTAGGTCGTTCCATGTTTTAGTACTTACCTCAACGATAAACGATTTTGGCGCGCAACTCACGCACATTTGCGTCAAGTAAAAGTTCCAACGGCGTTGTTTCTATGATCTTGGTGCGTGTAAGCTCTGTACGGATTTTGCGGTTTTGGAGCGACAGTTAAACGCCTTTGCGTCGAGTAACGTATCGGAAGTCGTTATTTCTACGATTTTGGTGTGCGGAAACTTAATAAATTTATTTGGTCGTTGATCGACATTCGCGTCCAAAGATTCTTTATCACTTCATAACATAAAATTGGAAACTGGGGTGGAGGGGTTTTGAGATGATATTTTCATAGTTCTTATTCACCTCATCGTATCCAGCTAGTCAAGACTTTTGTATTATGTGGTGGCTCCTAAAGGAGCCGTTTTTGATGGGTTAAGGCTGATTTATGCCTTGGGTTTCTTCTCGGTCTTCTTGGGCAGAAGTACAGCTTGGATGTTAGGAAGAACACCTCCCTGTGCGATTGTGACACCGGCAAGAAGTTTGTTCAATTCCTCGTCATTACGAACAGCCAGCTGAAGGTGACGGGGAATAATTCTTGTCTTCTTGTTGTCACGAGCAGCGTTGCCCGCCAACTCAAGGATCTCAGCACTCAGATATTCGAGCACAGCAGCCAAGTACACTGGAGCACCGGCGCCAACTCGCTCAGCGTAATTGCCTTTGCGGAGAAGACGGTGAATTCGACCAACTGGGAATTGAAGCCCTGCTCGAGATGAGCGGCTCTTAGACTTAGTGCCCTTTGCTTTTCCTTTACCGCGACCAGACATGTTTGTAGTGAAATGCGTTGACTGTTATCAATCAGAATAGCTATTGTACCAGCAACCTCGGTTATTTATAGTTCGTTAAATATGCAAGAGAGATCGAAAGTCACCAATCACATGAATCTTCAGTAGTATGATAGAATAACAAGCAAACTGACCCACGGGGTTAGTATCGTAATAAACCAATCATTGATCGAGAATTTCGATCCGTATGGTAATAGATCCTCTCACGATTCTGATATAAATACAAGACGCGTTGCTCTGCACATCTATTCACCTTTGGGATTTAACAAGATGCCAGCCAAAGTCGCAGGAAAGAAAGGCGAGAAGAAAGCCGGAAAGGCTAAAGCCATTGCTGATGGAAAGAAGAAGAGGAGAGGAAAGAGAAGGGAAAGCTATGCTATCTACATCTACAAGGTGTTGAAGCAAGTTCACCCCGACACTGGTATCTCCAGCAAAGCCATGGGCATCATGAACTCGTTCGTTAACGACATCTTCGAGCGCATTGCCACCGAAGCTTCCCGCCTTGCCCACTACAACAAGAAGTCGACCATCAGCTCTCGCGAGATCCAGACCGCTATCAGGCTGCTTCTGCCAGGTGAACTGGCAAAACATGCCGTCAGTGAAGGAACCAAAGCTGTGACCAAATACACCAGCAGCAAGTAAACTCACTTTGTGGGTTTCCCGCCAAAACAAACGGCTCCTTTAGGAGCCACCAAATGTTATGAAAGTCAGTCATTAACGTAATACGAGCTTAAATGAAAATGTTTCTCTTAATATCAACTATGATGGTTTGGATTTGGTTAGAGTTTTCCTTGTGTATAAGGTCTGTTTTTTAACTGACCGCGCGACCTGTTTCTTGACCAGGCGAAACAAAATGTAACAAATTAGATGAAAGAGCGCAGCAAACATGAGTCATCGATAGGACGGGTAGGGAAGCGAAGAGTATTGTTCATGATTTCCTTTACAAAGTGTTACATAAGAATTATAACTTTGAAGAACTAGAATTTTTTTCTTTAAGTTATCACCAGTAAGTTCTCGATCACCTGCATCGTGATCGATCTACAATAGATCTCCGGATTTTGAAGCTTTTCTTAGCGGCCAACGCACTCCACGCGGCGGGTTCTTTGACGGAAATATATGTTAGTGGTTATTGGATGAGCTGCGAGACACAGACGGCCCGAAAAGCAATCGAGTAGTAGAGTCAGGCATTCACTTAAGCCCATTCTTTCATTCTCACTCAGTACACCTCAACTTTCAAAACATGAAAGATCGAGAGCTAGCCTGCGAAGCTAATGGTCTTGTGTGTGCTTAAAGCGTTAGTGATTAGTCCCAAACCCGCTTGTTTTTATGCTTCAAAGCGGAGCACAAATGCCGCAAGCTACATGTGATACTCGTCAAAGTTGAAGTTTCAAGAAAACAGAAAACTTTGAAAGCTTCAAGGAAAGACTGACGACTTTGCTTAGCCTGGAGATATTCCCCAGAGATCGATAGTCGCTCAGAGCGATAAAAAAGAGGCAGTTTCGTGAAAAAAACCTCCCTGCTTTGCCTGAGGGAACGCGATGCGTGACGAAGTTAACATCGCTATGTACCTAGTGTATCTGTCATGGACTGTCTGTAGGAAAATTGTCACAAATAAACAAGGACAGATTCAGGCACCCATTCTATATCGATGCGTAACATTACTACGCACTTATGCATCCCTATAGCAGCGATATCCTCATAAAACTTAATTTATCTGACGGTAAAGCGACCTTTATCGGCTAAAACTTTTAGTTAGAGCCACCACCAAATTTATCGAAAAGTTAAACTCGATTATCGAAGAGGGATTTAAAACTCAGTTGGTCATAACTTTTTCTTGAATGTGGTGGCTCCTAAAAGAGCCGTTTGATTAAATGAGGAGTTGATATCTTCCTTATTTTTTGGCCGCCTTCTTTGGAGATTTCTTCGGAGCTTTCTTGACGGGCTTTTTAGCTGCAGGCTTCTTCGCTGCTGGTTTTTTGGCGGCAGATTTCTTTGCAGCTGGTTTTTTAGCTGCGGGTTTCTTCGCTGCTGGCTTTTTGGCGGCGGGTTTCTTTGCTGCCTTCTTCGCCGCTGGTTTCTTCGCCGCTGCCTTTTTGTCGGCGGGCTTCTTTGGTTTGGCAGCAGGCTTCTTCTTTGCAGCTGGCTTCTTCTTCGGCTTCTTCTCCTTCTTTTCCTCCTTGACCACTTTGAAAGAACCAGAAGCACCAACTCCCTTGGTGTGAACAAGCTTGCCACTAGTAACACCCCTCTTCAAAGCCATCTTCAAGTGCGAGCCAACCTCACCAACCTTGTAGTTAGCCTTGATGTACTTCTCGATGGCTTGTCGGGAAGAACCGTTTCGCTCTTTCAACGCTAAGATAGCAGCTTTGATCATTTCAGAATAAGATGGATGCTCAGCTGGCTTTTTGGGCGCAGCTGGCTTCTTTTTAACTGACGACTTTTCTTCGGACATGTCGTGTGCTGTAGATCCCTTACAACAGAGACTAGTAATGATTTCATGGAGCGCGCAAGGTGATGTTATTCGTCGTAAACGAACCGCCGAGGAAACAGGGTTGTTACAAAATGGCGTCGTTCAAACTGTGCTAGTTTGCTTGACATTTTGATGGTTAACAAGCTCATTCAATAACTTCAAGTCCTCGCTAATAAAAAATATTTTAGCTTTGTTATATGGCAACAATCATATGTGAAATATACTTTGATTTACTCAAAGTTAGAATGACGTTTTACGGTCAAAAGTCTACAAAGCGGTGAGATTCCAAGAAGAACTTTGGATAAATGACGAAAGAAGTTCTCTTTAAGTCGCCTTTCATCATTAAATTAGACATTTTAGGAAGGAAGAGGCCCTAGACTTTGCATGTGTATGAAAAAATGAGCATTTTGATGCATATTCAAAGGCAGAGCGGACTTTAAATTTGAACAAGAAGAACAAAACTACAATTTCCAACATTTTATACGTGACCTGTATGCTAAATTTCTTGAATGAGCAAAATGACCCGAAAATCTGGCTTAATAGCAATCGTTTGAAATCAATGGTGATGGAACAAGGTTATCTGCTTAGTGTGGCAGATTTGCCTCGCTTTCTAACATGCTAGTTATGCATGAATCAGTTGCGCGCTCTCAACTCCCGAGCAGACTTTATTCCAAGAGCGGAGTGGAGTTAGAGAGCTTTATTCTCAGAAATAAAGTTTATTCACAAAGCAGAAATTGCACACAAGATGACAATGTGATGTGCTTGCTAAATGCTGCAACAGATCTCCTATACGTTGTGCTAGGAAGTTCAGAACTACGCGAAATAGCATACTGTTTGTGAGTATCTAGTATACTCCATTATCGATCGATAGAGAGTCACTTTTACGATCCTCTATGGGGTGAGGTAGTAGGTCCGGGCTTGCGGACAAACCAAGCATCCCCAAAAAGAAAATTCAAGTTTACAAACATCATACGGTTACGGTCGGAAAGACGGAGTCCTAAGTTTTTGTGTAAAAAATAAGTAAAATTCATAGATACATGTAAATGATAAATGGTAAAAAAATAGAATGTTTAGCTTATCTTGGAGATCAAAATTAAATATTTCCTATGAACGGCTTAGGTTGGACAACTATGATTTTTGTGCGGTTAGGACTTGCCACTCAGAGAGTAGGACAATTTCAGATGGTATAATTTCTCATTTCATATTTCCAGCTTAAGGCGGTTAAGTTGGTTGTTGAGGGACTCATAGTTTGGTCATGGCTTTTATTCATGTGGTGGCTCCTAAAGGAGCCGTTTGTAATTCGAAGTGAAGTTCACTTATGCTCTCTCTCCGCGGATTCGGCGGGCCAACTGAATATCCTTGGGCATAATAGTGACACGTTTGGCGTGGATGGCGCACAAGTTGGTGTCTTCAAACAGACCAACAAGGTAAGCCTCGCTAGCTTCTTGAAGAGCCATCACAGCAGAGCTTTGGAAACGCAGATCTGTCTTGAAATCTTGAGCGATTTCTCGCACAAGGCGCTGGAAGGGCAACTTGCGGATCAAGAGCTCGGTGGATTTCTGGTAACGACGGATCTCACGAAGAGCGACTGTACCCGGTCTGTAACGATGAGGTTTCTTGACTCCACCGGTGGCAGGAGCGCTCTTACGAGCTGCCTTTGTGGCGAGCTGTTTGCGTGGAGCTTTTCCACCGGTTGATTTTCGTGCAGTTTGTTTCGTACGTGCCATCCTGTTCAACGACTTAGAATAACTGATGATGGGGAATTGTATATTGAAATTGACTTATAGCTGGCGGGCTTACTTGTGATTGGCTCAAAATGAAGAGATTTGATTGGTTAGGTACGAAAGCTGTGAATAATTTCACAGATCTGCAATCTTATTTTGATCCGAAGTAACATGGAAGGTCGTTTTGGTATAACCTAAGTATTATCCTCTCTTTAAATTTAACATAAAGCATAATTAGAGAGAAAAACCAATTTTTAGCGTAGTTCACAAGTGACTTTTGGATGGAGCAGACTTGTTGGCCATTGAAACATATGCGTGCGGGATTACCGTGTGATTTATGTTAATACATGTTAATATAACAGAAAAATTATGCTCAGATATTTGACTCAACCAATAGCAACCCTTATTCCCATTCTGTTTTCTGAGAGGTCCTATCTTTCTGTATAAAACCTAATAACGTTCGTCCAATTGCCATAACTCAAACACACGAGTGATAATCAACATGTCTGGTCGCGGTAAAGGAGGTAAAGGTCTCGGAAAAGGTGGCGCCAAGCGTCACCGAAAAATCCTTCGTGATAACATCCAAGGTATCACCAAGCCAGCCATCCGTCGTCTTGCTCGCCGTGGCGGTGTCAAGCGAATCTCTGGCTTGATCTACGAGGAGACCCGTGGTGTTCTCAAAGTTTTTCTCGAGAACGTGATCCGTGATGCTGTGACATACACGGAGCACGCCAAGAGAAAGACTGTGACAGCCATGGATGTGGTGTACGCTCTGAAGAGACAAGGCCGCACTCTGTACGGATTTGGCGGTTAGACACACCATCCTGATACAAAACAAACGGCTCCTTTAGGAGCCACCAAATACAAAGAAAGTCATGATCAATAAACGTGTTAACATTTATGATGCATGTTTAGGTCGCTTGTGTATCTCGCTTATTAAGAATCTGGAAAAACAATTCAATAGTCTTGTCCTTAAAAAAATACCCTATAGATTTTCATGCGTATCTAGCTTTAGCTGGAGCTATAGATCAATTATCATTAAAGTCCGTTACTTTTTTCAAATACTCGCGGGTCGTAGGAGTTCATATGGCAATCAAGAAGAAGAAATTAGCCCTCAAACAAGCCCCCCCCCCCCCATCATTGCGTTCTTTGTAAAAAATCGCTGAGAGAGTTGGCGGTTTTTAAACGTTTTGCTGTTCTTTTCCCCCCCCCCCCCCTTTAGAGTGAAAATCTTATTGAATCAGTTCATCTATAAGGTCTCCAAAATTTTTCATTGTATATTCATTATCACTGAAAATGGCGCGATTTTTGTGCTCGTTAGTGGTTGAGGCGCGGGAGCCGAAATCATCGGAGGCAATGAAGTTACCGACCACGATTTTCCTTTTCGTTTATTTATATGCAAAATTTCCGTGATCTTTTGAGCGTGCCTTTGAATGAATCCTTTATTAACTTAATTCCTCCCTCATCCTAATTCAAGGGCTCTTACAGAAAAGTATCGAGGTGATATCTTAGTCGATGTTGTTTTCGGCTAGAAATTCTTAAATAGGTCAGCGACTTGTCTCGTTGTTCAAGACTTTTGTATCATGTGGTGGCTCCTAAAGGAGCCGTTTTATAGAGGGTGAAGCTGATCTAAGCCTTAAGTTTCTTCTCGGTCTTCTTGGGCAGAAGTACAGCTTGGATGTTAGGAAGAACACCTCCCTGTGCGATTGTGACACCGGCAAGAAGTTTTTTCAACTCCTCGTCATTACGGACGGGGAATGATTCTTGTCTTCTTGTTGTCACGAGCAGCGTTGCCCGCCAACTCAAGGATCTCAGCACTCAGATATTCGAGCACAGCAGCCAAGTACACTGGAGCACCGGCGCCAACTCGCTCGACGATTTTTACTAAAACCTAATTCTCTCTTCTATCTTCAATACAGTCTTTAAAATTGTAGCTCTAAAAACTTGTTAAATGACTTTAAACTGTCAATGACTTTTTTCGTCTCATCAGTTTTCTTTTTGATATGTATTGATATTGTAAAAAGAGCTGGGAGGTAGTCTTTAGACTAATGCGCAGCACCGGCGTGCGTGATGATACGTACTGTACTGTATGGGACAAATGCAAAGAAAAAAATAGATTTAAAATTTCAAAAAGCTTTTCCTCAAAAACTTGTCCAAAATAGGCCAAAATGCGTTAGGGAATGTTTCACAAATTTCTTAAATTTTCCAGCAGTCGGGGTACCTCCGGACTCTGATAATATTTGGCCTGGGTTGTTTTGGTCGGAGGATAATTACTTTTCGCAGGACTCGTTTTTTTCTCTTCTTCCACGCTGTTGGCGCTGTTCTGTCTTCACTCAAAACGCTTTTTAGCTGCGAACTAGAGCCAAATTTCGGCGTTAAATCAACTGACAGACATTAATAAAGGGGACAAGTTTATAAAATATATGTGGTGCTGCATCGGTGGTGATATAAAAAAAATTAATCTTAGATCATTTGACATACATAGACTGGTTCCAAATAGATTCCCCCGTGGGTCACATGCCTCTGACGTCACATCGCGGGAATATGTAGCGCGAAATCTTCTGCATGGTACGATCAAACGTTACAATCATGGCTACATCCTCGGAGAGCGCTGCTTCAGAATCTTCCTTCAGGTAATGGTGGTAACTTGGATTCGAAGTGATTCTTTCCAATGTAGTTAACCTTGTCTTCAGTAAATACTCTTTCCTAAATCTCGGTTTTCTTATGATGTTTTCCAGCGATGAAGTCTCAAAGTTGATGGGCAAAGGACGCCGTCACCTTGTTTGCAACGAAGTCGTCCAGGCTGTCAAATGCTTTGAGGAAGCAACTCAGAAGTTGTATGTCTTCAATTTTTGTATTTAGGCTGTTATGTCCTCTTAAATTGAAGTGAAGCAATAGTGAAAACTTATTTTAAATGTTGGCCGTCGGTTTTGGGATGACATTATTGAATACACACTTCAAAGCCTGTCTATTTCAGTTTTCAAATGTAAGATTAACTTGGTTTCGACAAACGATGGAATTAAGACTCTGATCTTTTGATATCAGTCTGGATCAGCACTTGCTTAGCGGATGCTTTTAGACTTGTTTTCTTAGAACAAGGCCTTGAATCGTAAAAACTTTGCTATTCTGCACGTGGATCAGAGTTGTCCATTGTACATTTAAACTTTTACACAAGTACAAACAAAAAATTGTACAACTTCCATCCTGCTCATAGTAAGAGTTTTCAATTGCATGGACGGATGTGGCTAAACTTGACATGTGAGAAGCTTTTCGTGGGAGTATTACAACAATTTTTTTTAGCTTCTGTTGAAAACTTCCAATCTTGTGAATAATTTTAGGTAAATTTAGATTCCTAAAGGTGAAATATTTGCCATTATTATCAAAGCTACTTCATTTACTCAGTTTTTACCGCCTTTTACTTAAAATAGAGATGGAAAATATGGCACAGGAGCTGATGAATGTGGTGAAGCATATCTCTTCTTTGGAAAGGCCTTATTAGAACTGGCAAGGTAAATGTTATGATGATCATTGAGGTCCCCTTCCTCCCTCCTCTCTAGAAAGACCTCTCCCCCCTGATGGACAGTTTCACACTACACAGTCACTTACAAAGTTTTCCTCATGAAAAAAGATTCTGGAAATTCTGGTGTCGCTGTAAATGCAATTGGTGTAGCTGTAAATGCAATGCATATAATGCACACTTTTGGTGTGTTCCAGTTTTAAATTCCAGAATGAATGGGAGTTCTGAAAAGTTAGTCTAATTTCATGTTGGAGACTTTTCAGATGAAAAATGTTATAAACAAATTAGGAATTTTGCTAGTTTTCACAACTTCCCCTCTTTTAATGCAATATTTTGGAAAATAAATTTGGAGAACGGTAGCATTCACAAACTTTAATGGATTACTTTTACAGAGCAGAAAATGGTGTCCTTGGAAATGCACTTAAAGATGGTATGTTCAGTTGAGTCAGTTCAGTCTTTGGTGAAATTTTAAATCCAACGTATGTTCAATTGAGTCAGTTCAGTCTTTGGTGAAATTTTAAATCCAACATACTTTATGCATACAAAAAGAAATGTAATATTTCTAACCACACTCAAATGCCATTAAAATATCTCACTTGAAACCTGCATATTTTTATGATAACTTTAAATTGTTTTCTAGCTGAGCCAAAAAGTGAAGAAAGCAGTGATGAGGATGAGGAGAAGATGGGGGCAGGTGAACTAACTTTCCTTTTACAGTTGAAACTGTATTTAAACCATTTACACCCTAACATCAGTATGCATATTCTCCATACTGTTCTCTATACATTTCCTAAGGTGCTGGCAAGGAGAATTTGTTTAACAATCTAGAGCTTCTGTCATTGGTGATCATTTCCTTTTTCTTGTGATCTTCGTGTGATTTTGGGGGTGATATTGTAAGGAGAAATTAGATGCTGGTCACTCTCAGGGGTTAAAGGATTAAGTGGTCACCTGTGGGGAATTTTGAGGTGACCACCAAATACATGTTGGCTGCTAAATAGAGGTTCCACAGGCTAGAAAATGATGAAAAAAAAAAAACTAAAAAATGATGAAAAAAACAAATGTTTTCTCACAACTAACCAATAATTGAACAAAAACTTGCTTTAAAATACTACTAACATTGATTTTGGGAGTTTAACATGGATTAAATTTTACCTGAGAGATTATTGTTAATGTCATCTGAGTGGTTGTGCTTTAAGTGACCATTTGATGACAACTGTACAACCTCTTAACCCTTTACACCTTATCATCATTATGAATTTTCTCTTTACTGTTCTCTATACATTTCCTAAGATGCTAACAAGGAGAATTTGTCTAACAATCAGGAGCTTCTTTAGTTGGTGATCATTTCCTTTATTTTCATGACTTAAATATGTAATTCAAGGGTGATTTTGTTAGGAGAAATTAGATACCAGCCACTCTTAGAGGTTAAAGTGCTAATAGAGACAACAATTATAGTTCTTAAAGAGGAAAAATTTCAGGACTTTGAAATCTGACTGTTTGAGATAGGGTGACCCCTTAATATGGTACTGCTTAATATAGATTCCACTATAATAAGGTTGTAGTACTTAAAAGAGCATTGCAAACTCACATGTACATTTTTGTGGGCTGCCAGAATTGGATTAGGAGATCTGTAACCCTGGAGAACAGTTTTGTTCAAATTCATCTTTCCACTCATAATGCTCAATTTCCTTGAAGAGGTCCAATTTTTATTTTACTTTACTGGGGCTTTGGACTGGCATTGAGAGGCCTTGGGTTCAAGACCTGGTCAGGTTACAGTGTTGTGTTCTTTGGCTGATTGCTTTAAACCCTCACAGTGCCTCTCTCTCTCCACCCAGGAGTATAAATGTGTACTGGGGGGAAGGGTGAGAGGGAGGTTACCTGTAATGAACAAGCATCCCTTTAAGGGGGGAGGGGGAGGGGGAAAGAGGGCTAGCAATATTTTTAGTTGCTTTATGCTACAGAAAATAAGCCAGGGTGATCTTTGGCAGTATGGGCCACTTTATGTAAGTGGAGACTTTAACTTTATAACAGTTTTTCTCTTTTTTTTTTATGCTTTTCAGTTGGACCCAAGATCAGTGAGATGAGTCCTAGTGCTAAAGACAAGATTCGGGAGGATGTACAAGATGCCATGGCTGAGAAAAAAGATGGCAAGTGGCAGAAATTTTTCATGAGTTTCACATGTTTAAAGCACGATTTCATTTTAATCAGAAGACTGGTAAGCTTTTATTAATTGCAGTAGAAGAAGAGAGTCCACAAGTGAATGATTTGGGTTAACCCTTTAACTCCCATGAGTGACCAAGACAGAATTTCTCCCCACAACACGATACAATTTCAAGCAGACGAGTGATGAGAGTAATGAAATATATCACTTAGGGGAATTATTAGTTGATCCATTACCGGATTCTCTTAACTAACATCATTAGAATTGTATCTCAGACAGTAAGGAGACTGAGACCTTGGGAGTGAAAAAATAGTGAATGAAAATACAACTCCCACAAGTCTCAAGGATTAGCTATGCTCCAGTGTGTCTCGCAAACCACATACCCAGAAAGAAGAAAAATTATTAACCAAGGATTTGGTCTAACACTAAATTTACAGAACAGTCTAACATTCAAAGTTATGATGTATTTGTATATTCACTTTTATTAACCATTTAACACCCAGAAGTGATTAACATGTAACTTCTCCCTAGAATGTACATACGTTATCTAGCAAACAGGTGGTGAGAATACTCAAACTTATCAGGTACAAAATATTATCTTGATCGAACACCAAATTCTTGTAACCAATTGACAAGGAAATGTGTAGCAGCTAAAGGAGAGAATTTACAATCAGATCTTAGGAGTTAAAGGGTTTATGTTTGTGATTTTTAGGTGATGTCAAAGAGAAAGATAATGAACAGGATGAGACTGCAGCAGACAAAACTAAAACAGAAAAGGAAACGAAATCAGAGGAAGAACCTAAAGAAAAAGCAGTGGAAGAGAAGGAAGCTGATAAAGATGGTGATAAAGGAACAGACAAGGATGAGAAGGAGGAGAAAAAAGGAGCAACAGAAGAAAAGGAGAGTGAAGGGGCTAAGAAAGATGCAGAAGAAGGCAAAAAGGGGAATGAAGAAGCAAAGGAGGATGAAGGAGGTAGGAAGAAGGAGGGAGCAGAAGAAGGTGAGGAGAATACTGAAGAAGGCAAGAAGGCTGAGGAAGATGATGAAGCGGGAGATGAAGATGATGATGAGGATGACGATGAAGATATGGAAGGTGTGGAGGAGGGAACTGAAGGAGAAGGAAAAGCAGATGGTGATCAGGAAGGGGAGGATCAAGAGGTGTGAGATGGTGTATTTGATTTAAGTTGTTTTAAATATCAATTTTCCTGACAGTGGTGTCAGGATGTTTTTTATTGATAGCTGATAAGGGAGAAGTTACTTGTTCATTACCTCAAGGAGTTACAGGCTCAAATGACTTAGGGAACTGCTTTTTTTTTTTTCAATAAGGAGGAAGTGGATGTCCCAACTATGCAGTTAGCTTGGGAGTTCTTGGAATTAGCTCGTATTGTTTTTGTGAGGTTTGTATCTCAACTTTTATATATTAACAACTGCATCACTTAGTGGAGGTCGGGTGCCTGAGACGTCCAGGAGCTTCCACTATTGGCAGCCAGCTCTTAGATAGAGAATGTCTCCCATGGCTGGCAAATCCTGGCAACCCAGCCATGAGCCCCCATGCAGGAAAGGGAAAAAGGCACCCATCACACTGAAAAAACAGTGGAAAGAGGGAGGGAAGGGGTGGGGAAAACTGCCTGGATGATGAGCTGTTACTCCAAACAATGCTGCAAATACACACTTAAAGCACATGCAAGAATGCCTCCAATGAAGAGCACATGGAATTCAGACGCATGCACATATGCAAAAAACTAGAGAACGTTGAATGCTCTTTGTTGTTAACTCTCTTAAATTGCATTTAAAAAAAAGAATGCAGTGTATGTAATTCAATGTCAAATCAGCAATTCTCCCCATCTCTTTGCCATACAATTCCTTGAAACTGGGTTGGGAGAATTTGGTGTTATATCAAGTGAAATCCTACAAGTTTTTTTTGTTCTTAACATTTTACCAGTTTGTTGAATGGATAATGTTTTAAAAATTGAAGGGAAGCCACACGTAACCAACTTTTTATGATTAAGCTTTACACCCTAACATCAGTATATATATTCTTCATACTCTTCATAACACATTTCCTTTTGTACTAAGAAGGAGAATTCATTCAACAATCCAAGCTTTTTAGGTTTGCGATCATTTCCTATATTTGCATGACCTTAATAAATGATTCAGCAGCATTACTGTTGGGAGATATTAGATGCAGGTCAATTTTGGGGGTTAACAGGATTTCAGGTTGTATTTGACTTTTGTGTGATTCAAATTGAGGAAGCAACTCAAAAATTGTGATGTTTTAGTGGTAAACAAAATTGATAAGGAGTAAACTGGCAGTAATATAGAGCTTCTCTTGGTTTTTATGATTCAAACAAAGGTAATCAACAAAAGTGCCTAATACTTGCTAATAAGTTTAAGAAATTTATACACAAGTCAAACTATTTCTAATTCAAGTATTTAACCTGTGTACAATAACAAAAAGTCTCCAAAAAAGTCATTTCAGCCATCAGTAACACATTTTGTTTAAAATATTTATTACTGAACAGCTTGCTAACCCTTCAACACCCAGAAGTGATTAAAATGTAACTTCTCCCTAATATTTCCATACACTATCTAACAAATGGGTAATGAGAAAACTCAAACTTATCAGGTAGAAGTTGTTATCTTTATCTAACACCAAATTCTTGTTACTATAATTTACAGGTAAATGTGTAGCAGCTAGAGGGGAGAATTAACAATCAGATCTTGGGAGATTAAGGGTTAATGACAGTTTTTAAATATTAATTTCCCAGTAATTATAGTCTTATTCACTTTAAGACAAGAAAACAAAGAAGCTCAGTTGAATTTGGCTGAAGTTCACCTTAAACTTGGTGAGATCAAACTAGAACAAGGTAAGGGCTATTTCTGTCATGCTTGGGTTTACAAATGGTCATTTCCTTAAATATTTTCATTGTAAAAACCTTGTGATGGTTTGCTTGCAAATGGTCTTGTTAAAGTGCTTTTTAAATAAGCAAGTCTCTGCTTTTTTTTTTTCCAAGAACAATTTGTTAACGCTGTAGAGGAATTCCAGTCTTGTCTTGATCTTCAAACAAAACATTTAGAAGCTGATGACAGACTCATTGCAGAAACGTATCCTTTGATTTTCCAGAATTCCTTGAATGTGCAGTTTACTTTAGTGCAATACCCAATGCCCCCTCCTCTGCTGCGCTTTCATTCAAGCACCTGATTTATTTGTTTATTTATTTATTAGTGATATTTATGCAGGCTGACCCAGTTCAGCTTCAAGTTGAATGGGGGCATGCATGGGATGTACCAAGTAAAACAAAATGTATTCAGAAATATAAAATACAAAAGGAGCCCACAATGCAAATTACAATTTACACATAAGATATACAAATCTCAAATGCCTGGACTTCTCATTTGAATGGAGTCTTTTGCATTTGTTATTGAAATAATCAATACATGTACCCTTTCACTTCATCTGATTTCAAATTAATAAATAATATAACGTTAAACACATTCTGAGTTTAGCTTATCCTTTGTATTGACAGCCATTGTCAACTCCAGTATGCATATTCTCTATACTGTTCTCTATACATTTCCTTAGGTGCTGATAGGGAGAATTTGTTTAACAATCAAGAGCTTCTTTAGCTGGTGATCATTTCCTTTATTCTCATGATCTTAGTGTGTGATTCAGCAGTGATATTGTAAAGAAGAAATTAGATGTTAACATCTTTAGTTTCTTATACCACTGATTAACCTATGATCATGATCCTCTTGCCTCTTCACCAAAGTAAAGTTAAGCTGACTGGGATGTGCATCTGGAATAATAACTACATGAATAACATAATCAAAAGATTCTTCTGTTTATTCCATCTGTATTATGCTTTTCAGGCTGCAACAGGTAAAATGTTTTGTCTGTAGTACCTCTTATTATTGTTTAAAATCACTAGGTGTTCTTGAAAAAACAAAAGGCGAAAGGATTGCTGTACCAGTTTGAAAATTTCTTTTACCTGTCATGATTAAAGTAAGGATGATGCATAACTGTGTCTTACGTAGTTGAGAAATCTTGTTGAAGAGTTTATTCCTTTAACTGATCTCAAAGATCTTACAGCATGGGACTAGCTTACAGTTTACAACCAAATTACTCTAAGGCACATGAATTCTTTAGCAAAGCATTAGAATGTATAAAACTCAAAACATCCAAGCTAGAGGCTCGTGTGGCAGAGTGGGAGTCAAAGAGCAAAGGAAAAGGAAAGGCATCAGATAAAGATCCTTGTGTTGTGGATAGAAAAGAGCTTGAAGAGCTACAGAACTTGTATCCTGAGATCAAAGCAAGAGTAAGTCATTCAGGGGGTCAGTTTAAATATTTCACTCCCATGATCTCATCACTAATTCTCCTTACTGTCTGCCATACTATTCTTATGATTTCAGTTGGGAGAATTTGGTATTGAATCCACTTTCTTTATTCTCATAACTTGTCTGCTTGACATTGTATAGATATTTATTTGTGAGGAGAAATTTAGAGAGTTTCTTGAGTTTGTGATCATTTTGCTTATTTTCATGACCTTAATGGGGTGATGCTGTTGGGATATATTAGATATGTATCACTCCTAGAGGTTTTAAAATAACCCACATGTACTTGCAGTGAAATTTGGTGATTATTTATCTGTTGTCTTTTTAAAGGTGGATGATGCTCAAGAAATGATGAATTCAGCTCCAAAAGAGGTAATTTATTGTGTTATGCTGTGGCTATGTGAAAAAGCTATAATTTTCAACTCTCTGAATTTTTTTCCAAAATTGATTAATGTATTTATGTATTGTTTTGTCTTGCTTTGTGTCCATAATTAAGCCTGATTCAGAGACAACAGAGGGCTTCGGAACAAGTGATACAAAAGATGTTCCTGCAACCACGGTGAGGAAGAAATAGACTAACAAGATTTGCTCATCTCAAATTTGTCCTTTTATAGTTTTGCATTTTTTTTTCAACTTTCACATTTTCTTTTTCTTCTCCTGAGAAAAATTTGTGTTCTGTCAGGTTTTAACTAAGTTATCATTACTATGCTAAAACCAAGCAATGATTCTTCTAGTACATGTGGAAACCATCGCTAGAGCTCTCACTTTCTCTCTATAAAACATTTTCTGTTCTGTTTGGATCCAAGTAACAGCATTTCATTCCATTTGTTTACCAAATTTTTTAAGATTGGGTATTATTTCGAATGCAAATTCTGTCTAAACCTACCTTACTTTCTGAGTTACAAAGAACGTAATAAGTTGTTAAAATGTCATTTCCTTTCACTCATGTTAGTGTATTAAATTGAAAAGTTGGACTGCATGGAAAAAGAAATAATTTAGAAGAGAGCAGGGTGTTTTACTCTCACTTAACTGCTACTTTTCCAATCATGGTTTTTAATTTCTATAGATACCAATTAAACAAACTGCTACTCTCATACAAGTTCGCAGAAAGGTAAGCTCCTTAAAATTACATACTGACATAACTCTTAAGATATCATAAGTGAGAGACAAGGTTGCCTGTGTGGGCCATGCTGATGTGCCATTCAGGCCAAGATGTGCAAGCCAAGTTCCCCATTTCAGAGCAACTTTTTTTTTTAATCCTTTACATCCTAACATCAGTATACATATTCTCCTTACATTTCCCAAGGTGCTGACAAGGAGAATTTGTTTAACAGTCTAGGGCTTCTTTAGTTGGTGGACATTTTCTTTATTCTCATGACCCTAAGGTGTGATTCAGGAATGGTAGTGAAGGGAGAAATTGAATTCTGGTCACTCCTAGGGTTAATGGGGCACCCAGTCCTTCCAGTGTCCTTGAAAGGAAGCTAAGTACCATTTATTTCTCTGGCCAAGATGTGCAAGCAGAGTTCCCCTTTTCATCTCTTCTCCTTTTTGATGAGACACTAGTCCTTCACAGGTACCTAGTGGGGATTTTATCTACTCTCCCTGATAGTTTGCCAGGTACCATTTATTTTTGCAGGGACAGGAGCTTAGTAAAAGTTGTCCCATGCGAAGGAAACAATTTATTTACTCTCAATTCACCCTTTATGCCTAAACACTATTATTTATATTCTCCATACTGTTCTCTTTACATTTTCTTTGGTACTGACAAGGAGAATTTGTTAGACAATCAGGAGCTTCTTAAATTGATCATCACTTTATTTCTTCTCGTAATGGTTACATTGGATTCAGGGCTGTTACTGTAAGGAGAAATTGGAAGCCAATCACTCAAAGGGGTTAAGGGATTAAGGCTTAAAACCAGGATGGAGATATTTTTTAAATTTTGTACACAATTGTTTTGCCTGTGATTTTGTCAACAGTCCCTGATGGTTTGCTAAGACAATTTATTTCTGTGGGAACAGAAGCTATGCAGGGTTGACTTGTGCCAAGTAAAACAATTTATTTGTCCTCAATCAAGGCTTAGAACCAAGACAAAGAGTTTTTTTGGAATTCCTTACAGAGAATTATTGTGCAAAGTGAACTAAGTAAACCAAATTTAATCCCAAGATGCCATTAGTAATTCTTTTTACTGTCTACTTGGCTTATACTATTTTGCAAAACAAAACAAACAAAACCAGGCAAGATATGACAAAACTAAATGAATAATGCAGATATTTTTTGTAATAAGGTAATTAACAAGGATCGTTATTCATTTTGCAAAGTAGTAATTTAAGAAGAGTTTCTATTTTGCAAAATAGACTACTAGTCCACTTCACAAATTAGTATCTCACCTAAAATTACTATTTTATGAAATATATTTTAATACAGTTTAAGAAATAAGAGGAGGTCAAAATCTTTGGTGATATACTAATTTGTAATGTTTGAATGTGTTTTTTGTGAAATGAAGCAACACCACAGGTTGAAAATGGTTGATTTTGAAAATAGTAACTCTTCTGGAATAGCTACTTTGGGAAATGAGAAAAAAAATCCTTCTTATGAATTGATGATTACTCCAAATCCTTGTGAAAGTTATCTTTACCTATCTGCATCATACCATTATGCTATCAACATTGCTGATCCTAGCAGTATGCAGGATGTGTGTTATATGAACTTTGTAATAGACCACGCTCACCGTGGAGTCTCTGTGGCTCAGTGGTAGAGCATTGGAGTGCGGAATCCGAAGGTCTGAGGTTTGATTCCTCATGGGGACTCGGAACTTTTTCTTTGTCCCCTACTCCTGAAATGACAGAAAACATCTTTCTTTATTATTCCTTCAGTTTCATTATATCTTGCCTGGTTTCGTTTCATGTCATTTTGTTTCGCAAAATAGAATAAGCCTGTCTGCTCTACAATTCTCAAGACATTGGTTTTAAGAATTAGGTATTGAATCCACCAAGTAATCCCCTGAATGATGTTTTTCTTTATTCTCATCACTTGTCTGCTTAGTATTTTATTGATATTGTGAGGAGAAATTCTCTCTTGGTTGCTCATAGGAGTTAAAGTTTGTGTTTGGTTTCAACTATTCATTCTTGTGTGCTTGAATCTCCTAGAGGAAGCCAGAGGAAGAGAGTAGTAGTTCTGGTGCCCAGGACACAGAGGTACCAGTGAAGAAAGCTCGGCAAGAAGAAGAGCCGCCAAAACCTGTACCTACAGTTACAGAAAATGGACATGATCCTAGTGGAAATGGAACAGCTACCTCTGAACAAAAGTGAAATGTAATTATACTTGTGTAAATAAACCAGTTTGTTTGCTGTAATAAGATTAATAAACTTTACAATTATAATTGGACTTGGTTTCAGATGTTTTTGCTCCACCCAGCCATGTGACTACATTTGTCACTACTGAAAGATGAAAGCATGCATATTCCCTGGTTCAAAGTAATCAAGACTCTTTTACAAAAGTAAGAACAGTGAATCCATTTAGTCTCAAATGATCTCCATCCTTATTTTGAGAGAAACTGAAGAAAAGGATACAAACTGGTGGGAACTTGCATGTTTCAACAGATTAAATACTGCCATTTTGAAAACACAACCTAAGGTTTGCCTTTCACCTATTAGATTCAAACCACGACTGCCTAAAATTCTTTTCATAGGGGGGTTGGGCCACCTGTATTTCTCTAAATTCTGTATATTTCTCCAAATTCTGACTTGCCTACCAGCTACAACACTCTTTTCCCTACTCCTGTTCTCATCTGGCCACTTAAATTCATAATCTTTTCCAGACCTGCCATAGTAGAAATTGTAAATGTAGCCTGAAAACTCTGCTCAGACAAAATTAATTTGCATGTTTATAGAGAAAAAGGGACTTGTGTCTAAATCGTTGATGTGCAGCTGAAAATGATATATTGATATCTGTGCAATATAAATTACCAAACATTATTTTATCATGAAGACCACGAGAGTAAAGGAAATGATCACCTAACCTAAGAAGCTTTGTTTGATGAATACCGGTACTTGTCACTCACTTTTTAGATCCAAATTGCTCAAAGGCAAATTTAAACCACACCATCAATGCCAACCAGTAATTTTAAGTGGATGGTGTGCAAAACGAGAAGAAAAGGTGAGACAAAATGCAAGAGAGATGTGGTGAGAGCTTTGAATAACATTAACAGGAGATACTACCTCACAAGCTCCTTGCAGTGTGAACAGTTAAGTCAATACTAGGGATCCTGATACAAAGGGTTATGTTGCACAAATTTGTTTTCTTCAAACCACTCACGTGAAGACAAGGCCATATCTAACAGAGCTACTTTCATGAAGTTGGGAATGCCCAATATTAGGGAAAACTAAATTGCTCATTCAAGAATGTCCCAAATAAAAAACAAGCAAACAAAAAGTACGACGACTGCATCTAATTCCATTTTATTCTTTAAATTTTATTGCCCTGGGTTAATTCTAGATTATAAATAAACATACAAGGCATGTGTAACATTCTAGAATATATATATTTTTTCAAACTTTAAGAAACAACCAAGGGACATTAAAAACATACAGTGACTACCGAACATAGAATCCGAACACTGGTTGCTTTGTGATGGAAAACATTTTGGAAGACACACAACTAAATTGCAATGATATTTTTTTGCTGAGAATGTCTCACAAATAAATAAATTTATCCTTTTCTAGAATTGAGAACCTTTGCATAATCCAAAACTACTGGTAATTTCTAACTGTTCAAGGAAACAAATTATGCAGATGTTTACAATTTTGCAGGCACATAAATCTTTTTTTAAGATAAAAACATGAACACAGCGATGGAACTTCAATCGGATAATATAGAGAACTCTCATGTCAAGAAATAAGAATTTTCAAATTTAAGATTGCACAATTTACAAATAAAACATTTAACATGCCTGCTATAAAAAACTCTTTATGCAGAAATCTACTGTAATTGAATTGTTTTATATAAATAAAAGGGTTTTCTGAAGTAGATCTAGAACAATACAAGGAACAATAAGAAAAAAGGCAACATGCAAGATGCTGTCTGTCTGTCTGTCTGTCTGTCGAGGGCTTGCCTGTTCCTCTTCAAGAATGTTCGATATATTAAAGTCACTGTTCTGTACATTTTAGGATAACTTAGGTACATAATAGTTTTTTTTTAGGTTGGTGGATTACTCTTCAGAAATCTGCAAATTCTTTTGCGCACTTCTCAGAGGTAGAGATGCGCAGTGGTTCTTCCTCATAATCGTCAAAATTGCTTGGATCTCCTGGACCTTTGCACTTGGGAATAAAGGGGGCTTCAACCTGCATCATGACATCAAGAAAATTACTTAGCACAATGGGGCTGCCAACAAGTTAAAAAGTAAAAGGCAAATAAGAAATATTATGATTATATCTCCCAGTTCGCACATGCACTGGGATTGGTCAATCCAGTAGGCTGTATTTTCACAGTACATTCAACTCAATTCAACAGTTTGTTTGAATTAAAGAGATATAATAAATATATTCCTTGTCTCATTTTCTCATTCCCTACTGAAAGTTACTGAACCTGGTTTATTTGGCTTGGATTTTTTACAATACATCTGATTGCAAGTAAAACTTGGTCCCTATCTGACAGTACAGACCTCAAACAAGGTTAGAAAGAAGTATGTAGGTAGTGAGGTTATTGTGGATGCTTTGTTGTTCTGCCAGATCACATGCTAGAATGGAAACCATTTAGATAAAAAATGTTCCTAGGCATTGATGAATTTTGCACAAACCTTCAAGCAAATTGGAAAATGGCTATTTTATAATTTATTTATTTATTTATTTTATATATTGGTAGTATTCCTTACTTTTCTTTGATAGATAGCTATCCAGTCTGTGGAACTGAACCACTTGTGGCCACGGATGTCTCCCACGCCATTCTTTAGATTCCCGTATCTTTTTGTTAGGTCAACTTGCAATAAATTTCGAAGCAAGTCTTTCAGATCAGCTGTGAAATGAGATGGGAAACGTACCTGGATGCAAAGGGGGTTAAACAAAAGATTGCAAGTATTATTAACAGAAGTACTATGATGTCTGAAGCTAACAAAAATCAGAGTCTCCCTTACACTTCCTTGAACACCACATACATGAACCTAAGCAAAGATTTCAATCATTACATCACAATTACCTTGCCAGAGACAATCTTTTCATAGATCTGAATTGGCTGGTCAGCAAAGAAAGGAGGGTAACCAGCTGCCATTTCATAGATAAGGACACCTAATGCCCACCAATCTACAGCCTTGTTGTAACCCTGAAGAGAAAATAAAATGGTTAACCCTTTACACCCAAACATCAGTATGTACATTCTCCAAACTGTTCTCTGCACATCTCCTAAAGTGTTGAGAGGGAGAATTTGCTGAACAATCAAGAGCTTCTCATAATAGTTGATCATTTCATTTATTCTTGTGACTTTCATCTTTGATTAGGGGGTGATATCATGAGGAGAAATTCAAGATAGTCACTCTTTGGGGTCAAATGCTTAACATCACAACAGGTTACATGTACCAACATTAAATAGAATTTCATTAGTTTTATAACATCAGAGTTGACTTCTTGACTTCCAACAGTGATCAACCAAAGGAAAATCTAATGAAAAGATTCATGCTTTGCCAATGATGAAAATGAAGAAACAGGGTTTGTACTCTTCTTCAGACACAAATTTCAAGGAATTTTCCAGGATTTTTCTGCACTTAGACTGACTTTTCCAAGACTCCAAATTTTACCTTACACCCTTTCATTTCCAAGACTTCAAAATCAGTTCTCGTTACTGTCAACCTACAATTCTTATAGTGTAAGTTATGAAAACTTTATTGCTTGATTTATGCAGATTTTCAGAACTTTCCAGGACCTATAGTCTGTTATCAGGACTTTCCAGCCCTGAAAAATTCCAAAATAAAATTTCTGGACTTTTTCCAGAATCCCAATGAACCTTGAAGAAAGTAATGAGGCCTTTACCTTGCTGAGGATGATCTCAGGAGCTAGGTATTCTGGAGTGCCACAAAGCGTCCACGTTCTCCCTTTGACTCTCTTGGCAAACCCAAAATCTGTTACCTGCAGAATGATAAGTAAATTATCCTATGAACCTCCATAGAACAGTTCTGCAGAGGAGAGAAAAAGCTATGCCACAAATATTGGATTATCACATTAACTTCGCTACTAATTAATTTACCTTTAAGTAACCTTTCTCGTCAATGAGAAGATTCTCTGGTTTTAGATCCCTGTGGGAGAAGAAAGAAGTCACATCACAACAGAAGGACAGACCTAAATGTCTGAAAAGTCTTATATAATTTAAATGGTTAACAACTACATCTCAAAATTTAAAGTCAAGCCCTTAATCCTAAGATGCAATTCATTTGATATTGAATAATTTTTGATGTCCTCACAAATATGCCAGAAAATGCAAATAAAAAGGGAGTTGTTTTAGAACTGTTTCAACCAAATGAAACAAATGTTTTTTAAACGGACAAAGAAAGGATGGGGAGTCATCAACAACAGTATTATAAGTCATACAGAGAGCATGTTAAAAACAAGTGTTCAGCTATCAAATGAAAGAGTAAATATGTAAAATGCACAGCAAAGTAAAAAATATAAAACGCTATGGAAAAACCACAAAAATGTCTTAACAACTTTCAGCACAGGAACATAACAGGAAACAAATATTGCCACTTCAAAATATTCAGGATCATATTGGACCAGATGTTGTTATTTTACCTGTATATAAGGTCTAGAGAGTGAAGATACTCAAATGCCAAAACAATTTGTGAAGCGTAAAACCTTGAGTGTGTTTCACTGCAACAGAAGAAAAGATGACACTAAAATAAACAAATGGTCCATTCCAGACATTCCAAACTTACCTGGATATTTGTGCAATATTTAAGAAGTCTCTATGATATTTAGAAAATTTAGAGACATTAAAGCTTTCCTTAGCTAACCATGTGTATTTTTTGCTGTTTTCCAAACTTCTGTAATATTTACCCCACAAGAAGCCCTTTATGGCATAAAAATAAAATAAAGTTGCTTTTACAGTCTTTATATACACAGTGCCAGAAGGAACAGTCCCTTGCAAACTTTTTCAGTTCTCACAAACAAAATTTTGGAATAGGTCATTCAAAATCAACCCATTTTTTTAAAACCAAATTTGACATATTGAAATGGTTCTATTTTTAAGATATTAAAAAAAAAAAGAATTTCTGTAAAGATAAGATGTGATATTTGTGGTAAGGGCTAGGTGAGTTAAACCAAAGTAGTGCTGCCAATTGAAATTTAGCTCCTCATTTCACCTTATTTGTCTGGTTTTAACTCTCTGACCCTCGAAACAGCATGGACAAAGTAATTCTGGATAGAAGTTACAGATTTAGTTCACTAATTCTACAAATATTAGGATATTACCTGAATCTTCCAATACGTCGTAGATGAGAAAACATCTCACCACCAAGAACAAATTCCAGAACCATGTACAAGTTGGAATTATCCTGAAACAATCACAAAGTTGTGACATCTTGGAATATGAATATTCATCCCATTGCCTTCAATGCCACTCTAGAGGTTGCATGGAAGACTACTCGTGAACAGTCAAAATACAGAAAGGTTATGTTGGCCCTTGAACATGAACACATTGGAAAGAACAATCGCTCAGGTAAAATTTTCAAGTTTTCCCCAACACATTGCCTTCTGAGAAGGTCACAAGTAAATGTTGCTTTCTAAGTGGGCTTGCATGAGGCCGATCATGTAGATGTTGAAAAGCATTTTCTGCTAATTATTGTGTTTGCAATCTTAATTATAGTGAATGTGTAAGCTTCAGTGAACATTCTTTTTATCTACAACCAATCATGTTTTTAAGTAATGCTCCCACATCATTCTATTACGTAAAACGTTTTAAGGTACAAAGGACTGGTCTGTAACAAAGTACTGTACATGACAAGAAAGCACCAAATTTTAAGACAACAACCAATAAAGCCTCAAAGGAGAACAGGAGTATTTCATGAACTAAATAAACCAGTGCCTATGAAGATATTAAGCCAATGCCATACAGTACTGAATAACAAACAAAACCTTCAAGTTCTAAGAAAAATAATCATTGTCAAGAGTGCATTCGAACAGCAAATGACATACTCAAGTCTTCCAGGTTCACACATAAAGTGAGTCCTATTAACAACATTCTCCTATATTTTCAATGAGCCTTTGTTTCATCTGGCCAACATACTTATCATGATGGTATTAACATATACATAGTTGAATATATGAGGAATGTATCTGTCTTGGGTCAAATATATCTAACATTGAAAATAAGCACCTTTACCTGATTTAAATTTAATCTAGTGATGGAATAAATACTCGTCTTATGAAATTAAACAAGTATACTCCATTGCAGCTAATTGATCATGAAAAGAAGTTTACTTAAGCAAGCAACCAACCTTAAAATGCCATTCCAGGTTCACCAGGAATGGAAAAGTTATTGCTTGCAGAATCCTTTTTTCATTTAAAGTGTGTTCCACTTGCTTCAACTTCACCACCTACAAGTTTGAGGCAAGTCACCAGAGTTAAATGTAGTCCAAATCAAGATTATTAATTTATCATAACACCTGTTACATTAAAAATTGGTCCCCAAGCCTTACAAAATGCAATCATTCACACCGAAGATGATCAACTACTGCAAACACAGCGCATAAAGAATGCGGTAATTCGATGTCTGGAGAAATACTTGGTAAAAACCTAGGTCCGGTACAACTGTTTTTTTTAAGTTGTCTTAAAACGTGACGAACGCATGTTAAATTAACTTTTGAAAATGTGTACGGCAGCTTGTTATTAACAACTTACACTGTACATTTCACATGACGGACTGAAATTTGTGAGCATCACAGACGCATTTGTCTGATAAAGCAGAGTGATTTAGGGACCAGTTAAAAGAATCAACGGCAATGATAAATGTACAAAATGAGAAGTGACGATTCGTAACGCTGAATTTTCGCGCAAGTTAAACATATACCACTGTCAATCAGTCTCTCGAAAACTAATCCTCACACAGCTCCCTTACAAAATAAGCTTACATGCATCTGAATAAATCTAAAATTACCTTCTGTTTATCTAAAATTTTCATAGCATAAAATTTGTTGCTGCTCTTATGTTGAACGAGCATAACCCGACCAAATGATCCGGTACCCAGGGTCTTCAATCGCTCGAAGTCCTCCAAACTAGCCGTATTCTGAATGCATCAAACAGAAATGACATGAAAGACATGGAAAATCAACAAAGAAAATATACTCTTGTGAGAAAACCACGGTTAGGTCTGCAAAATACAAAAAACTTAAAATAATACTGTTCTGCTTTGAGCACGCCAAGAAATCAAGCACAATTGTTCGTAACACGATCTCTCAAGAACAGAACACCGTTTAAAATAATTTGCAAGTCTCACCCAACAAAAGCGTACACGAAAAAGGTGAATATATTTTAGTTGAAACCGAACGAAGATGTGACTGTATAATTAACTGAATAAAGAAGAAATTGCTCACCTGAGAGGGATGGTCCCATTTTTGATTGAACTCCTCTTTGGCCTCGGTCAGGAAAGCTTTTACTTAAGGACAAGAAACGAAAACAAAACATTAAGGTTTTTTCGCTTGGTTGAGTATAACAACAGATGCCCCCGCTAAATTTATTATACCATTTTCTGGGTCTCCTCTCTTCGTCGGAGTGTTGCCCATCTCTCAAAGGGCGACCTCTTGTGAAAGCTTCTTTAAAGCTCTCGTCACGATGAAAAATATTGATACCCAACACACAAATCTGCCTAAAATGACTCGCGATCTTGTTCAGTATTTTCCGCTCTAGCTGGTATCAAAGAAACAGACGACCTTCTGGCGAAAAGATAGACCTACTAGTGACGTTTTCCGTTTTCACAACGACGCGTTTTCATTGGTCGGCTGTAAACGAAACAATCGGAAACATCTAAATATGGAGATTTTCGGCAATGTCCAGCTGAACGAAACAGAAGCGGAGGAGAATTGCCACATAAATTCTAGGAAGGTTTGGGTTCAATTTGTTCAAAGATTGACGCCGAATGATGAAAAATGCATCATCGATTCTTTAATTTCACCAGTTTGACGAGTCATTAGGTCTAGGTAATGGTTTATTTATGGGGAAAACTATTTTGTTGACTAAAAACTCAATAATAAGACAGTGGAATTTTCCATCTACCATGTACCCAAATTAACAGGGTTAACCAAGGATTTTTAAGACGAATATCATCACATTTTAATATGAATGAAGCTACAAAAAATGATTATTTTTTTTCCCGAATATAGTTTTAAAAAGATCATTAAAAAATAAAGTGGGAATGCTGAATAAGACAAGCTATCATAGTTTGAGCTAAGATGTCTAATAAATTATTTTCCGATAAAATTTATTTTCCAATTCAAAAATGAACTTCAACTATCACCATAAGTTTAGTATTATACTTAAAATATAAGATGACAGTCATGTTTAAGATTGTTCTTTTTAAGGGAGTTGTACCCACTTTTTAAATTATTATTCATGAGCACTTAAAAGACAAAATCTGGAAAACCTGAAATACTCTCTCTTTACCTGTCACATTGTTCTATATAATTACATGACACATCTAAGGATGGGTAGTGAGGCAAGTGCATATCCTATACATTTTGCTTGAGTTTTTTTTAAGTTCATGGACATCTTTTCATCCCAAGAGCTTGTCTTGTGGAAATGACACCACTTATTAGCATGATAATGTTAGTAAAAAAAACTGTACTGTTCAACTTTTCCAGTCTTACTTTCTATGGAGCAAGAGAAAAGCTTTCACTAGCTACCAAAGTGATGACACAGAAGTCTACTTTTTTTAATTGGCTAGTTGTGTTATCTAGATGGAACAAAGCATTATTTTTTGAGAAATTCTGATTGCTTTTGTAACAAATGAATAATTTCCCCAATCAAGCGTTTAGGGTAAAATTGGAATGATTAACAGCAACTTGGCATTGGCTTTTTGTCACAACACCAAATTCCACTCAGACATTTTAGTCCATATACATATAGTTTGTCATGAGAAGCACTAGTACTCAAAGGAATTATCTGCAAGTGCTTTAAGTTTAAGCTAATTCATGGACATTTCCTAACAATTCTGAAATACCACAATGATAAAAATAAAACATTGATGTAAAACTTAAGAGTTTTAAACTCACAAGATTTGATTGTTAATTCTCTCCTCTAGCTGATACATCCTTCCTTGTAAATATCTTATGACAATTTTGGTGTTAGGTCAAGTTAACTACTTCTACCTGATAAGTCTGAGTATTCTCATTTCCTGTTTGCAGGAGAATGTACAGATATCATAAGGAGATTTTACATGTCAATCACTTCTGGCAGTTTGAGGGTTAACCAAGGGTGCCACAAGGATAACATGAATGAGCGCCTTGGAGCATGTTTTCCATGAAAAATATTTCAGTTTGGCATTGAACACAGGGAACAACATTTCCCCAACTTCTCCTCTTTTCCAGCTATATTGCTCAGTCATCATTTCATGTCTTTGAAGAAAAATCATTTTGTAACTCGGAAGCATTTCCAGAAAAAGTGAGACATGGCTATCAAGTATCCTTACACCTTTGACTCCCAAGATCTGATTATGAATTCTCACCTCTAGCTGCTACACATTTCTTTGTAACTTAGCTATGAGAATTTGGTCTTAGATCATGAAATCATTTTCTACCTGATAAGTTTGAGTATTCTCACCACCTGTTTGCTGGATAAGGTATGGATATTATTGGGAGAAGTTACCTGTTAGTCATTTGTTATATGGGATAAAAGCATGGCCAAGGTGTTTACACAATACTGAAACTCCTTTTTCCTTTTTAATTACTTTGCACCAGACAAAAAGAAAAACATGGAAACACAACTGAAGCTATATAGCTTTTGCATGGATACATCGTTATAAAGGACACATCAAGATATTGACTTCTACTGATAAGAATATTTGCTGGTTCATGTGTGGATATTATAGGGAAAAATTATATGTTAGTCACTTCTGGGAGTTAAAAGGTTCGGCATGCTATAAGGGTTCCTCTCTCTTCCTCATAAAATTGATTTCATTTGGCAGCAGTCTTCAAAATCCATGGCCCAATGACACTGTGCTAGCTACTCTTAATCAAAAATTATTTGCAGAAGGCAAAGTGTGTTCAATGATTGTGAGACAAAATCAAGGGGATTATTCAATGATATTTACGGAGCCTGAGGTGAACAATTGTTTTAGTGATTGTTCAGGTACCTTTGAATTTTGATGTAACTTTATTGTGTTGTTTTGATAACTAACATTGAGATAAGCAGCCAGTTTCCACCATAATTTAACAGGTTTATTTAATTCAATCAGCAAAAACTATATATTTTTCTTTTGGAAAGTGTTACAAAAAACATAGTAGCATCTTAAGTGCACTTCTAAATTGGATTCTCCTCTAGCACATTTATCACTTCCTTAGTAACACTAACAAAACGCTAGGCAGCTGCTTTGAACACAATCACCAGGCACGAGATGATTATAGCAAGATATGATGCAATCCTGACCAATCAGAACACGTGTATCTCTATAATCACTGCATCAATGATACTGAACTGTCATCCTCTTTTGGTATATGATAAATCGAAATCAAAAGGAAATTTTATTAGCACTCACATCTGAGAAGTGAACCATGTCTCATGTACCAACCCCACCCCCTCTACTCCCTATCTCAAGATACAAATGTCAACCAAGCAACAACTTCTCTAAACATTTATGTCACAATTATTATGCAAAAAACCCTTAAATGTGAAATGTAAAAAAATATTTATGGCTTTACCTTGGAAAATTTAATTTAAGTCACAGATTATTACTATTAAGGGTATCATCTGGAGATAAGTAATAAATCTTATCCAGAATCGTCTCATAAATTTTCTCTCAATCAATCAACACTAAAATATTTCCTGAGTAAAGGCAGACCTCGACAGCGCGCAATGTAAAACCACTAACACTTCTGAAATACAATTCAAGTACCTTTAATTCTTAAACCGATTAAAATCGCTTTCTGGTTCTTAAAAGTTACTTGTTACTGTCTACCACGAAATGACCTTTAAAATCCTTGATCATGAAGAAGCCATTTAGGAATTCCGGCGGCAAATAGCTCACAAATAAGTACAATGAACTTTAAGAGTATTTATTGTGTGAATAAAGAATGTGGAAACAGTAAGGTGAAGTGGAAAGAGGATCTTTTTCGCATTAAACTTATTAAATATCTCGAATGGGAAACTCCGTTACGCACGAAGTAATTTTTGATAGAAGAGCAATAGTATCAGTATTCTCAACACGCGCGGTTGCTTTGAGATCGAATTGACGTCAAAAGCACTTGCGTTCACTTCTGGAATGCAATTTATGTTTACTGCGCTTGGTTTTCAATCGAATTCCATCGAACAACCGCTCGTTACATCATGTCTACTTAAGTTACAAATAGCCATTTCCTTCTCAGTATCGTTCAAGGACAACAGTAACTGTTTTAACAACCAAAAAATGCGACAAAATTCTTCTACTTACTAACGTCATTCTTGGGGGCTTTCTTTGCTAACGGCATGGTACTCCGAAATCTGGTATCAGCGCTGCAGGAATCTTGAACAGCTTTTTTTCGTCAGTGCCGGCTGTGGGTGGAATTTGAGCACAGAATTGTCAGGTAAACGGCTGTTGATGAAGTGAAACATTCCAAACGAAGCTCTTTTTCGCCGTAACTTTTGCTTCAATGCCTTTTCAGCCTAAGGGCTTTTTGTTTTGTCAACTACACAGCACGCTCTTTATAAATATTCGCTCGTTTGATTTTGATTTCTTTTTTACCTGTTTCCGCTGTTATCAGCCGAACTACCCCTGATATTTCTCTCCTTTCAAGTACCTCTTGTCTTCAAAATTAGCACGGCTCTTTGGAAGGAGGAGGATTTTTTTTTGGCTTCAATGAACCGTCCACGATAGTGATCAAACCGATGAGATGTCGTATGCTTGAGTACTCCCTTGAGGCTTGAACTTCGTTTTGTAATAAACAGAATTGGGGGAGGAGCTTTCTTCGACAATCGTTAATTTATGTACCACACTGTTTATATTTTACAAATCTGCATAGCTTACACACAGCTACACTTAGTTACTCTTCTATGCATTATTTACTTGCGTTTTTCGAAATAATTTTTTAACAAGTATGTAAAATTCTTTCCCTAAGTACCGGTACGAAACAGAAATTGACATGATAAATTTCACACTCATTTGCGATCCTACAATATCAAGGTCGAACCAAAACAAGCTGTTATTTTTAGATACATTCGAATGTTTAAAAAGTTTACTCTTTTGTCGCTATGGCAATTACAGAAAAAAATCACGGCTATTGGGCATGGTACGCCTATTGACTTTTTTTCAAGCTCGGACTATGAAATTTTGTGTTCTCCGATTAAAGAAATGGAAATCACTAAGATTCATCTACATAAATATCGTGTCGCTCAAACAGGAAAGTATTAGACATGTGCATTGCAGAAACAATTCAATTATAAACTCACATTCCCTAATTAAATTAATTGGATTACAATGATATAGTGATTTCCTGACAGAAATAAGTCCTAATCTAGCAACAGGAGAAAAATTTTGGAAGCTTTTACCAGTTTTAAAACTTCTGAATTCTTGGGGACAACATTATAAAAAAACTCCATATCAGATAAAACTTGCCCCAAAACATTGTAAATCAAATGCAGGAATTTTCTTTGGATTCTTTATATTTTTACTTTCTCTGGGATGATAAACTAATGGTGTATTAAAAAAGTTTAGAAACCACTTTCTCCAAAACAACAATTCACTAGATGATTCTGAAAAAAAAAAGAAAGAAAGAAAAGAAATGAGTCAAGATGTCAAAAATTTTGTGCTTTTTTCAACCCTTTGAGCCCCTAAGAGTGACCAGCATCTAATTTCTCCTTACAAGATCACCCCTGGTTAGAGGAAATAGTTAGGGTAAAAAGGATTAATGTAGGGCAGATGAGTATTGTCTCTTGCAGGGTACCATTAACCCTTTACACCCCAACATCAATATGCATATTCTCCATACTGTTCTCTATACATTTCCTAATGTGCTGGCAAAGAGAATTTGTTTAACAATCAAGAGGTTCTTCAATTGATTATCATTTCCTTTATTCTCATAACCATAATGTTTGATTCATGAGTGATACTGAAAGGAGAAATTAGATGCTAGTCACTCTCAGGGATTAAAGGGTTAAGACAGTAAGACCAATAGATAAAAAATCCATCGCATTGCTGGGGAGTGGCAGGTTCATATTTTGTCCAAACAAAAAAACAACATTAGACTTCCCTTCTGCTAAGCCACACATGGAAACTTGTACAAGTTAACCCTTTAACCCTTTGACTCCCATGGGTGACCAAGACAGAATTTCTCCTCACAATATCAATACAATATCAACCAGATAAGTGATGAGAATAAAGAAAAACATCAATTTGAGGATAATTAGTTGATCCAATACTAAATTCAGTGACCTAACATTATAAAAATTGTATGGGTAACAGTAAGGACAATTAAAGAATTGATCTGGGAGTTAAAGGGTCAACTTCCAGAAGTGATCAACATGAAACTTCTCCCTATAATATCCTTACTTTATCCAGAAAATGGGTAATGAGAATATTCAAACTTATCAGTTCGAAGTTGTTATCTTGATCTAACACCAAATTCTCGTTACTAATTTACAAGGAAATGTTTGGCAGCTTGAGGGAGAATTAACAAATTGACCTTAGGAGGTAAAGGGTTAATTGTAAGACCCTGAAATACCACAGAACAAGTGTTACTGTCTTTACCTAAAGGAAGGATAAAACTGAAAAAAAAACATAGAAAGATTGAATTGAAATTTTTTAAGATCACCAAATCATATCAGATTGATCCTTTAGCAACACTAACCCTTTTGACCTTTGACCTTTGTGAATAACGTCTAGTTTCTCCTTACAGTACCACCCCTCAATCTCATTTGCAGGTCATGAGAATAGAGGAAATGACTAACAACAAAAGAAATTTGACAGTTAAACAAATTCTCCTCATCTGCATATAAGAAAATGTACAAAGAACAGTATGGAGAATATGCAAACTGATGGTGTGTTGAGGGTTTAAGTAACTTACTGTGCTTCCAGTATGTGGGTTTGCTGCTTAATTAATATTAGCATGGAAGTGAGCTTATGAATGTCTGAATTTTTTGGGGGTTCTTCACCAGTTAACTCCCATGATTGACCAAGACAGAATTTCAATATCAATGCAATATCAAGCAGACAAGTGATGAAAATAAAGAAAAATATCAATTAGGGGATTATAAGTTGATCCAATCCCAAATTCTCCAAACTAACATCACAAGAACTGTATTGCAGACAGTGAGGAGAATTGCTGATGAGATCTTGGGAATTAAAGGGTTAATAAGAGTTTAACTGCAACAACCATTCCTTTTCACGTATAACAAAGTAGTTGCAGTTTTTCATGTAAAATTTTTCTCAGTTTTTGATTAATTGTCTATATTTTCTCCTGTAATATAGAATCATGGAAACCACCCATTTCTTTAATCGCTCTGAGAGGGGTTAATGCTCAAAACATCTGCTTAAGAATTTTTTTACCCTGATGGCCAATTTGCATTATCAACTCAATTTATAACCAAATTATCTTGCAGTAGCCCCACTAATGTAGTACCTTAGATTCTTTAGAAACTTACCCTCTTCACCCACCATTGTATTCACTTCTACAAAATCTGAGATAAATCTGAGAAACTAATACACTCTGTTATAGGGCATCTGTGACACTGTCTGTTTTTTAATACAAAATTATATGTTCAGAATTCAACCTTTGTTATATTTGAACCAGGTGGAGGTGTAGGTAGTTTGAACAGGGGATTTTAGTGGGAGGTTTAAGATGTCACAACAGCAATGTGTGATAAAACATGGCTGAAAAAATGTAATTTTATTTATCTCTAAGATTTTTGTCTATGCTTGATGCGTTAACTGTTTCTGAAGGTAACACATCTTTACTTTGGCCTAACATGTGAATGTAGTGTTGAGTTTAAAGTAAAAAAGTGACTACATTGCTGTTGAGGTTTCCTTGCCAAGGGGATGTAAAAGTTGGTGATTTCACATTTTTTTTCTGTATGGGACAGCTAAAAAATGTACAAAGTTTTAAAACACACATGTTTTGCTATAATTGTTTTGCTCTAGGCAACCCCAACACAATGCATTAACTATCACCCTACTGATACAGTGGACTTTTATCAGTTAACTAAGTTCACTTTCTTAATTTTATTCAAGGGTAGGTCATAAAATATCAAGGTTCCAAGAATAACAGAAATAATCACCAACTAAAGAAGCTCTTAATTGTTAAACAAATTCTCTCCTGTCAGCGCCATTGAAAATGTACAGAGAACAGTATACTGTTGTTAGGGCGTAAAGGGTTCACGTACTAACAAATTGAATCCCGAACATTTCGTCAAATGGCATGTTTTCACTAAGTTGAAGAATGTTGTTTGTTTTCATGAAAAGTCATAGTCGTCCCTAAGATCATTGTATTCCATGATATGTTTCCTTATCTTCGATGTGTCTGTCCACGTCACAAAATCTTCCATGTTCTTTGTCACAAGGAAAGCAGGATCCGTGATAACTTCTGGTCCGACTCGAACATGTCCTTGTTCAATGTATTTCACAGCATCTTTTACTGCTTGAGCCATTCGCAATCGCACCATCACAACTGGAAGCCTTCGACGACAGAAAGCCGATGAACTCAGCTTTTCACACAAAGATAAGTTCTTTTTAGTCGTGATCAATCCAAGTGAGTAAAGTTTCTCCAATAACTGCTCGGTAGCTTCGGCTCGGAATGGATCTTTTGCATCGAGGTGTTTGATTTTGTTGGCAAGAGATCTTACCATTCCGCAAACTTTGTTATATTTAGTGTAGTCCTCCCTCTTTTGGATATGATACTTTCGTAATATCTTCACTTCACGGAGGTTATTATCGCTTTTCCATGAAATAAAGTCTACTTTTTTCAAGAGCTTCTTTTCGTGAAATTTTAGCTTTCTCACCATTTTGAAATCCACATGAGGTGAAAAGTCGCGAGAGAGCTAGGTCTAGGCGATGGCTGATACCGCTGACTTTCTAAGTTCAATCTCTACCCAGGCTGCACTCGGCGTAAAATTCCATCATGGCGGCTGTGTGTTGAGCTCGACAGTACGCGAAAATGTTGTACCTTGTGGGTCTTGGGTTAGGAGATGCGAAGGATATCACTGTTAAAGGACTCGAAATCGTTAAAAAGGCAGACTATGTATTTCTGGAGGCATATACATCAATTCTTTGTGTAGGAAAGGAAGTATTGGTAAGCACATAGGGATTACTAAAATTACAACAATCAAAAATTTTATTTGCTTCGGTAAAACTCCCGTTTAGGATAGAATCATACGGAAAAAAATTTTTCCTTCCACAAAGGATTCCTTTCCATATAGGAAAGAGGGACTATGTTTTTTTTCTGAAATGTCAATCGTGACCAAAGTTAGAAGTTATGAACATGTAACTTCTCCCTATAATATTCATACAGGAGCCAGCAAACAGGCAACGAGAATACCCAAACTTATCAGGGGGAAGTTCTTACCTTGATTTAACATCAAATTCTTGTTACTGATTTAAAGGGCAATGTGTAGCAGCTGGAGGGGAGAATTAACAACCAGATCTTTGGAGTTAAAGGGTAAAGACATTCCTCAGAATTTCTTAATCTTGATTCACTTATTGGGGTCAAATGATGCAGAGAATCTGAAAATGACCACAAATTTACAACTTGAATTGGCAGATTCAAATGTCCTCTTAAAAAAAGGATAAAAAATGAAATACATGTAATATATGAATAAAATTATCTCAAAATTATATCCTTCCCAGATTCTTTGAGGGAAGGCATCAAAATGTAAGCAAATCAGATTTTTTTTAGAACTCATCCTGAATGTTTTTTTTCTCTTTTTTAGGAAGAATTTTATGGATGCAAAATCCAGTTGGCTGACAGAGAAACAGTGGAACAAAATTCTGGTGAGTACTTGTGTTAAATAATTTTATTTGTAGCACTTGAAATGTTACATTTTTAAAAAGGATAATTGTTAGGAGAGCCTGGGGCTCAATGGATATCATGCTGGACTCCAGGTCTCACAATTCATGTCACAGCCCTGGGACGCGAATGAAAAGAAAAATAAATGGTGAGAAATCCATGAAAAACCATTAACCCTTTAATGCCCATGGGTGACCAAGACAGAATTTCTCCTTACAATATCCATACAATATCAACCAGATAAGTGATGAGAATTAAGAAAAATAATAATTTGAGGATAATCAGTGGGTCCAATACTAAAATTCTCTGAACTAACATTATAATAATTGTATGATTGACATTTAGGAGAATTAGAAATTTGATCTGGTAGTTAAAGGGTTAAGGCTTGAAAGGGTAGATTCCTTCACAAGCAGATAAATAAATCTACTGTAGACAACAGACATAGTAAGCTATATTATAATGATCATTAATGGGATTAGTAGATGACGAGAATAGACATTTTACTTGCGAAGACTAGACTAGGGTAATTTAATGCCAAAACATGGTTACTGAATCTCCGTCACACTTCACTCAACTGAAAATCATAACAAATGGTTCAGGAGTTGACCCTTTACACCCTAACATCAGTAAGCATTTTCTCCATACTGTCCTCTATACATTTGCCAGGGTATTTAAAAGGAGAAATTGTCTGACAGTTAAGAGCTTACTTAGTTGGTGATCATTTACTTTATTCTTGAGACCTTGATGTATGATTTAGGGGTGATTTTGCAAGGAGAAACTAGACACCAATCATGTGTAAGGTTTAACCCTTTAACCCCTAAGAGTGACAAGCATCTAATTTCTCCTTCAAATATCACCACTGAATCACACATTAATGTCATGAAAATAAAGGAAATGATCACCAACTCAAGAAACTCTTGATTGTTAGAAAAATTCTCCTTGTCAGCACCTTAGTTAATGTACAGAGAACAGTATGGAGAATATGAATTCTGATGTTAGCCTGTAAAGGGTTAAAAAATTCTAGGGTTACCTTTGATAGACCAACATCCTCTCTTATCCCATCCTAGTTGATAAAAAGAAAACCACTATGAAAGTTCTCTTAAGATAAATTCAGCTGATGATTATCTCTAAAAGATTAAATAATATGAACTGTTTGTTCTTTAGATCTTATTCTGGAACATGCCAAGGAGAAAGATGTTGCTTTCTTGGTTGTTGGAGATCCCTTTGGGTAAGAAACAGCCAGCTTGATTGAGCTAAATTGCTTAATGTATTCTACCTTGCAAGCAAAATCTATAAAGTAATACTAAATTTTCAGTGAACATGGCCTGTAAATTTTAATGTAATAGACCTGCTCTACTGAAATATAGTTTCTTTTATTTTAGTTTTTTTGTTTATATCATTTAGATATAATAATGAAACTTGTGGTGTGTTTCTTTACTTAACCCGTTAACTCCCAGATCAAATTTGTAATTTTCCTTACTGTCAACCATACAATTCTTATAAAGTTAGTTTAGAGAATTTTGTGTTTGATCAAATAATTATCCACAAATTGATATTTTTCTCTATTCTCATCACTTATCTGGTTGCTTTTGTACTGATATTGTAAGGAGAAATCCTGTCTTAGTCACTCATGGTAGTTAAGGGGTTAAGTCTGAGATCAGCTAAAGGACCCAGATCATCAGGGCTTTTTGCAGAGAGGTAGAATCCTTAGCCATGAGGTTTGATTTTTCTTGAGGGCTCAGAATGTTTTCTTTGTGCCATGCTGGTGATAAGAGGAAAAAGTATTATTTTTGTATTTTTTTTTCAAAGGGCCACTACCCACACAGACCTGGTATTGAGAGCTCACCAGATGGGCATTCAATACCAAGTGATCCATAATGCTTCTATTATGAATGCAGTTGGATGCTGTGGACTTCAGGTAGTTATCACAAAGCTTTGATTTTACTTATAGGTGTATAGTACAGTAACTGTACATATATGTATGGTAGTTATAAATAGTTTTCGCCATTATATTCTTTATCTTCACAGTTTGATCATTGCATAGAATCGAATATTTTAGCAGACCTGTGCCGAACTAGACTATTTTAAAGAGTGGTCATATTTACTTGATTGACATTGTCATTCAGATCAATACCTGCAAACTGTAATATTTGACAGTTTTGGCAATTGTCTAAAATTTCTTCTGGCTCCAAGCCTGGACAACCATGCCATTGAAATTTGAAATGGTTCTACAAGATTATTGTATGGAAAAAAAAAAAACATCATGTGCTCTTGTTCAAGGGAACTGATGACAAATATTTTTTCCTAACAGTCAGTGCACTGGAATCCTTGTCAAGAGGCCTGGGTTCAAGACCTAGCCAGGTCATAGTGTTGTGTCCTTGGGCAAAACATTTTACTTTGAGTGGATCTCTCTCCAACTGGGCACCAGGTATTCAGAGGGTGGATAACGCTATTCACCAGATGTGTCATCCACCAGTGGATACCCTAGTTCATTTTTAAACTACTATTTACAAGATTGTGATTTATCCGTTGGATAGTGTTATCTGCTCTTTGACCAACTGGGCCTAGGAGTTTAAATGAGTATCAGCAAGTTGTTAGGGTGGCCTGATAAGAAGCTGGGGGGTAACCTTGTGATAGACTCGTGTCCTATTCATGGGGGAGTAGCTTCATGCTAAGGAAACCAGGAAAAAATCTGGCTCCAGGGATGGATCACTTAGCTCAAGTACAAATGCAACCTTTTAATGTTAAAACATTGATTATAAACATTACAAACTTTTCATTTCAGTTATACAACTTTGGAGAGACAGTGTCCATTGTACTTTGGACTGATAACTGGAAACCAGACAGTTTTTATGATAAGATTGCAAGTAACAGAAAACAGGGTCTTCATACACTTTGTTTATTAGGTAAATGCTCACTGTGAACCCTAACATCAGTACGCAAGTTCTCTATACTATTCTCCATACATTTCCTAAGATGCTGATTAGGAGAATTTGTTTAAAAATCAAGAACTGCTTTGGTTGGTGGTCATTTCCTTTGTTTTTGCAAGGGAAATGTTTGATTCAGGGGTGATTTTGTAAGGACTAATTAGATGCTATTCCTAAAGTGTTAACATTCCTTTTCATTTAGAGAAACATTTCTGTGCTTGGACAAAACCCAAACTCTATTAAATTTATTCTTGGTCATGAAGATTTTTTCTCTATTTTAGTGTACATTAGACAATGATGTTTTACACTCAATGATTTTTGGTGATATTTTGTAATATAAAGAAAGATTATGAAATCAGTTTTTCACAAGGGTCAAACTTTGAGACTCTGGCAAAAAAGATAAGATGACAAATGTTTTTTAGCCTAGTTGTTGAATTGCTTGCAGTTAATGAATGAGTGAGAGGGCCAAAAGGGAAAATATTTTGCTCAAGGTCATGACATTCAGATCAAGCATAGCAAGGAGCATGCGTCATGACCCAGAGCCAAATATTTTTACTTGTTTAGCTTGACCTTTTTCAGTTGTCAAGTATTTTTTAATGTGACCATTGCTCTTCTATCCCTTGCTGTCTTTTTTTTATTTGCATCCTGCAGGGTAGTAAGACTTTTTCGATGCTGCTAATGCAGTTGTGTACAGCCCTCGTGTTTTTTTATATAAGTGTGTGCTTGGGGTAACAAGGGTACTCAAATGGTATTTTATTTTGTGTTCTCACATTAACCTTGTAACCCTTTAACTCTCAGATCAAATTTGTAATTCTCCTTACTGTCAACCATACAATTCTTGTAATGTTAGTTCAGAGAATGTAGTATTGGATCAACTAATTGTCCCCAAATTGATATATTTCTTTATTCTCATCACTCATCTGCATGATACTGTATAGATATTGTAAGGAGAAATTCTGTCTTGGTCACTCATAGAAGTTAAAGGATTAACTCTCAACAGTGACTGACATGCAACCTCTCCTTACAATTCAAGTTTGTTGTCTTGTAAACAAGGAATGAAATTAGACAGGCTTATCAGCCAGAGGATGTTACCTTTATATAACACCAAATTCTCTTGTCTAAACTACAAGGACATGTATGGCAGCCAGTTGGGAGAGTATGCAATTGTATCTTGGAGTTAACCCTTTAACTACCAAGATATTGTAGTTAATTCTCTCCTCGAGCTGCTACACATTTATTTGTAAGTAATTTACAGGAATTTGGTGTTAGATCAAGACAGCAACTTCTACTTGATACATCTGAGTCTTCTCATCACTTGTTTGCTGAATAATGTATGGGTATTGTTGGGAGAAGTTACATGCTTATCCCTCTCAGGGATTAGAGGGTTAAGGGGTTCATTTTCCCTGGACTTACATTTGTGATACTCTTTTATGCAGACATTAAAGTAAAGGAACAGTCCTTGGAGAATTTGATGCGGTAGGTTAACCTTCTACCCTAACTTCTTCATGTGTATTCTCTACACTGTTCTTTGTAAATCTCCTATGGCACTGACAAGGAGATTTTAGTTGAAAAACCAGGAGATTTTCAAGTTTAGGATCATGTTCTTAAATTCTCATGAGCCTAAAGTTTGATTAACCCTTTACAGGCTAACATCAGAATTCATATTCTCCATACTGTTCTCTGTACATTTACTAAGGTGCTGATAAGGAGAATTTGTCTAACAATCAAGAGTTTCTTTAGTTGGTGATCATTTCCTTTATTCTCATGACATTAATGTGTGATTCAGTGGTGATATTGTTAGGAGAGATTAGATGCTAGTCACTTGTATGGTTTAAAGGGTTGAGCAGTGATCCTTAGTGAGAAATTCCATGTAAGTCACCCTCAGGGGTTAAAGGTTAATGCAGGGAATGTTTTCAACCCAAGAGTGGTAGTTGGTGAGTGTAATCTGACTATAGCCTCAGACTTAGTCACTCAACTTTTTTTCTACTTGGCATGGCAACTGAAAGGATCACAGGGGGTTGCCTGGGGGGTTGAAGCTTCAGATTGATTGACCCATTAACTGCAGTTGGTCTGTATTTCTGAACTTCAAGTTCTTTGTTTTAGGGGGAGAAAGGTTTATGAACCTCCACGTTACATGAGTGTAAATGAAGCAGTGAGTCAACTTTTAGATGTTGTGAGGAACAGAGATTTTCAAGGAGAACCACCAGGTAGGATCATCTTAACCCTTTTAACTTCCCAGATCTGATTGTTAATTCTCCCTTCTAGCTGCTACACATTTCCTAGTAAATTAGTTACAAGAATTTGGTGTTTGATCAAAATTATTATAACTTCTACCTGATAAGTTTGATTATTCTCTCTACCAGTTTGCTGGATAATGTATGGATATCATAAATGGGAAGTTACTTGTTAATGGCTTCCAGGGGTTAAAGATTAGGCCCTTGGCCTCAGAAGTGATCAGACATGGTCTACCCCATGGCTTTGGGGTCACCATACCAAGGAGTTCAATAAGTTTTGATTAGTTGATAACATTTGCTCATTCTTTTCAGCTGAGTGGTAGTTTTGCTTCAATTTTATTAGTGCAGATCCTTTCACTTGTAAGATCTCATTAGTAATTACCAATTGTAATTAGCTCTATCAACTGAGCTAACAAGCTAACTGGGAGCAGGTCATTTTGTTGGTTTGTAATAAACCTGTGTGATAAAAAATGAATTACTGTGAATATCTGAGTAGTATAAATTTGAATGGCAGATTATAAATGAAGATGATGTTCATGTTAAGAGACCAACATGATTTACTTTCTTCTTGTTTGACACAGCCATGTTGACAGCTATTCCAAGTATATATGGATCAATATCAATATCTGGGCAACTGCCCATCTACCCCTCCCCTAACTCAACATTAACCTCAAGTTGTTGTCAATTGACTGTTGTTGAGTTAGGGGAGGGGTAGGTGGGCAGTTGCCCAGATACTGATATCGATCCGTATATACAGTGTATGACATTTTAGCTTTTCATTTATCTTCTCATTCTGGTTATACCCTTTTGTTTTTTGTTAGCTTACACAGATGATACAATTGCTGTGGGTGTAGCACGAGTTGGCTCAGCCAATCAGCAGATAGTTTGCAGCAGCATGAAGGAGCTCTTGTCACATGACCTCGGGCCACCTTTACACTCTCTTATTATACCTGGACATTTGCATTTTATTGAAAAAGACATGCTTAGGATATTTGCTTTGAATCCGGCTATACTGGATGAGAGCTGACATCCAAGAAGACTTAAAATAGTATCAATTGGAATGCACAAGTGTACATTTAAAGAAGCAATGAAATGTTTTGTGGAATGTAACAAAAAGAAGTCCATCTTAATTGTCTACATTGTTCCCAATTCTATCCTGTTTTTGCGCTACATTTCAAACACATTCTAGGGAGATAAGACATACCATTCCACCTTTTATTAACACCTTAATGCTACAAAACTTTATATGAATTAATGTATGGTAATGCATGTGACAATGCATATGTGACAATACATGTATGACAATGCATATGTGACAATGCTTGTGTGATAATGCATGTGACAATACGTGTGTGATGATGCATGCATGACAATACAATGTCTAAGCTATCCTCCCATAGAAAATTTTGAAATCAGAAATACATGAAATTACAATAAAGCTTAGTACTGGTCACGTAAGGCACTGATCCTTGCCCTTCTCTTTAGCACTGTCTGTTCCTCTTGGAAGAATATAACACTTCTACCCACCTTACTGTCATTTCCAGTGGTACCAAACACCTGTATGACAGGAATGCGTAATAAAGATCTGCATAACTTTGCTGGCTTTATACATTCTATAGAATAGATGTGACAATCCAGTCATAGGGACAACAAATTTTAGATCAATATCAGTATCTGGGCAACTGCCCACCTACCCCTCCTCTAACCCAACATTCACCTTAACTTGTTGTCAATTGGCTGTTGTTGAGTTAGGGGAGGGGTAGGTGGGCAGTTGCCCAGAAACTGATATTGATCCCAAATTTCTCTATCCAAACAGCAATTACTGACAACAACAGGTCTGCCTATCTGAGCAGCAACTTTAGTTGAGGCCTTCAATCTGCAACGTAAATTCATACTTTGGCACTGGTCATTATTTATCACCTGTGGGCCAGTGTGGGGTGGGGGAGGGGGGTGGGGATTCTAGGATTGAGATTGTGTCACACTAAACTGATCCCCCCTCATTTGCAGTCAATTTTCCATAGACCCCCTCCCTTAATACTCTGTTAACAATGCTGAACCCCCCTCTGTTCACCCAGGTGATATTCCTTAATTTTCAAAATTTCAAACTTACATCCACTTCAATTAGTCTTCATTAAAAGTTTTTGTAAAATATTTGTTTGAAAAGTCATACCAAAGGACACAAAAAGGAAAAAATCCCACGCAGCAAACAGTAAGCTGTTTGTAAACATATTTTTGTGCACATTGCAAAATATTTGAAGGATGATAAACACAATTGCCTTTATTTTGCACAAAAATATGCTTGAATATTTTGCTGATTCGCATGAAGGGTGACAGATGACCATAGAAGTAAAAACTTAATAGATTGAAACTACTGTTTTAATAAACATCAAAAACACCAACCTGTTAGGAAATGCTTGTTATTGTTCAGGGAAGAAAATTGAAAGTTTCTGCCTCGTACTTATTATTATCATCATTATTTTTATTATATTATTACTATTATTATTATTATATACCATCTGATTAATTATTATTGATTTGATGAAGTGAATTACTATATTTGATTTTTGAGCTTTTTAAAATTAATTAGTACTGGGAAAAATAATCATTGTAGCAAGAAAGAACATTATGGCTTAAATCACTCAGTGCTCGGGGAATCGCAACCTTGATGCAAAGTTAAATTTCTCCTTTATTTCATGAAGGATTGTGAGAAAATTTAGTCCATGATAAGTCACTGAAGGCTTTTTACAGGAATCCATATGAATAGTGGTCAGCGAAAACTGATTTCAGTATGAAGAAGGACTGCAATTTAAAATTATTTGTGTTTATAGAAATTGATAAGAATTTAAGAACCCCAGCAAGAAATATAGTTCAATGGAACTTGTTTTAGTTGGGTATCAAATGTAGGAGTGCATTTAGCAAAGCCATATGCAACTTTTGATGGGACATCTTCTCCTCCCTCTTTTACACATTTATGGAATATTAGACAATTTGGAAAGAGAATCTAGCAGGAGTATCATTAAAAAACACTTAAAAATGCCATGCTATTCTATAATTTACCACTTAATGTACAAAATTAGCTCAAAAATACTTCTAATTTTGATTTTGGGAGATAAATATACAAAAATTTTTTCTTGAAAGATTATTCTCAGTTTTATTTAAGTGGTTCCATTTTAAATGATTGTTCAATACAGGTGAAGGACAAAACAAATCAGCTGCTGGGACTCAGTAAAGGGTGACTGTAAAGTCTATCAATATTCTGGTTATACAGTCACAACTTACAACACTCTTAAATCAGTATTCACCTCACTTAAATACATTTCACCACATAAATATTCATTATTGACATCTAGTCATGCAGTCTTGCCGACCATTCCCATGATGAAGGCATTCTTAACTCTCTAACTCCCATAAGTGACTGGAAGAAAACTTCTCCTGCCTTAAAATATCAGTACAATATCAAGCAGAAAAGTGATGAGAATAAAGCAGAATATAACTTAGGGGACTTAAAGTGGATCCAATACTAAATTCTCCCAAATAATAATAAAAGATTGTATGACAGTAAGAAGAATTACTAATTAGATCATGGGAGCAAAAGGGATAAAGATACATCACTACAGTGACCACCAGAGAGGTGACTGCTTAATAGCGATGAAAGTTACTGTAATTAATTAACAGGGAAAAATTTGGGACTTTGAAAACTGACTGCTTAATATGGTGATGCCTAATATAGGTTCCACTGTACTTATGAAAAAAAAAGAGCTTTAGCCAGAAGTCTTGGTGGATGACTGAAAAGTGTTAGTAAAACTATTTTTTAAAAATCTATTTAGGCCCCCATTCATAAGCAACCAAATAATTATATGTTTTTATATTTTTTATAGATGCCAGTCATAGGCAGCAAGACCCACCCACCCACAATTATGATTGTATCATTACTATCTGAATGCAGAGCTTATGATACAAATTCCTGTGGGGGGGAAGGCAATAGAGGTAACTTGTAACCCCCCCCTCCCCCCTTAACCCCTCAGGCTCAGTATTAATTGACTATAAGCCGATTGAATTTGTCAACATAATTTTGTTTTATATTATCATTTGTTTATTTGTTTGTTTATTTTATGCGATAAGGAAAAGAACATGAATACCTGTTTATTTGTTTGTTTGTTTTTATGCGACAAGGAAAAGAACATGAATACCTTATTCTGGGTGAAAGTTAACTTTTATTCAGTAACAGATCCAACAAAAAAGTGCTCGACGTTGTACTGAACAGACTGAACGCGATCAAAATTCAATTTTTTTGCGGACTCGAATCTCGTGTTACTCATAGAGCTGAGTCACGCAATCTCCCGACTGCATAGAAGATTTTTCCTTTAGTCACTTATATAAAGAGGTCAGGATGACAAAGCTTGTGTCGGTGGTAAAGGCACGCTCATTTATAGAGCGATGTATGACAGCCATAGGAACAGATCCCAAACACAGTGTAGCTATCGCTAATATGCTCATAGAGGCTGATATTAGAGGTCATTTTACTCACGGGCTCTACCGATTAGGTAAGCGATTATAGTTGAATCATCGTTTTTATAATAGACCATTATTGTTTAACGTACAGTCTTAAAAACAAGCAAGCAAGATTGTTCGCCTCTGCAGACGAGAGAAAGTATGTTTCTTTTTTCTTTTATATGCCAAAAATAATCTTGGATGAATTTTCGATGTAACAAACGTACACGAACGCAGTTTTTCACAGGAACTGACATATGTCTGAAAACGTTCTGAAAGGCGATAAAACATCTATAGAAAGTATTTCATATTTAGAAGTGTATTTAAGTCTTACATCATCTCAAAGATCCTCACAAGAAATAGAATATTGCTTTCCCCACCTCGCCCCGCCGAGCTTGAGGTTTCCTTAAAATAGTTATGCAACCAAGAAAGCGTTACCGAACCCGTGAGCATGCGACAAACATGTGACTCGCTTCTCAAAATTGATTATGCTCACTATTGACAACCCTTACTCGACACTACGTAACTTTGCGTTATCTCTTTTAAAGAAATGTATATGCGTGACATTGAGAGTGGCGTCACGCAAGCGAGAGGCGAACCGAGTCTTGAAAAGGATTTTGCAGCGACTGCGCTGGTGAATGGTAACAATCTTCCTGGTGTGGTAAATAAAGTCAAGCTTCTTTTTATTTTAATTTTGTCCTTTGCATGTGAAAAGTCACCGTGCAAGTCACCGTGAAATCCCAGTTTATAGTCTTTTGGGGTTACGTAATTTTGTGCCAAGTTATGCGTGAGTGCTTTTGAAGGAAACTGCAAACACATCTTTTAAAGCATATGAGATATTTGGAACTGAAATTCTTACAAGATCGGATCTAGATTCCCAATCTAACTGGTTTAATCGAGAAAAAAATCAAATCTTTTTTCAATCTCAGTTTTATTGCTGGTTTTCACGTGACGTCACTAAATTTCAGACTTCAGAACTATTGATCCTCCTGAGATTTTACTTTCATGATGTATTAGAGCAGCTAAAAACTAATATTCAGACAAATTTTCACTCCAAATGGGTTCTTGGTTTAGTGATAGACTACTCTTGAATTTCTAATCTTTTGCGTGACGTGGCCTTTACATGACGAGCGAGAGAGCTGTTATGTTGGTTTAAAAGGTGACTTATTTAGGGAAATTCAGCTATCTGAACAGTTCTTGTATTAGAATAAAGTATTATTGTTACGTTTATAAGTTCTTAGAGAGATAAATTCACGCTTTTGTAGCAAAACTCAGTGACAGATGTTTCTGCTGGTTTCCGGCCGCCATGTTGGTGATCTCTATAAATTTGGGAAAAACGTTTTTCCTCATATCTTCCGTAAGAAAAATTGCTGTGACCTGAATCTTGGCGAGAGTCTTTACATATCTAGCTTCTTTCTATTTCCAGATTCTAGACTAAATCGATTGAACGGTTTTTATTTTTTATTTTGATCTATTTTGAATGGCGTGACACTGAAAACCAGCAATAGGGTGATTATTTTGTTCACGCTCTTTGAGTCTTAAATTTTATTCGTTCGATGAAGTGCCTCTGTCATTAAGTCGTGTCACGCAACGTAATTTAAATTTGCGTGACGATCTTAATCTACGTTAGGATACAACACGAAGCAACGCTTCCATTTGAGTTAATTCTTTCTGTCACGAAACAGGTTGTTGGTAACTTTTGCATGGATTTAGCCATCAAGAAAGCAAAGGAATATGGAATTGGTTGTGTCGTGTGTAAAGGTAACTAATATTTCTGTAAACATTGTTGTAGGCGTGTACTTGTCCTAAACAAGTAGTGAAGCTTTGCTTCCGACGGAATAACGCAATCAGGCGAACACTCGGACTTCCTTCACAGTCGTTTACGGAATGTCATGTAACGATGCACCCCTTCCCCTCCCCCGCCCGTCTTTTATCACCCCACCGAAAAAGGAAGGGGCTTCCAGGTGGACTGCTAATCGCTAAAGCGGAGAAAAATTTAAACAGCCATTTTTTTTCGATCAAGCGCTACGCACGGTGAATTTTGACTCCTCTGCTTACAAACTAAGCCGTCGTGTTCGAGTTTTACGTTTTTCTGATTTTGAGGATTGTTTTGGATACGCAAAAACGAAAAAGTTCCTACACAAAAAAACCGTATGGGGAAAATCATCTACAACTGGCCATGAGATGGTGTTTTGCTGCTAACACAAAGTACTAGCCTCCTGCTAAAAGATATGTCAACTGACAGAGGGGGTGGATTAGTGTCAAAACTGTAGACTGTTTTAAGAAGTGACTGTTTCCGTGAGGTGTGGTTAAATCGAAGCAAAAAACATTGGGTTTCCGCTTCCCCCCCATTTAGTTAGGTCTTTCCATGAGAACTTTGGAAAAAACCGTCAAACCTCACTTGTCGCGTTTCAGGTTCTACGCATTTTGGTATAGCTGCTTGGTACAGCGCTCAGGCACTGCAGCATGGAATGATAGTAAGTCAAAATTTCGACACTTTATTTTGGAAGAATATCCCACAAAAGTGACTAGTGCTTCAGGCGGGTTAGGATTTCTCGAGGGTGATTACCCAGGCACTGAAGATAAATAAAGCGGCTTTCCATTTCACTGCTGTTTTCGTAGTTTTTCGTTCCAACCTCAAATTTTAGAGCAAAAAAAAAGTTTTGTTTTACGAAAACTGGCGAGCACACGGTACATCGATGACGATGTTAAGAGTGAAACATGTGATAATTTTCAACAACAAGACGAATTTCACTCAACACTAGAAGACAAATTTATTTGCCCACTATAAAGCGTGTTGGTCTTTCTACTGAAAGAAATATTTTACCGGTACACGGGTAGCAATATCCGCGCACCTGCCTTTGCACGGCGCGCGAGACTTTAAACTCTCTCAGTCTTTGATAAAAATAAAGCAGTTTTTTGTTCCGCAAGTTGTTCACCTTGTATGGTTTATGCTAAAACAAATACTAACCTCATTGTCGGGGAAAGTGGTAGCGGCGCGGTATTTGTCCATCAATAGTAACCTCCGCGTCGGTAAAAAATTATTAGTTAGAATGGAAAAATATTGAAATACGTGAGAGTTGCTTCATTCTTTCGGTATCGTAGGGTATGAGTATGTCGAACACCTCCCCTGTGGTGGTACCAACCAGGGCAGCCAAGGTGAGTTTCTCAAGAATACAGTACGTCGATTATTGGGTTCCCTGATTACTTCATGAAGAATATGAAACAAACACCCGAGCTTGCGTCAGAGTAAAGAGAGTTTGACTTATCTACAAGCGCAGACTAGACAATAGTGCACACGCTAACATTGCACAGAATTTTAACAAAGTCATCGAACAAGTAAGAAATGTTTGCCTCACCTGTCGTCTTGTTTAAGTGTTACTCTCATTTCACCTTTTGCTCCGCCGTCGCTCTGGGCTATTTGTGTCCATACGTTTTCAGATTTAGCTTCGTTTAAGCTTTACCCTTGCGCTTTGGATTGGTTACTTGTTTACCCGTTTACGCTCTTGGATTGGCTGCCGTAACAAAAAGTTAACGCAGGAGCCAATCAAAGCGAATGGCAATTTTGGAAGGAGCCAGTCAAAATTCAAAGTAACACAGGTTACCCACCCGCCCGCAAACACAAGGTAACCAACCTTGAGTGCGGGAATAACGCGCCATGACTGTATTTTATTTTTGCGTCTGACAGGTTGAGGAAGTAGCAGCAGTTTTTTTTTTCAATCATTTAGAGAGAATAGCGAGGAAAATGCTCCATGAGCACAAGCTACTTTCAAATCGTTATCGACTGAGTTAAGATTATTCATTGGCTACGCTCTGTAAAAAAATAAATAAAACACCTGAAATAGCTTTATGACAGCTGAGCGTCTTGACTAAGCTATGTTTAGTTGAAGTAGAATCGCATCTGTCGAAATTCCAATCAAGTAAACCATGAATAAAGTAATTTCCTTACCTTAGTGATTGCACATAGTGTTTTAATCTTATTTCATTACATAGCCATCCATTGGAACAAACCCTCTGTCAGTTGCCGCACCAGGGAGGGAAGGCGACAATTTTCTCCTAGATATGGCTACTTCAGCAGTGGCATTTGGAAAGGTAACAAATAGCATTTGGTCGACTCGACTTTGTCTGTTTCCTCCGAAAGAAAAAGATAAATGAGCCGACAGAAAGACTGAGAGAAGGACAGACAGACTGACCAACGTGCAGACCACAGACAAGCAGAGAGGGAGACAGGCAGGCAGGAGAGAAAACACATAAACAGACTGGTAGAAAAAGGAGGTTGACAGACTGACTGATAGACAAAAAGAATCACTGTATTACTTCATTGGCGGATCTAGATAGTGTGTGGGAATGGGGGAGGGCGTCTGGATCCCCTCATTGGACCTGTGGGTTCTTTTGTTACTTTTCTGGCATCGAAATTCTAGCAACAACTGGATCACGTATTATTACTCAACCTACTGATTTGTTCTTTTGTGTAACGCAGGGAGGGGGAGGAGGGGGGTAATGGGTAGGCGTCGGTTGGTCAAGAAGTAGATTCGCAATCCTCATTAAAAAATTCCTGGATATGTTTCCTGTTCCTTGAGATTGCTGCTTACTTTCTCTGTTTCTAAATGTGCGTGTTTAAACTTAGAGTTTCTTTCTTTATTTAGCTTAGAATGTGTCGTGTAAAAGGAACTGAAATGCCTCAAGGATGGGGTGTCGACTCAAAAGGATTGGTAAGAAATCATGTGAAAAATCCGCGGTTACCAAGCGATGCTTCGATTGGCGAAGACACGCCTTTTGCAGTCGAAGTCCAAGAGCTTTCACATTTTAACTTTCTTTTCTTTTATCCCTGTATTTATTTCGGCACGTCAGGTCAGTTCATCCTCTGGAGAAGTATTTTATGGGCCAGTCTATCCCTAGGCATGTAGACATTTTCATGATATTTGAATGTCTTTAAACGGGACATAATCCCGATTGTCCAAGAAGTTGGTAAAAAAAAAATAATAATAAAAAAACCGGTCAAAGGTCTGCGCATGTGCGAACGTTGTAATGACCAGGTCATAGTCACATGCTTTTAGGCCGTCAGAAAAAAGTTCTCTCACAAATGTTACAAACAGCCACTTCAAGCCAGTAAGTCACAGTGTTTTAAAAGCGTATGACTCTTTTGGTAAAGCTCAAAAAAATGATGGTAAATCAGCAAGATCCCCGTACTTGAATAAGCTTGTGTTCGAAAAGTCTCGAGTTTTCCATTCCCTACTTTGTTTCTTTTTAGAGATCTTTAGGAACTTTTCAATTTTCTTTCGCTAATTTGGCGAGACAGCGGTTGCCTTATGTTTTCCTTCGGAATTTTGCGCAGGAAACTGGTGCGCGAGCGGCCAAAATTAATCCCCTCGCGCATGCCCAACATTTGACCGCTGTGTTGTAAAAAGGCCACTTCATCGGCTCATTGGTTGTCCTTTTACTGGCCCTTAAAGGGGTCATAGCTTGAAAAATCAGCCCTCTTAATTCACTGCAATAATTATTTCAACCTTTTCATTTCTTCGTTGGTGTTTTTATGTTACTTCTGAAGGAGATAATATGCGTTTTGTTAGGAAACTGTTGATCCTGTAGAGGCAATGGACCGGGGTGGACTTTTTCCCTTAGGTGGAGCAGAAATCACAGGTAAGTCGGATCAAGGTCGGTACCTGAGCAGCTGCGCACTTACCCCTCCCCTAATCCAACAACTGTCAATTGATAACAAGTTAGAGTTAATGTTGGGCTAGGGGAGGGGTAGGTGCATGCAGTAGTTGCTCAGATACTGACATTGATCTGCAACTATTTTCACATTGTTTGGAAATCAGACGAAACTATCTGTTGTGCGTAACATATTGCTTCTGTTGGCCAGGTGGATATAAAGGTTTTGGATTAGCCATGATGGTGGATGTGTTTTGTGGGATGTTATCGGGATCTACGTTTGGAACAAACATCAAACGCTGGAAAGGAGAAGAAGAACGAGTACATAATTTGGTAACAAAGTGATTTCAGCTGTTTTATTCACTGCTTATTTGTAAAAATGGCATGTTGAAATGGAAATGTTACCATCTGTTATTGTTTTTCAGGGTCATTGTTTCATAGCAGTTAACCCTAAAGTATATGCTGACGGATTTGAGGATCGTATGCAAGCTTCGATGGATCAGTACAGAAATTTGGAACCGGTTGGTAGTGTGCGACGGATGATTTTAAGAGTTATGAAATGAAGACGCAACCAAACGCAAACAGATTAATTCGCAAACAAACAAATAACAGTAAAAAGTGAAGGATGGGTAGGCATGCAGTAAGATAGACAGAGAGACAGACGGACAGAGGGACAGACGGACGTACGAGCAGACCATTAGATAGACCGTCATACAGTCCGACAGACTGCTAGATAGATGGATGAGCAGGTTATCAGACAGACAGACAAGCAGACCATCTGACTGACAGGGTGGGAGACAGAGAGTTAGAGCGGAGAGAACGATGAACGTTGTGTTTATAAAATTTTTGAACCAATTTTCCTCTGTATTTGTGTGCTTCAGGCGGAGGGTGAGACTGCGGTTTTGGTGGCTGGAGATCCTGAAAAAGAACACATGCGCAAAGTTTCTGAAGATGGAGGCATTTATTACCATGAAAATGTGCTGAAATCCATGGTTAGTATGTTTATAAGTTTGAAAATTGTCATAGGATTGTAAAACAGCACACAGCCACGTGGGTGGGACTCCCCGGAGCGACTGTGAGACTACCTTGTTCCTCGTGGCAGACGTGGGACTCCTTGCAAAATGGAAAATTTTCTTAACCAATTCGTGCTCGTGGTTTGAAGTTTATTTGACTTCAAAAAGATGTAATTTTATCACTTTTACACGGTATGACAATACTGCTCAAACAATTATCTAGACAAAACATGTTGGTTTGTCGTCTTGTCCACCATGCGCGAAACCAGTGTGCTACATTTTAACCCCCTTAGCAAGACATCGCGAGGGAAGTATTGAAATTAAAGAATCCAGAAATGGAAGTCCCATACACGACCTACCTACCTACTTTTGTAGTCTTTCTTGTCATCTAGTTTTGCCCTCCACATCCTCTCATCAGTATAAGTATCCAAGTTCTCCTTACTGTTCTCTTTACATTTCCTAAGGTGCTTACAAGGAGAATTTGTTTAACAATCAAGAGCTTCTGTAGTTAGTGATCATTTCCTTTATTCTCATGACCTTAATGTGTGATTCAGGGGTGATATTGTGAGGAGAAATTAGATGCTGGTCACTCTTAGGGGTAAAAGGGTTGAAGGTATCTTGGTTGACTTACCTCTAGATGTGGGTGCTAGGCAGTAGCAAGAAACTGCCTTCTTATATTTATGATAAAATCATTGTAATTATTTACGTGACTAGTGTTGGTTTTTTTTTTGTTTGCAGGATAAAATTGCTGACAGATTAGGTGTGGCCTACCTACTGAAGCAGTAAAAGCCTTGCTTAATATGCAGTAAAATTCATTAGTTTATCGCAAGATTCAGCGATGACGTGTTTGGTCACTAGTATCAAATGTAAAATTATTATAAGTTCAGTTACGTTATATATAGAAAGGAAAGTGTGAAACTAAATTAGAATAAAAATGAGATGGAGTAAAACAAAAGAATGTACATAATTAAATGAACAGTTTTGCTGTTAATTATTACTTAATGGAGGGAAGATCCTGGTGTAGTCTCTAAAGCCAGTCCCAGCCTTTTTCCGTCTTGTACTTCTGAAACAGGTTTTAACCCGTTACACCCTAACATCAGTATGCATATTCTCCATACAGTTCTCTAAGTACATTTCCTAAGGTGCTAACAAGGAGGATTTGTCTAACAATCAAGAGAGCTTCTTGAGTTCGCAATCATTTCTTATATTCTCACGACCTTACTGTTTGATTCAGGGAGTGATACTTGGGAGAAATCAGATGCATATCCCTCTTGGAGGTGAGAGGGCATAGAAAGGGTTACTATCCTGTTAATTTTCTATTTCACAGTTCCTTTGTCGCAAATAGAAAAGGAAAAAATTCACTGACAACTCAGCAAACCATATTTCTTTTCGAGATAATTTGGTATTATCAACTGAGTTGGTAATGTAAATTGGCCATCGTAAAGAGTTTATAAAGCTGACGTTTCGAGTTAGCGTTAGCCCTTCATTGGAACCCTGCTACTTTGGTAGTAACGAAAGTCACGCAACGAGTGAAAACTTAACAAGAAACGGCCGAGTGTGTCACGCAACTGCTTTTGTTTTGCGCATGGTTTTCCGTCATTGGGATAGTAAAGTATATCCGACCGTGGTCGACTCAGTGTAAACCAAAATGCACAGGCGGGTTCTGGTTGCCGAAGTGCGCTCGTTTGTTGAGCGGTGTATGGTATCAGTGGGCACAGATCCAAAGCACGGTGCAGCTCTTTCTCAAGTTCTCACAGAGGCTGATGTCAGGGGACATTTCACTCACGGGTTAAACAGATTAGGTCCGGTAGTTAGATAAGGGCGTAATATGTGACTAACACAGTCTATAGACTGTAAGATTTTACGCCACTATGTGCGTCGGTGTATATATATGTAAGATTTTAAGCCGTTAACTAACGGCGTAAAATCTTACAGTATATAATTTACCGACTGGAAGAAATTACGCCGTTAGTTACTGGCGTAAAATCTTCCATATTCCCGATTAGGTCAATTATGATTTGTATTAATTACTCAAAATATTAATTCATCTGTAGCTATGAAGCTTAAAAATAACAGGAAAGGAATCCGATCGAAGGAAACATCTTTTGAAAGTTCTAATCGAACATAATCGTTGTTTCCTTCCTAGAGCTGAGTTGATTAGAAGCACTTTCTTTCGCTTTTCATCGGTAATATTTTCATTTTGGCTCGTCGATATCACCGACTTCACGCTTGGAATCATTTCTTTTATGCCCGCTAAGTTTTTTCCCTACTCATCACCTTAGCTTCTATTACCAAGAGACGATTATCTACTTGTGTTAAGTAATTTTACTGACTGTTTTACTTCAAATTTTTTACGAGATCAAAATTTCTGTCTTCTTCAAAATTTCCGTCTTCTCCAAAATTTCCGTCCTCTTCAAAATTTCCGTCTTCTTCAAAATTTCCGTCTTCTTCAAAATTTAGGATCTCAAAAGTACTTAACATGCAATATAAGGTTTAATTCTTGCGTATGTTGATAAGGAAATCCGAGGTCAAAAAACAAACTTAACACACTTCACGGCGAACTCAATTATTTGTGTTCATTCCAGCTAGAAATTAAGTAGTAAAAGGGAATTAGCCGTCTGCTACATACGTGCATGCACCCATAACTTATATTACTCTAGGATTTTATGATAGCTATAATCAGCCAATATCTTTGAGAAATTAATCAATTTATTTCATCGATTTTTTTAATAATGCTAACACTCTTTTAACTCTGCGTTACTTTGTTTTTAAGAAATTTACATTCGTGACATAAAGAATGGCATCACGCAACCGAAGGGTGAACCAAGCATTGAAAAGGACTTTGCAGCCTCCGCACTGGTTGATGGGAACAATCTTCTTGGTCCGGTATGAATTTCTACACATTTTCTTTCTAAATTTGACCCTTTGCACTCCAACATCAGAGTGCATATTCTCCTTACTGCTCTCTATACATTTCTTTAACAACCCAACGACTCGACCCAAACTCCCCTCGTTTTTTCACTCCTCCGCTACTTTCGCGGCGTTTATTATCGCGTTCCGTTTTATTTACTAAACAACAATCAATCAACTTACATAGATCTTGGATCCTCCAAAATCATTTTGGTTCTCTTCAGTCTTATTTTTTTCTGCAAGCCGAATAGAAGCTATGTACCACTGTATGTTCAAGTGAACTGAGTAGGAAAAGTGTTAAATTTCTTTAAAGTTTGTCCGGCTCGGAAAGACGTTTATTTTCCTCGTTAGTCACGTTTTTCGTTTTAGTCTTGTCACGCAATACAAGAAAATCAGGCATAACATGCATAGCTCTCGATGCAGTAACTAGCTTTGATTCACCCTCTTCTGTCTTAAACAGGTTGTTGGTAACTTTTGCATGGATTTAGCCATAAAAAAAGCAAAAGAGTATGGAATTGGCTGGATTGCATGTAAAGGTAACGTATTCTTTCATTACAGATAGCTGCTGCTGAATTGTGACTTGGAGTGCGTTACAGTTACTCTTAAGAGATATACCTCGTCCTGGCACACCCAGCGCACTTTGCGTCACACTTTCAACTATTTATGCTCTGAAAATCTCTGCGTCTTTGGAGGTTTTGTGGGAGTCCTTCCGCGACGTTGTCGTGAAAGGGAATTGCAAGTATACTAGACATTTTCTCTGCTTGTACGCGCACGGGTGGATCCAGGATTTTGCTCAGGAGGGTGTGCACCACTAAGGAGTGACGAAACTGAAGGGTTACAACAGATTTTGTATAACCGTGAAGTGAGCCGCAGGTCATCTCAAGGGGGGAGGATATGCGACCCCGTGCGGCCCTCCCTTAGATCCGCCCCTGATGTATACATCGTGTCTAGATCATAATCAGGACAGGCAATTTTCCCTTGATTTTTATTTAAGGCTCAACACATTTCGGTATCGCAGCGTGGTACAGCGGTCAAGCACTACAACATGGAATGATAGTAAGTCGAAAATAACAGACATAAGAGCAGTTTTCAATTGAGGGTCGAAAAACCAAAACAAAAGTAATCCTATCGACCAATCAAAACAAGGGTTTGCATTATCAATAGCCAATGAGAACTCAAAGTGAAAGCAACCAAACTGCTTGAAGCGCGGGAAAACGCCTATGACCAAGGCGTCGCAATTGTTTTTATTTTTGCATCTGATTGGTTGAGAGGATGGCGCCAGTTTTCTGGACCAATCACAGAGCAAAGTTAAGTAAAACCAATTAAAGCAATACCGGATGACTTTCGACACTCAATTGAAAATTGCTGTAATTGTTAGGTGTGCACCAACGTTTGCGTAACTTGAAAAACTTATCAAGATAAGCAAGAGTTGTTCTACTTCATTCACTTCTCAGGGTATGAGCATGACAAACACTTCCCCTGTGGTGGTACCAACCAAAGCAGCTAAGGTAACTTTTTATAAGCATCGCAGTATGAAAATCATTGCGGATTCCTGACCAGGCCATTAATTGAAATGTAAGGATAAATAAGTTAGCTTTTTCTTTCGTTATTTCGTACGCGTGGTGAATCAGTCTTTGTTAATTTTCATTACAGCCATCTATTGGAACAAACCCGTTGTCAGTTGCTGCCCCAGGGAAGGATGGGGACAGTTTCCTCCTGGACATGGCCGTGTCAGCAGTGGCATATGGCAAGGTAAAGGTGACTAAATAGGTGGACGGAAAGAAAGACAGACAGGCATACAGGCAGAATGACAGACAGGCAGGCAGACAGACAGACAGATAGACCGATAGACAGATGGACAGGTAGACAGACAGGCAGATAGAAGGACAGACAGACTAACAGATAAACGGACAGTCAGATAGTTAGACAGACAAAGATAGACAGACAAGCACATAGACAGACAGACAGACAGGCCGACGAACAAACAGACAGATAGACACACGAACAGAGAGATAGGTTGATGGACAGATAGACAGAAAAACGGATAGATAGTTAGACAGACGAAAACATATACAGACAGATGGACAGACAGAAAGATGAACAGACTGACATATGGACAGACAGACAGATGGACAGACTGACATATGGACAGACAGATGGACAGACTGACATATGGATAGACAGACAGATAGGCAGATGGACAGACTGACAGATAGAGAAATAGAACGAAGGAACGAAGCGAAGCGAAGCAAAGTGTCAGCATTGCTGGTGATTATAAGCTTTTTTCAAGGCGTGTAATGTACTGAATCTCAATTCATTTTGCCCCTTATTTTGTTTCAGCTTGAACTATGCCGTTTAAAAGGAACTGAAATGCCACAGGGGTGGGGTGTGGACTCGAAAGGATCGGTAAGAGATTACGTTTTAAAAATGGCACATACACTTCTTGATGAATATGTGACTTTCCAATAGCTTTCATATTGGTTTTCTTGGAACACACACAGTCACCGTAATCGCCCATAAGAGAAGATGTGGTCTCTTGTCGCCCCATTAAAAACATCGGGTCTGAAAAGCCCCCTGTTTAAGACCTTAAATGGCTAAATGGTATTTAAAATTGAAGACCCACAAACCACACTGTGGTTAGGCTCGAAAAAAAAGCCGCTCTGCGGAAAATGAACCACGCTCCTCCCCACAGATGGCGAAAATCAGACCAGTTTCCCCCAAATAAGGGAGTTTCCTCCAAGGGTGTCGTACCTTTCTCCGCTTTAATAACAGGCTAAAGCTTGATACGTCACCTTCCTAAGTTTGTTACGAAAGTCCATCTAGTTACGGTGTTGAAAAAAAAAGCTGTATCTGTTTTTTAGGAAACTGTTGATCCTGAAAAGGCGATAAAAGAGGGTGGATTACTGCCTCTGGGAGGAAAGGAAATTACAGGTGACTCAAACGCTAAATTTAACTAGTTTTAAATAAAATTTTTAGATTTTTATTCCTTTTTTATGCTTACAGTTTGACAGAACTTTAGCAACGGAGGCAATTTTTTGGCTGCTGAACCTAATAGTCTGTCTTCGAATTACCATTTGGCAAATATTGGGCCTACATTTTTCAATTTTTCATTTCTAATTGGCTTTCCTGTTGCCATTTTGGTGTTAATCTATCTTAAGAGATTAACATTCTCTCGTTTCTCTCTCCTGTAGGGAATTACAAACGTCTCATAAAAGTGACTATAAGTAGACGATAAAGTCCCTTGTAAGGCTCCGTGTCTTAATTCAATCTCTCTTCTTTATCGAAATCCACCAAGCAGAAAGAGTAGTGCCCGTCCTGACGCCACTCTACAGAAAACAACAGTTAACCCTTTGACCCTTTAACCCCTAAGAGTGACTAGTATTTAATTTCTCCTTACAATATCACCTCTGAGTTACACTTCGAGCTCACGAGAATAAAGGAAATGATCACCAACTAAAGAAGCTCTTGATTTTTAAACAAGTTCTCCCTCTTCTTGGGGCGTAAAGGGTTAACTCTTAGAGGTGATTAATATGTATTTTCTTCCAATGATATCCATACATTATCCAGAAAAAGTAATGAGAATACTCAAACTGATCAAGTTTAAGTTGTTTTCTTGATCTAACACCAAATTCTCACAACTAATTTATAACGAAATGTGTAGCAGTTAGAGAGGAGAATTAATAATCAGATCTTGGGAGTTAACGGGTTAAAACCTGTTCCGTCCTTTCTTCTTGCAACCCGTTTTGACGATGTATGAAGATCAAGGGACACATTTTCCATTGCATACATGTTTTTTTTTTTTTAATTTTCAGGTGGTTATAAAGGTTTTGGATTAGCCATGATGGTGGATGTGTTCTGTGGGATTTTATCGGGATCTGAATTTGGGACAAACATCAAACGCTGGCAAGGAGAGGAAGAAAGAGTGCAAAATTTGGTAACAATTTGAAATTGATTTCAGCTTGCCTTTGAATCTCTTAAGTGAGGTTCATATGTGTTCCTTTTTTTTTTCCTACGACAGGGTCAGTGTTTTGTAGCAATAAATCCTAAAGTTTATGCTGACGGATTTGAGGATCGAATGCAAGCTTTGATGGATCAGTACAGAAATTTAGAACCGGTCAGTATGTGATATGTGGTATTGACAGGCATGATGGAAGAGGAAATAAAATGCAAGACACCAGAGAAGGGGAGGGGGGGGGGGGTTAATCACACATACGGACAGACATGCATAAGGACATACAGACACACAGACCGACTGACCGACAGGTAGACAGACGGACCCAGTAAAGTAGACCAAAAGGCACAGACATGGAGACAGACAGACGGATGGACGAACGTACATACAAATACTTGCAAACGTCAGACGGATAAACTGACAGTAAGACAAGCCGAATATTGTGGATGCAATATGTGATATTGAAAGTTGTGAACTGAACAAGTAAACAGAAAACGGCATATAGGCCTCAGTTGGTCAGGCAGACAGACAGACCAATAGAAAGACAGACAGTGAGTCTCTTCATACCAAATGTGTTAGTAAGTTAACGCTAAAAGACAAACATACTGCTGAAAGGAAAACTGAGGCAGTCATGTAGAGAGAGAAAAGTCAGACCAACGGAGAGACAGACTGATGGGTAAACTCGCACATAGACAGGGAGACAGGTGTAACGAAGAAAGATAGATATCAGAATACAGAGAGATAATCAAATAGACAGACAGTCAAACAGGCCGACAGACAGACAAAAAGACAGGCAGACAGACTAATCAACAAACCGACAGACAGGCTGGCAGGCAAACGAACAGACTAACAAACCGAAAGACAGACAGATAGACAGACAGGTAGAAAGACCGATAGACAAACAAACCAACGGACCGACAGACGGACAGACCAACAGACAGAGAGACTGACAGACTGACAGATAGATAGACCCGCAAAATTGGGGTGTTGAAGAGGTAAGACTGTGTCAGACAGATGAATTTGATTACTTTCTGTAGCCTAGGCCGTGCACTTGTGGTTTCTTTGGAAACGATCCTTTGATATGATTATCTGTGTTTGTTTGTTTTTTTTCCAAGGCTGAAGGCGAGACCGCGGTACTTGTTGCCGGCGATCCTGAAAGAGAACACATGCGCAAAGTTCGTCAAGACGGCGCCATTCATTATCACGTTAACCTGTTGCAAAATATGGTTTGTAGTGTCAGATTTTTAGTATTTAGCCCTTTTATGTCCAGGTTACCTCTAGGAGTGAGTAGCATTTAATTTCTCTTTACGGCATGAATCAAACATCAAGGTTTCGAGAATAGCGTAAAGATCACCAACTGAAGGAGCTGTTGATCATTAAAAATATTCTTTACCAAAGGTCGTATTTCATACCTCCCCCCCTCAAGTGCTCACGGTGGTAGGAAGAAGAGAGACCTTAAGGAAGGCTTTGGAAAGAAGACTTGTATTTTTCATTTGAGCCGATACAACTTTTAAATGTTTTACTGTAAGTTTGACTTCGAAGGTTCTCGCCTCTAACAATACTCCGATTGACAAAAAAGAACGTTTTTCCCAGCCCTTGCTAATTTCTTCTATTGGTTAGCACAAGGGAGCTAATTTACAGATTTTTTTTCGGTCGCTAAGGTTGGCAGGAGAGCGAGGAAATAATGAAATATCTTAATAATGAATAGTAACAGAAAATTAATGTGTGTTGGTTTTTTTTTTGTAGGATCAAATTGCTGATAGGTTAGGTGTGGAACATTTACCAACGTTGTAGAGACCTTACTTGGTCCCAGTTCACACGCAGAAGGAAGGAAAATAAGACATCTTCAGTGACGTTCATCTCTAACTAAAAGTAAAATGTAGAGATTTAAGGAACTAGTTACCAGAAAGAGACCAAAACTAGACCCAGAAAAATGTTCTCTAAGATGGCGAAAAACTGTCAGCAATATCAATAGATATTAAAACAGTGATCCTATTGTAGAGCGTCTCAATGGAGTGATGGTTTTTACGGCTAACGGATAAAAATTTTGGCCATGCTACGGCTACGGTTAACCCAAAAATGGCTCAAGATGAGACATTGCAGGAAAGCAAAATTCAGAGGTTGATCGTCAAATAAAGAAGAATTACATTCATCTGGACCCTGCTTTGTTTGTGGATTGATTTTGATGAAGCCAATAGGATAAATTAGAATAATCAAGCAAATAAATAAATGAAGATCGTGAACGAGGAAAGGCGCGGAACCTCGAGGGTTTTCCCATTTTTATTGTCTCCCTCGCTAAATTGACCAGCGGTATCACGGGGGACTTGGTATCCGCGCCTTTTATCAAATGTCCTTGGCAACGAAACAAACTCCACAAGAAACCATGTTCTGTATTGTGGGCTGTTTACTACAGCATTTTCATTCTTTTTAACGATATCTGGAGTCGCCTTTCAAGTGTCATCGAAGCTTCCAAATTTTTTTTAAAGCGCTGCAGAAGCTTGATTTGGATTTATTTGGTTCAATTGCAAGCATAACTTAAATCTCACATCAACGATGTCGATCGCGGTAGCTACCCCGCGACATTGTTTTGGCCTCAAGGCCGATGTTGCTGATAATATTTGCTATCTGGATGAACAAACGATCATTTACCCGTCTGGATCGAACTGCATTTTGTTCAACATTGACCAGAAATCACAACGGTTCATACCTGGAACAGATAAAAGCGCTGGAATGACATCCATGGCTGTTAGTCCAAATCGAAGGTACGTCGCCATCGCGGAGAAAGGGGAGAAAGCTACCATAACTATTTACGATCTGAACACGTTGAGAAAGAAGAAAGTGCTCAGTTCTACAGAGGTTCAATCTAACGAGTTTGTCAGCTTGGCTTTCTCGCCAGATTCTAAATATCTTGTGTCTCAAGGAGGAAGACCCGACTGGACATTACTTTATTGGACCTGGGAGAAGGCGAAAGTGATGGCTGTTACAAAATCTACCAATCAGATGAACTCACCTGTTTATCAGGTAAATAAATAGTACTGGAATTCTCTTTTAAAATGTAATATCTATCTTTCTTCTGATTGAGCGGAAAGGAAGACTGCACTCCCGTCAAAGCTTTTTGAGACAAATATCGAGATTTAAAACTTGCTTATTTGTGACAATACTTAAATCCTGTCAAAGTGCTCTCTCTTTCCCCTTCATCTCTGTCACACAATTATTGCTGTCTGAAAATGAGGGAAAGGAGTCGAGATAATCAAACCAGTTTGATTGTTTGGGTGGAAATGAATTAAATACTAAAAAGTAAACAGACACCTTACTTTAAGTTGACAATTGCACGAGTTCTGGTGTATAAAATTCTTATGAACGATCTCACTGTATGTATTTATCACAGTGTTATTAGTTGAGAAAGTATTTTACTTGAAGGTAATTATTTATAGATAGATATCAACCAGGAGAACATGCTTTCAGTATTTTCATTGTACTGTACATTTTTTCCACTAACATGCACATAAAATTAGGTAAAAAAAATTGGTTGAACCTTGTGTAACACTTGTGTCCTAAATGAACTCAGTGAAGGTGTATAAATGACTCTCTTCTCTAAATTTCCTCGTGGTTAATTGTTAGAATATTGAATATTTTAAGTATTCTTTATTGTGGGCATGATTTTAGTCCGTCGAGGAACTACAATATTTTCAGTAATTTTCTACTGTGTACAAAGTTACGCTATTGAAAATCACCAAAATGAGTTTAACCCTGTTATCCCCAGAATTGATTAAGTTGTAGCTTCTCCCTGTAATTCCAATATGTTCCCTAATGCAAACAAGTTCAGAGAATATTCAATCTTATCAGCAAGAGGGTGTTGTGTGGTTATAACACAAAATTCTCCTGTCTTATTCACAAGGATCTGTTCAGCAGTCAGTTGGGAGAAATACTGATTAGATCTTGGGACTTACATAATTAACCAAGAACTGCAACTGTGGATGATTAGGGATGAAGAAAATTTTTGTGTATTTCAAATGACCAACTTGATGTAGCCCAATGAGGAAATTCTGTTTTTTTTTGGTTTTTTTGTTTCATACTTTAAGCCCCACATTTGTGGTGAATTTACCCTTAGACACCAAAGAGCATAAGCATCTAATTTCTCCCAATGGCATCATCCTGTAACAAAAATGGTTAAGATTTTGATGTATTTCAAATGACCAACTTGATGTAGCCCAATGAGGAAATTCTGTTTTTTTTTGTTTTTTTTTTTGTTTTTTTGTTTCATACTTTAAGCCCCACATTTGTGGTGAATTTACCCTTAAACACCAAAGAGCAATAAGCATCTAATTTCTCCCAATGGCATCATCCTGTAACAAAAATGGTTAAGATTTTTATGTATTTCAAATGACCAACTTGATGTAGCCCAATGAGGAAATTCTGTTTTTTGTTTTTTTTTTGTTTTTTTTTTGTTTTTTTGTTTCATACTTTAAGCCCCACATTTGTGGTGAATTTACCCTTAAACACCAAAGAGCAATAAGCATCTAATTTCTCCCAATGGCATCATCCTGTAACAAAAATGGTCGCAAACATAAGAAGCTCTTGGTTGTTGGACAAATTGTCCCTGTATGTACGATGATGATAGGGAGTGCTTATGGAACAGTAAGGAGAACTTGCATATTGATGTTAGGGTGTAAAGGGTTAATTTATAATAAAATCTTCCTTTGGGTGGTTTTGAACTATTTGTATTGAAAACCCTTGTAATTTCACTTTTGCTGTTTTTTTTTTCTTTTTTAGGTGACATTTAATCCTCAGGATAACACTCAGCTATGTGTGGTAGGGAATGGAATCTTCAAGTTGTTTCGTTACAGTGAGGGTAATCTCAAACAGTTTGCTTTCCAGAAAATGGAGCCACAAAACTTCCTCTGCCAGGCATGGGTGTCAGATGAAAGAATTATAGCTGGGACAGATAGTGGAAGACTTCTGTTGTTTGAATCAGGAGAACTGAAGAGTGAATTTCATGTTGGTGGAGGTGGGGCAAATGCTTCTGCTCCCACAAGGTATGAATCAGTTATTGACATCAAAAGAGTGCAAAAAAGCAAAAGGGTCAAGGTTTGAACCCTGGATGTTGTCATTGTATTGTTTTCTTGGGCTCAGAACCGACAGTTCTTGTAACCCTTTTAGACCACTGAGTGGAGTGTGGTACTGTGAGATGAAAGTATCTTTGCCCAAGAATATAATACAATGAGCCTGTTAGGTCTTGAACCTGGACTTCTTGACCCAGACTCTACTGTCTTTATTGTAACACCATTGCATTTTCCACCCAACAAATATCAGGATTTACTTTAAAGCAGTGTTTTATGGGATTTCCACCATTAACAAGAAATGCAGCCTAAACATACAACTATTAGAAAGTGCTATTTTTATATTTAGATAAATTATTTGAACACATAATTGACAAAAAGATTTACGTAAAGCTTTATAGCCTCTTACTGTCTCAAACACCCTTTTCCTCTTTGTTAACTCACTGAATTAATGTGGAAGAGATCATTGCAGCAATGAACACTACTTATGCTTCCATATTCATTTCTTCATCTGCAGTTTATATAATGATATGATTTTCATGTATTTACAGTTATTTGACTAAACTGTATAAATATTTTCAATGGCTTGCAAGGCTGAGACCCCCTTGAATTCAAGAAGGGGGCCCACTTGACCTTTTTTGGCCAACTTCTAGAATAAACCTTCTAATTCATTTTAATGATATTTTTTCAGGCAAAGTATGGCCAGTGTACCTGAAAGTGGTGTAAGCCAGGATGCTCCTCCACAAGTCACATGCATTATTGCATTTTCGAAAGGCTTCATCTGTTCAGGGGGAGCAGGAACAGTACACCTCTTTGAGAAAACTGAGGAAAAAGACTTCTACAAGAAGGCCAGAGAGATTAAGATTCCTGTCGACACGCAGAGTCCAGATCCACAACTATTAGAGAATCAAGAGATTGTCAATCTTACTGTGAGCCCATCAGAGGAAACTCTTGTCTGCAGCACCAAGACAAGTCAGCTGTACTGTATCACCATGTCCACTGCTGATCTTGGCAAGGTAAAGAAAAAAAGGGCAAATGGAAACAACTGTTCATAATAGAGAAAATGTCTTTTGTCTTGTCATGAGCGTGAAACAAATCTTCAGATTTCAATCTGATACTCCTCAAACTGTTTAGGATGTAAATTTTAAATCAAAATAATTAACATCATTCTACAAATAAAATTAAAAGCCCTCTTATTTTCATGAAAAAGTTATAGAATAAAATAAAGTTAAATTAATTTTGAATAATATAATTTTAAATCAAAAGCAAATTAATTTATAAAAGTAATCATCTAAGTACTGGTAGGCTAAAATATTAAAGGTCAACATCTGTGTAAACTTTTCCTTGTAACCTAATTCTAAAGTTCTTTTCCACTCAAGTATGTAAGTACATAATTTAACCTCAATTAGCTTTAAGATATTAAATGTGAAGATCAGATTTGTGATTAAATTCCTTCATGTTGATACCTTTCACTCCAAGGAGTAACCAAAAAATGATTTCTCTTCCTGCAATATAATTACATTCTTAAGCAGAAGGTTGATGAGAGTAAAGAGAGAGATCAACCAGGACATAATATACCCTGGTTAATCTTATGACTTTAGTCCTATGGATTTAGAGTTACAATGAACAATATTATTGTTCAATGTAACTTGAAATTCAGATTGTGTGGAAAAATTTTATTTAAATCTTTGGAGTGGAAGGGTTAAACATCATAAATATTGTTAATTGAATAAAGTTTCCTTTTAAAGATATAAAATCAATAAGTTTATAACATGGTATTGCTTTATTTACTTACAGAAAGGAAAGAGAGGCAAAAAAGCGGCCAGAAAAATAACTGTAATTGTTAGTATATGTCATTGGATATTTTCCTTTGAGATATGCACGTACACAACAAACTTCAGTCACTTTTATTTAATATTACAAAAACAGGCACATCATAATTCATTAGTCAGTTCAAAGCTTACACATCCCTCCTGGCAACCCATGGGCATTTGAGTGGGGGGATTTTAACCTCACCTGGGTGGGGTGGGATATTTGGACTGGAACTGTCAAGCAGATAAATATGTTTTATCTTTTTATATGGATGTGTTTTTAGGTAAAAAGTTCACCTCCTTAAGCAGGTGTCTTAAAAGAAAAGGTCTACAAGAAAGTCATGGTTGCTTACCTTGCCTGTTACAAAAAAATTGATGTTCAAATCCGACATTTGGGTGGGGAATTTGAACAGAAATTTGAACAAACCAACCTTGAAAGGTTTAAATGCCCAGAGGGTTGCCCTAAGGAGAGGGGGATGTTGAGGCTTTGAATTAATCAATAGTTACATAACTGCAACTTAAAATTACTTACAACTACATGTGTAATGATTGAACCACACACTAAATCACAAAATATATTTTGGTGATAATCATCAATTTATGTTCTTCCTATCCCTAAGTTTGAATGTCCCACTGACTGATTAGTGAACACTTGGCCATACATTTATAGTTACAATAGTTTTGTTATCACTTGAGCTCTAGTATTTTCCATGACTTTGTCTTGGTAAACATCGAGACTCTTATATAAACCAAACTAAATGTACCCTTTTGCATCAGACTTGTGCTGTTTATTATTTGTTGCATTGGTGTATGTGTTCTTTGTAATTAAATCAATTGCTGTCAGAAAATGAACTTTCTGTGTGTTCACCTTGTAATTTAATATTCCCTCAATGTGCCTTTTATGCTTACATACATGTATCTTGATTTCTCAAAAATGTACTCTGTAGGGTGATATTGCCACATTTGAGCTGTTGTCGCAGGCATTCCATCGTGGTGTTATCACTGGTATGGATGTTTGTATACGAAAACCACTGATAGCTACTTGTGGTTTGGACAGATCTGTGAGAATATGGAATTATGAAGTTTGGTGAGTTTTCAATTCTTTAAGTATTTGATGGTCATATTTTTTAGGCTTTCCTTTGCTGTTTTGTTGTCATAATCAAGTTAAAGATTGTCAGATTCTATGTACTCTCCTCTAATCAAAGATAGACCTTTAATTTATTCAAAGCTCAATCAAATCAAGGTACATGGATAACTTAAACTAAATGAAGAGTTAAATGCATTCAGTGGTCTTTACAGCCTTTCACAATATAGTTAAAACGATAAAGTTTATGTTCGCAGGCACAAATATGTTTTAAAACTCTTAAATAACAGTTAACCCTTTAACTCCCTTGAGTGACCAAGACAGAATTTCTCCTTACAATATCAATACAATATCAAGCAGACAATTGATGAGAATAAAGAAAAACATAAGTTGGTGGATTATAAGTTGATTCAATACTAAATTCTCCAAACTAACCATAAGAACTGTATGGCAGACAGTTAGGAGAATTACTAATGAGATCTTGGGAGCTAAAGGGTTAAAGTGAGCTCTGAGAAGGGTTCAAAATATAATTATGCCCAAGAAGATTTTTTCATTTTAGAGGGCCTGCCAAATTCTCTATTTTAGCCCGCAAAATGCGCCATATCGCCTAACAAATTGATAATAATAGGGATTTTGTACTTAGTTTCAATTTTCATCTTGCAGTTCATTGGAGCAATATAAGGAATTCCAGGAAGAGTGTTACAGCATAGCCCTCCACCCCTCTGGACTGTACATCTTGGTGGGATTCAGTGACAAGCTGCGACTTATGAACCTGTTGATTGATGATATCAGATCTTTTAAAGAATTTACCATCAGAGGCTGTAGAGAGGTCAGTATGTTTATTAAGATGCAGAGAGGGAGTTCTGAGGGGAAGAACAGTTTACAAATAGAATTATGGCCATAATATCTTTTGTTGAATGATCCATTTATTACGATTATCAGTTGAGTGAGGCACGGAAAAAGTTTCGTGGCGGGATTGTTACAGATAAAGTACGTTGTTGTCACGGGCGACCTTCCTCGTTTCTAGTGATAACCAAATTTCAAGAGCCGTGTGTCACCAACCGTCAAACCTAAAAGCCAGCCAAAATAGGTCAAACAACTCGTTACCACTGGAAATGAGGCTACTGTAGTTGCCCGTGACAACAGCACGATTTTAACGTCAAAATGTATTCGCTAAGGTTCTGTCTCGCCTCACCCAACTGAAAATCGTCGTAATCACACAGTGGCAAATATTAGGAACAGCGACTTAACATTGTGAGACCTACATGAGCCAAGATGGTAGGATGAAGTTTCGTTAGCAATTTTGTGACTTTTAATTTCTGAAAGGAAAACGATTCAGAGACTTTGGAGGTCTTTAAAAGAAGCGATTGACATGTGACTTCTTCCCCCATGATATCCATACATTATTCTGCAAACAGGTCTTGAGGATACTCAAACTTATTAGGTAGTTGTTATCTTGATCAAGCACCAAATTCTCGAAACTAATTGTCAAAGAAAGAAATGTGTAGCAGCTACAGGGGAGAAGGTAACTCCTAGATCTTGGCAGTTAAAGGGTTGATACTCCTGCATGACCAGTGCAAATCATAAAGTAGTTTCTGAGGCATTCATACCATAGCTTATCTCTTGTACTGTCCAAAGACCTGTTCAGGTGACGAAAACATTTGTTGTACCTTGTTTTTCTATGAACAGACCATTTTCCTTCCCCGGTAATTTATATGAGTAACTCTAGACAATGTTCTTCCCTCCTTGAATTATTTTTTTTCAAGTAGCCTTTCCACTTTAGAACCAAAACTGTTTTACTGCGTTATTGAGGTTTGGGATAATTTTTTTCTTCAGTGTTCCTTCAGTAATGGCGGTCATCTCTTTGCTGCTGTGCATGGCAATGTGATTCAGCTGTACTCCTCCACAACCTTTGAGAATGTTGGCAATTTGAAAGGACACAATGGCAAGGTAACTTAAATTTGCGTTAACTCATTATAAGAGAAAGTTTTATTTTATGTTTTTTCCCTCTATGTGTAAGTGATGACATTATAAGTATTGGATCTAGAAACCTAAAAAAAAGGAATGATTTGGAAGAAGGAGGTAGAACTTAAATATATTTTTAAGCTCGCCTTTCCCACCCATTCTACAGACCTGCGTCTGTGCGTATGCACAGTCAAAATATGTCTGAGCGGTACTGTGGATTGCTTCCGACAAGTGATATCATTGTTATGTATGAACTGATTGATATCTAGAATTATTGAGGAGACTCTAACTTCGCACTGGACGCTGTTGACATGGCTGAATTTAACAATGAGCGGAACAGTTTTAACATTTTGAAACAAGCACATGGCCTTGCTCAGTAATGATTTCTCTGTAACTCAGTTGGTAGGTCATCCAACTAGTAAAGGTGAAGGTCTAACACAGCGGTTAAACATCGAGCATGCGCGAGTGAATTAATTGTGAACGGCCGCGCAAATTTCCCAGGCAAAATTTTTAAGAAAAACACAAGAAACAACCGCTGTCACGCAAGATATATGAAAATTGAAGAGTTCATAGAAGTCGACAAAGAAACAGGAACACAAAACTTATTTTATTGCTGGTATCCTGTTCATTTACAGTTTTTTTTTGGGCCATATCAGGAAATTTATTTAATTTTTAAAACACCGTGAGTTACTGGTTTGCGTCCTTATGGCCTGAAACCACGCCTGCTAACCGTTGCAATGTGTGCACATGCGCAGACATTTGACCGCTGTACTCGGAAGGTCCAAGGCTCGTACTCCCTCGGTGTTGACTCAAGTTTCTTCCTTACCTCATCCAACGTTTGTTTCAAATGGTTATTATCCTTTTAAACGTAAGGGCTGTTACAATTTTTTTTCAGGTTCGTCAAGTGATTTGGAGCCAGGATGACAGTAAAATCATTTCATGTGGTATGGATGGTGCCGTGTATGAGTGGAATGTAACCAGTTACAAGCGTGAAGGAGAGAGTGTTCTCAAATCCTGTAGCTACACCGGTGTTTCTGTGTCCCCGGACAGCAGGACAACTTTTGCTGTGGGCTCTGACAGGACTCTCAAGGAAATTTGTGACTCACAGGTAGGATTTTAAGTATATACATTGTGTAATGACCAGAAAAAGCGTTTACATTGAGTGTCGTAATTCCAATCGGATTACGAACAGTCCCTCCTTTCATTTTCACGTCTTTACCCGCAGTTCAAATATATGACTTTAAAACATTCATAGTCGTTTATTCACCACTTCACGGGTTTATTTGAAACCAACTTAATGACCAGCTCCCAGTTGGCTTGTTAGCTCAGTTGGTAGAGCGTTGCACCAGCATCCTAGAGGTCATGGATTCAAATCCCGTACAGGCCTGAATTATTTTCAGGCCTTATTTTCACTACTGTTCAAGTAGTGTTAATTACTGCAAAGATCGCTTTCATATTCAAGTCCCTCCTTTTCGGCGAAGTCAGTCGCGCGAGTGCTCGTAGTCGAAATCATACCGGCCAATTAGAGCGAAGGAAATATCACAGCAAACTGAAGCGTGGAAGAACACGAGAGGCCAACACGCAATTGGTTTTAGTTTAGCGCCTGATTGGTAGAGAACGTAGCGCGAATTTTCTAGACCAATCACGTGCGGAGAAGCACGAACCGCACTTCTCGCACTTCTCGAGTGTTTGCGCGCGCTCGTTCTGATGACATAGGTTGCGTGCATTATATCTCAACAGTGCACTCGTGTGACGTAAGGCGCGTGCTTTATGGAAATATAATGAACTCGTTCTGACCAATCACGACGCGCGCATTTCTCTGAACATTTTATAATACATTATACATCATTTCATGTTTGTAGGACAAAATACTGGTTTCCATACCAAGAATGATCGTGCTTGTTTGTAAAGTTTGTTCTCCCTCTCGAAGTTCTCTGGTCAACTATTCATGAACTTGCACAGAAACAAATGGTCTTAATGCGTTCATCTTTTTTTTTTTCTATCCAACAGATTCTCCGTGAAGTTCCAGCTAATGACATTGTTCTAACCCAGTGTGTGATGTCACGTTCCGGTCGAATGCTCTTCGCTGGAACCAGTTCAGGGACTCTGCGCGCGATGAAATTTCCGCTGACCGTTCCTGGGGAATGGCAGGAACACCAAGTGCACTCTGGGGCAATCACTAAGGTAACCGTAGAATATCAAAAAGGTTTGAAATTCGACTGCGCGTCGTAGGCTTATTTTACAAATTACTCACTCTTTTGTTTTTCTTTTTCGTCAGATGCGCATGTCTTATGATGATCAATACCTGTTCACAGTATCCGAGGACGCTTGTTTGTTCATCTTTAAAGCTGTTGATAAGGAAGGCCGAGGAATGAAACGAGATAAAGAAGTGGGATATGCAGAGGAGATCCTTATCACCAAATCTGACTTGGAAGAAAAGGTCAGCGTCTATGAAAAATCCATAAAGTCTAAAAATTTAGCCTTCAGAATTCAAGGTCGTCGTCTTCAATCCTTGTCAATGGAGCTGTGCAAGAGAATATAAACTATAATCTTTTGATGTGCGTTTGTGTTTGAGCATGTTGATGACTCATTGGTCGCATAGGTGGCTCAATGTTTTTCAACCTATTACAAGGTAGTAATATGCAATTTAAGAGTCCATCCTAAGATTTTCTTTCAAGGGCTTGGGTATTGTGGCCCTACAGTGCCTGTTTTCCGCCTCCCCCCCCCCCCCCCTCCTCTTTTTCAACCTGGCATGCGCTCGAGTATTGGAGACTCTATCCAACGCCCCCGGTTGAAGTTGAAAACTGTCCGTAGAAAGATAGATAGTATATGTTGCACTTTTTCGGTGTATGGTTTTTCATTAACAGCAAACCTTTTATCGTTCTCTCAACTTAGAATTCCATGATGGCTGAGCTTAAAACACGTGTGGAGGAACTCAAAATGGAAAACGAGTACCAGCTTCGTCTTAAAGACATGAACTACAATGAGAAAATCAAAGAACTCACGGAGAAGTTCATACAGGAGATGGAATCTTTGAAAACTAAAAACCAAGTTCTTAAGACCGACAAGGACAAAGAAGAAGCGAAACACGAAGAAGAGATAGCTGACTTCTTGGAAAAGCACGGCAAGGAATTGCAAGATCTGGAGTCGGCGAACAACCAGAAGCTTATGTCAGAATATGAGAAATATCAAGAGCTTCAGGCCAAGAGCCAGAAGATGCAGGAGGATTATGAACGACAGTTGACGGAAATGGAGGAATCCAAAGAACAAGCGTTGGAGGAACTGACGGAATATTATGAGAATAAACTGACAGAGAAAAGTGCGCAGCTAGAACAGGTAAACAGGGCTACTTAGAGACATACACCAGAATAGAACTCATTCATCCCATATAATACAAATTCTTAACCACCTCACCCTGTGAATGAAATCTTCCCGCTCAGCAGAAGAAATAAACAACATTGCGCTTCCGCGCCGCTACAGTTTTGTGTATCTGTAAAACAGATGATAACTGGGCGACTTAAAACAAACAAAATTTTCCTCGCCTCTCCCTTAAAGTACAACCCCCTTCCCCTTCCCAAATACCGCGTAAAAAAAACTACACCATCCCGTCCACCTGAGAGATGACTTTATAAAACTATCGTCTTTATTCAACTTATTGTTCTCGGAAGTTTGGTTAAAGCCGCGGGAGAATGACAAGACTTCTACAGATAATAAAACTTAAGAACCTGTCTCTGGTTTTCGTTGTTCTTTCTTTAGAAAGAATCATTTTGTTTCGTTTGAAAGTCAAAGATTAGTTTAAGTTAAATTAAAAACTGTGATGTGTATTCGTGTAAGAAGTCTTGAGATACATTTTTAAGTTGATCATAAAAAAGAAAAGGAAACGCGACAGTTGTTCCAAGGAGGCACAACGTTATTCAATGGATAAATTGCTATCCAGTGGATAAGTGTCAGGAAAACGTACTGCGCTCTCCATCGGGTGTATATCTTATTAGACGTTTTGATGTGTACTATCACTGAATATTTTTATGCAAAGTTTAGTTTAAACCCGTTCTTACCATTGTTGTTGATATTTATTACAGTCACAAGACGAGTCACGGCAGCAGTTACGAGAGTACGAAGAAACGAAGAAACAAATTGAAGAGGATGCAGACCGAGAAATCTTGGATATAAAAAACAAGTACGAACGAAGGCTGAGGGAGGAGAAAGAAGCAAATCTGAGACTGAAAGGCGAGACAGGGATTATGAGGAAAAAGGTAACATCGGTTTGGCTTTTTAATCCCTTGACCCTTAAGAGTGACCAGCATCTAATTTCTCCTTACAATATCACCCCTAAATCACCCATCAAGGTCATGAGAGTAAAGGAAATGATCACCAACTAAAGAAGCTCTTGATCGTTAATCAAATTCTCCTTGTCAGTAGCTTAGGAAATGTATGGAGAATATGCATACTGATGTTAGGGTGTAAAGGGTTACACTTCTTGGTCATCGCGGAATTAAAAGAATGTGTATCATTTTCGTAATTAAGTTTTGATGTTAGAAAACGTCATCACTCTGTCATCTTCCAGTTAACATGTTAAAAAAAAAGTTCTGGAGAGAAATGACGGAAACTGAAGGCTCTCATCGTTAGCACTTCGGTACCAGTATTTCTTTGCACTCGGGAAAATATGAGATCTTGAGCGGCGCAAGCCTCCGACACGTCTGCAAATGCTAGCACTGATCATCAGTGCCAGACATCCGACAAACCTCTCCCCAGCTCGTCTCCAATCTTCCCGCCGATGGAAAAATCGCGCATCCTGCAGCGCTAATGATGAGGGTCTGGTTGCTAGCTAAGGTTGTCGTTGTCGATGTCACCTTCTCAAGCTACCTTATTTGTACTTAACACTGTCCCTTTTTTTCGGTGTAGTTTACGAGTCTACAAAAAGAAATTGACGATTACAAAGCTGAAATCCAACGCCAACAAAACGAGAATAACAAACTACAAGGAGTGATTAAGTCTCTGGAGAAGGACATCTATGGGCTGAAGAAGGAAATCCAGGAACGAGACGAAACCATTCAGGACAAGGTTGGGTGAAGGTTTTTTGTTTATTTTTGTAGATAATGCATTGGAGAAACATTTGATTGGTTGATTTACGGATTGTCTGTCTGACCGGCTAAATGACTTAATGACACACCGACACATCGATTTATTAACCAATTGATCCATCGATCGATTGGTAGGCTGTCTGATTGATTTACTGTCTAGCTGACTGACTGAGATACCGACAGGGGACGACCGGCTTACCAACCGTCAGGAGGACCAATGTACCGACTAACAACACGATCCCCTGCTGATTAGCTGAATAACTCGTGACTGATCCGTTAAATGACTTTTTATTTGCCTATGAGACAGACAGACAGACAGACAGAAAAAAAGAAAGGTAGACACACAAACAGAGAAATAGGCAGACAATCAGTATGCTAGACAGTAGGTCAGGACTAACAGACAGTTGTACGGTAGATAGACACACTGAGGCAATCAGGGAGGTAGACAAAACAGACAGATCAATCAGACCAAGCGTGCACATAACCAACGAGACAGGCGCAACAAAAAGTAAAATTATCAAAAGACATAGGGATAGACAGGCTGAAGACCAACTGAAAGACAGACAGAGACGCAACAGACAGAGGCGCAACAAAAAGTAAATTAATCAAAAGACACAGAGATAGACAGGCTGAAGACCGACTAAAAGACAGACAGAGACATAGATAGGCTGAAGACCGACTGAAAGACAGACAGAGACATAGACAAGCTGAAGACCGACTGAAAGACAGACAGAGACATAGACAGGCTGAGGACCTACAGAAAGACAGACAGACAGACAGACAGACTGACTGACTTACGGACCGACCGACTGACTGACCGATTTAATCAATTTGACGGTTTTTAAAGAGTCTAAAATCGCACCTCTGAATGAACTTCGACCTTCTTTTCCAGGAAAAACGTATCTACGACTTAAAGAAGAAGAATCAAGAGCTTGAAAAGTTCAAATTTGTCTTGGATTATAAAATCAAGGAGCTGAAGAAACAAATAGAACCGAGAGAAAATGACATAAAAGCTATGAAAGAACAAATTCAAGAGGTAAGCGACCGTTACAAGTAAAAATGTCATTCCGTTACCAACCTGCAGCGGGTGTTTATCGTATTTTCGGTCATTGGTGAACGAAAAATGGGCTGACCGTACGAAATTCCCATGAAACACATAAAAATTGCAACTGAGCTACATCCAGATCAGCGTAAAACGCGCTGAAAGCTAGCGAGCATACAACTCTGCGATCAGACTAAAAGTTCTTGCTGTTGACCATTATTGACGTAGTTGCGCGCGCCCTGCAGAAATGCCCGCGCGCCTCGCAGAAATGTCAGTACGCCCTGCAGAAATTTCTGCGCGCTCTTGCGTTGCCTCTTACTTCTCGCGCGTGCTCGTATTCTTGTTGTGGGTTTTGGCGCGCGTTTTTCCCTGTGTGTGCTGTGTCTCAGTCTTATTTTAACTACGTTATCGTCTGCGTATCTTGATTAAAAAAAAAAAAAAAAACGTCCTCGACGGTTTATTGATACATGTTAAAGGAATAATTGTAACCTATTGGTGTGAAAGGGTGAAGGATAGCGATCTACGTCACAATTGTTGTTGTTTATTTATACTTGATGACTAGTTGATCTTTTTCGGGAGACGTGGTGACCTCATGGTTGTAGTGCGCTGGACTCCGGGTGGTGAGGGGTCTGGGTTCGAGACCGGACCGGGTCATTGTGTTGTGTTCTGAGGCAAGATTCTTTACGCTCACAGTCTCTCGCTCCATGGGGAAGTTGATGAAATATTGGGTGATAACCTTGCGATGGACTGCCATTCAAGGGAGGGGGGAGAGCGATACTTCTTATTGCTTCATGCCACATAATCCTTAGCAAAATGTGGGATAGAAGCTCGAGATTTTACCGTACCTAACAATACTTAACATATTCTTGCCGCGAAAACGGAACAAGCTCTTTTGCAGTGTGGGCCACAAGCTAGAGAAGAGATTTAACCTTGCTTTGCATTTTCCTTTTCAACAGATGGAGAGCGAGCTTGAACGGTTCCACAAACAAAATACGAGCCTGGAATTGAACATCACTGAACTAAGACTGAAACTTAAGGCCACAGACAAAGAAATGCACATGGAGAGGCAAAGGGTAGGGAAAGTTTTAAACTTGGATTGTGTTACTTGCTGAGTAGAATTAAGCTGCTGATTTACTCACTTATCGGTATTGGCTGATTACGTTTTTTTTTTTCAATTTTAGGTGCGTGATGTTGAAGCTGTGGTGAAGAGATTTAAGACTGACCTTCATAACTGCGTCGGTTTTATACAAGAGCCCAAGAAACTCAAAGAGAATGTCAAGTCCTTGTATCAAAAATACGTCCAAGATGAATCGGTGAGGATAACTAGTTACTATTTTGTCTCCTAACATCGAACAGGTATCAAATCTGTCTTCTGAGCAATGAGAGTAAGCAGAAATAAATCATAGAATCAATTAGATCTCGATGTAAAGCCCCATCGCTGGTACCAAGGGCGAAAAAATAAATTTAACTTATACCAAGCGCGGGAAAACCTATGATCGATGCTAAGTCTTTGAAAAAGAAAATTAGTACATCATTGTGACTGAAATTATAAAATGTGGCTCAGTAGGAAAAAGGGTATCTTTACACTATCTGAACGAAAGTTTATCTTTTCATGAGGAAGTAAGGATGGTACAGTGGTGAGAGCGCTCGCCTCCAGGCAAATCGCTGTGGCCTGGGTTCGATTCCCGGCGTCACATGTGGGTTCAGTTGTTGCTTCTCGTACTTGCTCCGAGGTTTTTTTCCTCCGGCTCTCCTAATTGAATATTTAAATTGTTAAATTTCAATGCGCCTATATCTTTTAATTTAATAATTTTTTTTTCGATTTTAGCTGGACTCCGCTGGCGTGGATGCGGACATTCAAAGAGAGTATGCGCGTCAGCGAGAACATCTTGAGAGAAGTGTGGCATCCTTACGAAAGAAGCTTGCTAAAGATTCTGAAATCCACAGGGCAGATAATGTCAGAATTATGCAGGTGAGGAAGTAAAAACTTTTGGACGTCGTAGGAGTTCGTTTGAAATGTAGCTTACGAAGCACGTGGTTTTGATGGGGTGTATCTGCTCGTCTTGCGTTTCCTGCGCGTTCTACATGCATTCTTTTGCACTAAAGATGCTGTTAGCAGCGTGGCAGACGCATGACTGGAGCACAAGTCACACGCGCGATGGAACACGCAGTATTGGGGTAGCGTGCGAGCCCGTCTTGCGTTAGGCGTTTCACTCACCTTCTTTTCGCGCTCAAGATAATGTTAGCTGCACAGCAGGTGCACGGTAAGAATACAAGTAACATTTGCGACGGAACTTGCGGTTTTGGTTGAGTGTACTTGCCTGTCTTGCGTTTACTGGGCGTTTTACATGCGTTTATATCGCACTCAAGATGCTGGTAACTACGTTCCAGGCGCATGGCAAGAATACGTATTGCACTCGCGAAACGAAGCCCGTGTCTTCTCTCGCGCACATTCTGGTTTGACTTAGTCATGCCCAGTATTACCGTTAAATAAAGCGCCGCGACTGGACTGCGGTGCTCTTTCGGAAATCTTTATTTGGATCTCGGATTTGTTACATCGTTTGCAAACTCTTTAAACATTTGATGTCGTTTTATTTTTCTTTTTTTAACAAAACAAAGAAACGGAAAGGTCATTAAAAAGCCCCCTTCCTTTGTTGTTTTTGTTGTTGTTGTTTTTGAAATATTAATTGGATAAAATTGTAGAAGTATAAGGCACCGTATTGCACATATCACATGACATTTGATGCATCACACTTTACCTGAAGTATCATAAACACTCTCTTTTGCCAAAACGATAGGTGATAACTTATCGATACTGAGCAAACTTGTTTACAAAGATATCTTGTGCGCACTTCCTATCGTAACGTCATTTTTTAAACTTTTTTTTACCTTATCAGGAGAACGTCACTCTCATTAAAGAGATCAACGACTTAAGGCGTGAGCTTAAAATCGCCCGCACTCAAGTCCACGACCTGGAAACCGCATTAGGTGTTATGCGCAAACAACAGCAATTCCCCGAAGACGAAGAAATCGGGAATATGGAGAACAAACGGAAACTGTCCGAGGAAAATGTGGAAATGGAAAAAATGATAGATATGCAGAAGACTGAGATAAGGAAATTGCGAGTTCAAATAAAAGACATGGAGACCGTTATAAATTCCCGTCCGCCCTCTGGCTCCAGGCTTCCGCCGGTCGCTGTTGGGTAGGATTTTGGCGTGAAGGCTCTTTTACTGAAAATCGTGTTACATTGTCCAGTTATCTAGCTTTTTTTTTTTTCGAGTTTGGATGATGAGAGTTTTGTTCTTGCCTTGTAAATAGACACGTAGTCAATGCATTCGAGAAGGAAAGAATGAAAAGCCGGAACTGTCACTTAACAGCCTTTTTTTTTTTAATCGTAACTGTACACTACTATCCGAAGAATATGTAAATAAATCTGTATTTTGAACATAGTTAGCTTACTTTTCTGTCTTGGATTTATAAAGTGCATAAAACGATTTTTTTAGCAATCTACTCTTCAAAGACTTCGGTTTCTTCTCTATAGTTCATTGTTTTTGCGACTTTGAGTCACGTTTTTGGTTACTTTTCGGGTTACGTTTACGTTACTTTTTGTGTTCGTTGCTGCGTTACCGTTTGAGTGCGTTACGGTGTCAATTTTCTTTTCAATGGTACTTTACCTCTCCGTTCGCTTCTATGTCACATCATACCCTCACTACAAGTCACTTTTCACCTTCCAGCGTATTGACCTCATACAATCCTACACTGGCAAATACAGTGTCGTCATTGTTCAAAATCTGTTTTTCAGCACAGAGACATGAAGGGGGACACTTGCTTTTCAAATCACACTAAAACGTTGCAAAGGATAATGCGTTGATTAAAGCTTGTCTCTGTCGTTCCCCTTTTCCTTCATTCTTCTTTCCTCTCATGTCGGCTCCATAATTTCGAGAAAGCTCATCGGAGCGGGTTCTCACATGTACGGATTGGAGCCTATTTCTGTCATCTCGTCTAACATCCCCAAATGCCTTTGCAAGTGTAATTTGTATCTGAAGTTTGATCGAGTGATACGACTCTAGTCTCATACCCAGACCTTCCACGGCCAAGCGGTTGTGTATTTCAGTTACAGTTACACGGTAGGATCTGGGTACGAGACTAATACGACCCGGCTATCTATAAAGATTTGGTCATAATTGCAAACACTCTTACCAATAGATAAAGGAAAGCTTGCCACTTTTCCTTTTTTTATTAAATACTACAAAAGAAAAAAAAAACGCAAAAAAGCCAATCTTCCATCATCTTTTCAGTAATGTTACATGTATGCTCGTCAATGGTCCTTTTTTTTTGTTCCTTAAAAAAGCCCTTTCACTCTCTCTTCCATCTATTCTGGCCATGTATTTTCCATCAGAGTGCTTCCTTCTCTTTCCCTCTCTCTCTTTCTCTCTCTTTCTCTCTCTAGCGGAAAATCTACACTATCATAAAAATTTACCGGGTAGTTGTTAGAAATACCAGTCGTAAATAAGCCATACTGAATTCAATCTCAACTCTGGAAACCTCGCGATGCAAATTTTCATCAACCTCGTTCTCAGGTCATCTTTCTTCAGTTAAACTAAAGTTCATTGCACGTGTAAATTTTTCAGCTCATTTACATTATACGGTTCCTCGTGTTATGAATTGCTTCGCTTCTCAGGAAATTTAACGTCCAAATGCCGGAGCTAAAAGGATCAAGGAGTCCCTTTGCTTGTTCTTGCAAATCATACATGGACTGATAACTCACGACAAAGATTATTTTCCAAGTTACAACGAAACACAAGGTAAGGAAAGAATCAGTTCAACTTAAAAGTTTTTGTGAAGCGTGTTGTATGAGGTTGAGAATGAACGATGGTAGAGTTCTAGATTACTTCTCCAGACGCAGTACCGCTTCCAAGTCTTCGTTTGCAATTTCAAAGGAAAAATTTATCAGTTAATTGTATCAGTCCAGCCAAGCTGAGAAGAATTTTAGAGTAAGACATTTATTTTGCTTGGTGGTACATTCAAACCGATTTGAACTTTTCGAAGTAGATCAAGATCAATTCTTGATGAATAGACTTTGAGATTTTTACAGTTGCAACACAGAAAACATCAGTATTGCAAGTTCTCTGTACTGTTTTCTACTTAGAAAGGGCACTTTGCTTGATAACCAAGAGCTCCTTGACTCAGCGATCATTTCTTTTATTCTCCTTACCTTACTGTTAGATTCACCTTAAGGAGTGATACTGTTAGGAGAAATTAGATGGTTATCAAAAGATGAACCGCTCAAGTTCTTAAACCAGTGTGATTTAATTCATGGAGTCACGAGGGTAAAATTTCCGCACAGCCCCATACTACATTATGCGTTCAGTTCTTGGATAGAGAAAACAATGACAAAAACAATACATTGCCATTGGGAAAACAGATTTGTTTTACAATAGCATGGGGCTGTGCGGAAATTTTTACCGCCACGAGAATTTAAACTGTTGTTTTCGTCCGTTTTGCAGATACTCTATCCTAAAGATATATGCATATGAAGCTTATTAAGGGACAGAATGGGAATGAAAGCAAAGACTTGTGTCAAGGTAAGAGACAGCTTCCATGTTTCTTAAAACAGGCTCATAATGTGTACATGTGTCACAAGACGATGGAATAATATACGCTCGATATCCATGTTGATCAAACATGCAAGAATATCTTGTCAAGCGACGGGTTTGCTTGTGTGGGCTTGTTGAAATATTGGAAAGTAGTTAAGAAAGATTTGTCTGATGGCATGGCAAGGCATGATGGGAAAGATTTTCGCATAACCCCATACTATTAAAAAACAAAGCATTAGAATTACAAAGAACAGTATTTGCACGAAAGAGGGGTGAACTTTTTCTCAAATATCCTTAAGTTTAAAATTAAAACTTATGATTGTTCGAGCTTATGAACTGTCGTTAGGTAAAAGAAGGGGCAAGAATTGTATTGTGCACAGCCCCATACTTCATTATACAAACAGCTCTTGGATGAAGAAAGCAAAAGCGAAAACAGTAGATTGCCTTTGGGATTAGAGCGGGTTATACGGAAATCTTTCCAAAATAGAAAATCATAAATAGAAATATTTTAGCATTTTGTAGCTTTCGCGACAACTCTTGGAATATTTTCTAAAACTTTTCAAATTCAAAGAGTAGTTCATTCATTCCTTCATGGAAGAAAACAATAGATGACGAATTTTTAATTTTCACCTGGTGACATTTCGTCACCAAACTACGCTACCGCAAAAAAATGATCGGAATGTTAACAAATCTTTTGGTGCGCTATTGAAAAATGTACAAAAATTCAGTTGTATCTCTCTAAGACGTTCACCTTTTCCCAGAAAAAATTGAAGTAACCTTCATTGTCATGTCTCTAAAGATGAAGTATCTGGAGGGAAATTTTACAAGTCGCCGTTACAAATTTTCGGGTTTCTTCGCGAAATTGTTGCAAAGGGGAAGGCGTGTCGTTACAAAAATTCGACTCGTTGTAATGCAGGCTTAATTTGCACATTTTTCGATTGTGGTTAAGACTGATTTCGACCAGGCAAGTGGTCAGCTTCCAAATCTTAAAACGCGTTGGTTTTATTAAATAAAATTTGCAATTCTCACTCGTACGAATTTACGTCGACGAGAAACGATGTAATGCAGAATTCAGTAGATTTCAAGTTTTCACATCTCAGATTCATAGGGCCGGTTATTTAAACAAAGTGGAAGGACATTCATTCAATTAAATCAGCCCTCTTAGAGAAAATTCCTGAAGCCCACTGCTTGCGTAAAACCACGGTTTGAATTAGTTCTCGTGTCAACAACCGGCCCATAATGTTTTCAAAGTAATCGCAATGTTTTGGCTATTGCTCGGCAACATTTTCTATATCTGCGCAAATACAAATACATGGACATAGAATTTTGTGAACATGACTCTCAGAGAACATCATGCAGGTAACGTTTATATCCTCATCGACCACTGAACTCTCAAAACTAAATTTGAAGGAAGATGTGCAAATCAATTAGGAGAATAAGTGCATCGATCTTGAGCTGATCGGCTGAAATTAAAAGAATCGTCTGCATTTGCTGTAACCAAAATTATGGTAACACGCAGAAGATTTCAGGCCTTGGACATGTCGCGCGGTATGAAAACACTTTTTTGAAGCAGATCGTCAACATTTCCATGGGTGACCGAGACAAAATTTATCCAAACAAAACTAATACAATGTCAAGCAGACAAGTGATGAGAAAAAAAATCAATTGGGGATTATTAGTCGATCCAGTTCCGAATTCCCTAAGCTAACTTCATAAGAATTTTAAGGCAGACATTGAGGAGAATTGCTACTAAGACATTGGGGGTGAAAGAGTTGATTCTGAACAAGAATTTATACAGGCATTAAGAAATCATATTTAACACCTTTATTCTGTAATAGGGTCAGTTTCGTCCATAGTTTAGCAAGTTTAATAATAAATTAATAAAATAAATAATAATAAGTCCAATAAGATGTTGGGAGCGAAAGGGTTCACTTTGGACAAGAATTTATACAGGCAAAGAGAAATCATGTTTAAAACCTTTATTTTGTTATTAGGGTTAGTTTCGTCCGTATCTAATAAGTTTAATAATAAATTAATAAATATTATATATTTATTTTGTAAATAAGGTTAGTTTCGTCCATAGTTTAACAAGTTTGTTTACGTTACCTTGCAGTTCCTTCAACATCTCTTATTGAATTCGACCACAAGTAAGGAGAGAAAGAAAAAGATCGAAACGTTTAACAAGAAGGACATGTCGGAGAGGGAGGAACGACAGTTCGAAATTAATTTTTAAGGTAAAACCTGTAACTAAGCAAAGCCAACTTCGTGCCAGGAGAAATTTGACGATTGCTGCTAAACAAATTCAGAAGTTTGCTGCCAAAGCAAACGAGAAAGACGCTATTCAAACTCGTATTTTGCTGGGAAATAGATGTTTAGTATCGAGAAAGATTTAGTTTTTTCATTCAGAAATGACAGAAATTTGGATCTTAGAAGATGAAATTTTCTGTAAAAAGTTAATTTCATGTCGTGTTGAAAATTTCTCTTAAAATTATTCAAAACAGAATTGTAGTATCTCGTATCAGTCGATGAATTAATCAGACTTATCACACTACTTATCTAGTGATATTTATTTTTTTCACCTAGTCTTTTTGTTAGAATCTTTCATTAAAAAATTTTCCAAGATTTTCAGTTATTTTGGCGCTTTGTAGACTTTGTTATTTTGACTTAGTTTCATTTTTAATGCAATTTATACTTATCAATTGCTGTAAAAACTTTCACTTATTAATAAAGAGTTGTATCAAATAATAATAAAAAAAAACTTAAAAATAAGAGTTGTATCTTCACTTTATTGTCTTCCATTAATTGTACAAATGATAAAAAAAATAATTGCGCTTTTAAAAGGGCCTGGTAACAAGTCAAAATATAGGCTATCTCTTTTACTTTTTTTTGCGTATGGATGGTTACCGAGAGGAAAAAAATTTCTGCGGATTTGAACAGCGTCTAACATAAAAAAAAAAAAAAATATACAGAACTTTCAATTGGAGAAAATCAATCGCTCAAAGCAAGATTTTTTCCCGCCAAAAGACTTAGTATATTTTTTAATCAACATCAGACACCATTCAAAAGCGCAGACCTTTTTCTCCATGAACAAATTTCCCGCCGAAAGACTTAGCTTTTTTTTGGAAATTGCAGTAGGCCCTTTTGAAAGCGCAATTATATATTTATTCAACGATGTTAATGCAAACATCGCTCTACAGATGTAGATTTAATTTCTTTCGATAACTGGTAAATCCAAGGAGAAGGTCTGAGAAACTTTATTTCTATCAATACATTTCTTGAATCTTCTTGCATCACCACCACGTTCAAATCTGAAAGAAAAAGAATGACACTTTTTGGAGTATACCTTTCAATAGAAAGATCGCTTAGCGTTTTGTGTAATAAATTCAGTCTCTACTTGCGTTGGCATCCAACAGTATCATTTATGAACTTCTCGCTAGAATTGCTACGGCTCTTGTTACGATAAATAAAATCTTGACAAACGGAGGAATACCGAGTATTGCGTTTAAATCGAGAGAAATCCCATTATTTTCTCTTGGTTTAAATTTAGCACGAAGCGAGTAAGTAGTTTCAAAGCAAGTTGCCCTGAAATAAAAAAAAAGATTCTGTGAATGGTCAAGCTTTGTTGAATTTAAAAAATACACAAAGTTTGCAGCTTACGTGAAAATATTCATCAACGATAAGCCATTAAGCGCTTAACATTTCTGTTGCTTTTTTTTAATTTTACTTATCCACTCGGGTTCAAAGATGCGATAAAACATTAATAAAATTCTAAAACATGGTAGTGAAGTAAATGCGACAATATTTATGATCGGTTACTTTGACGAGCTATGTTTATAACATCTTCAAAAAAAAATTATCTAATCTCTTTCCAATTCCAGAATATTTCAAGGTGACTACTGAATGAACTGATCATATATTTTCGTGTTTTACATTCTGCGTCAAGTTTAAGCCGCGTTGATGAATAATTGTAATTTTATTTGAGTGGTTACACTTAAAGTGACCGTTAAATACAAGTGAAGGACAATACAAAAAGGCTGTTGGAACTCAGTTAAGGATGACTGTGACCGCTTAATAGAGGTAAAAATCACAATACTTAAAAGGAAAAAAGTTCGGGTTTTGACAACTGACCGCTTAAAACAGGGTGAGTGCTTAACACGGTACAGCTTAATACGGGTTTGACTGTGCGTGGCTTTGATAATTGAATTCAGCAACGTTCGCTGCATGATCACTCAGAGAATCTTTTAATAATAAAATTGTGCATGGGTAGGGCCCTTGAGAGCAATTTTCCCCACGGGGGCGGGAATTTGAACGAACCAATCTTCAAAAGTTTAAATGTCTGATGTGGGGAGGGGGGAAAAGTTTGAATGCCTGGGGTGGGGAGGGAGGAAAAAGTTCAAAGTTCAAGCTACGAATTGATCGACACATTACGTATTGCCTTGTAACAAGTGTCTTAATAAGAGATCAGTTTTATAGCTTGAGCTTAAAGCAATTTTTCTAAGGTTATCACAATCAGCGACAGATTGGAACTAACTTAGAATCAAGAGATTATAAGCCAGTTTATATCATCTTGCTTAAATGTTCAGATTTACCCAGGTAACCGATAAGCAACGACAACCATCGATCAGATAAGAGATGAACGTTTGACGGGATTAAGCTGAAGTTTGACAGCGATTCACTTTGAAGTAAACCTCAATGATTAGTGTCGCGCTGTCTGTCTTAGTTTTCTTTTTAAAGTGGACGAAACAAAGAGCTGAGCTCACAAATTGTACACAAACTTATATCGAATTCGAAAGAATGGGACTATGTAACTTACTTGAGTTCGAAGAAGAGCAGCAGACTTCGTTCGCTTTACGCCTCGACTCAGTTGGCTTGCCGTTGCTAGTCGTAGCTCACGTTCGAGGAACATTACTTACCGAAATCTAACTTTCAAGGTAGCAGCGATATAACATAACTGTTAGACGTTCTGAGCGTTTGGGACATGTTATACAACGATTTTTCTGACCAAAACTTTAACCTAACGGGAGTAACTGTTAACTAAGCAACCAAACAAAGTTCTGAGCTCCACGTGTGAAGATGCTGACTCAACGGAAATGAATATCGCATGAGTGAAAAGTTATTTGAAATTCAAATCAGACATTCCGTGTGCCTCGCAATCAGCATTCAAATTTTTATTCTAGGAGGGAAGGGAAAAACGGGATTTCTGTTAGCGAAATAAATTTTGTTTTGGTTGGTAAGTTTATAAAAGAAATGTTACTCAGAGTCAGTGGTTCTATTGTAAAAGATGAAAAACTGTCTGAACGCGTGTCAAATGTGATCGCAGCAATGACCGAGCTTGCTCAGTGTCTTAGGTTGTTCCAGGCGTGCAGTAAGAAAAATGAAGCCCGCCAGTAAGCGGCGCGATAGCCAGCTGAAGATTAAAAAGACGAGGGAAGTTCGGGTCGGGTCAAAACTCCCCTTGAATAATCCTTCGCTACTATTGTGTCGTTTAACGTTTACTATTTCGCTTTGTTTTACTAACAGAAGGCCTCGAACAAGCTGATATTTTCTGTCTTGCTGTGGCTCAGTGGTAGTGCGTCTGAGCGCGGAATTCGAAGGACTAAGGTTTGATCCCCTATTGGGACTCATCCCACGCTCGCAACAGGACAGGAAACCATCTTTCTTTGGAACTCAAATACATCAATTGCCAGCGCTTTTAATCCTCTTTCTCTCCCAACATGGCTCCAGTTGCTGGCTCAACCTTCGAACTTGACGTCTGGCGCAATAATTTAGGCGGAAGAACGAAAAAAAAAAGGAACCAAGCCAGCAGAAACTCGTTCCTGTGCTATTCTGTTCAGTAACACCCCCATAATAGCGGTATTGGGAGTTTCTCGGTTTCTGCTCGCCAACACAATCCAATTATATTAGTTAGTGAATTATATTCCCTTTATTGGATTTCACAAGGTTTCCTCAAAACTCATAAGCACGCGTTCTTCGAAGATCACAATAAAACCATTCACCTATTATGATAACCTACTCCTATTGGTTGAACGTCATCGTCTTTTTTCCGATCTAAATCTCCGTTTAAACGGTCATGATGGTTAACCCTTTAACTCCCATGAGTGACCAAGACAGAATTTCTCCTTACAATATCTATACAATATCAACCAGATAAGTGATGAGAATAAAGAAAAATATCAATTTGGGGATAATTAGTTGATCCAATACCAAATTCTCTGAACTAACATTATAAGAATTGTATGGTTGACAGTAAGGAGAATTAAAAATTTGATTTGGCAGTTAAAGGATTAAGATAGATTAAAAGATCACCCGCGTTTGAACACGAACTGTCATGAACTATCACGCTCTATCATCGCCTATCATCAACTATCATGTAGTTTTGACATGTTCAAATTCGACATGATTGTTGATGGTAGTTTTGGCCGTTTTAACGAGCTGATGAAGGTGAAATGATAGTTTTTCGGTCAGCAGTTTTGTCAAAAACGGGCTCAAACCGAAATGGCAATGTCTAAAATGGCCAAAATAGCCGTCAAAACTTTGCAGAATGTCTCGTCATTCTTATAATCTTTTGGTAGGCTTCAGTATCTTCAACTCGCAATTCTTGACTAAGTTTTCAAATGCCACCGAAATTGCTAACCTCAGCGCCCGCCACATTCGTTTATTCGTTTATTAGTAATCAAATTATCAAGTCAATACATGAATGGACCGCTGGACATCATCGATCACCATCAATTATTGTGACCGTCACTCCGCGCTATCATCCTACAGTCGCTTCCACTCAACAATTAGTAATCAAATTATCAAGTCAATACATGAACACCGCTGGACACTTGGATTCACTAACGATGTGACATCGCACTTATGAACTAAAGCTGGACTGTAACAATTTTCTTATACCAATTATCAGTCCCATACCCCACTCTCCCCCCCCCCCCGTTATTACATTATTACATTAATCAGCAAAGAGACAAACAAAGATATAATTGACACTTTTAACGGTGAATTATAAATATTTAATTAATCTCTGCTTCTTTCCAGTGTTAAATTATTGCAGGATAACCCGAACAGCCCTGAACTTGGGCGAACTATATCAATCTCGTAAATAAATCTTACAACTTCCAAATCATTAAAATTCTCATTCTTTTCAAATTACAAATATTTCAATTCTGAACTGACAGAGAGTTCAACACAAATAATTATACCTCATATAATTTCCCCTCTGTCTGCTCAAATATACCCGAAATTATATCAATATGACATGATGTGAAAGGTAAATCACAATTTACTTGCGGTGCGTAATATAATAAATGGAAGTTACTCCCTATTACAAAGCTCTCCCTAGATATATCACGACAAGCTTACGACGAAAAAATGATTGTGGTTATAAATGTGAATGTAAATGTGAATTATTTTTATGAAAATACGTGAAAAGACAATTTGCATTTTACCCGTAACTTAGATTAGGTTTTTGTGGTCCAAAAATGCCTAATTTCGAAACATTGTAATGTTCGCAAAAAGTATTAAATTCAATATTTAACTAAGTCCTCTTTTTCTATTTAAAATAGAACTTTCAAACTTAATATTTTAAGTGATATAACGTTTTTGTGTAGATGTGAAGCCGAATTTACTGTTTGAGTGACTGATACATAAGAACGCTTTTCATTTGAGTGTCGTAAACCAAATATCATATCAGCCAATCAGAGGGAAGGAAAATACTTTAAGAGCCAATGAGAACTCAAAGTATAAACAACCAAACTGGTTATTGCGCGGGAAAACGCGGGCGACCAAGTCATGATTGGTTTTAGTTTTGCATCTGATTGGTTAAGAAAGTGGCGCAAGTTTTTTTTGACCAATCACAGGGAAAATAAGAAATCAATACCAATGTAATACCTGATTATTTTCGACACTAAATTCAAAATTCTCCGTCGAACTTGGCGATTGCCTTTGTTAAATAGTTTACGACAGTGACTAGGCGACAAAAAAAAATTTGGAAATGTTTGGTTTTATGTTAATTTAAAAGTTAAGACTGTGCGACCTTTGCTAATGTTACTGTTTACAAGAACACCTCGACAATTTTTAACAACAACAACCAAAAAATCTTTCTTAACAACAATTTTTTAGTCTTAAAGATCAGATGTTCTTGGCGGAATTTGTATGATGCCTACTCTTCATTCTAAACTTGATAAATTATCAGGAAATCAGCAAAGATCGCTCTACAAGGGCAGAACGGAGAAAGAATAGCTTAAAAGAAACCAGAACGCCTCACGATTGAGTGCCAAAAGACCAAGAGCAGAAAAATCACGACAGCCAATCAGAACAGAGGTAATTATCACAACGCGCCCATGAAATCTTAAAATAAAAGCACTTAAAGTCTTTAGCGCGGGAACACACGAGATACAAGGTCGCGATTGGTTTTAGTTTTGAAGCTGATTGGTTGAGAACCGAGTGGCGCGAGGTTTTTACGCCAATCACAGTAAAGGGTCAGGAAACCTTATGAAATTTGGGATATTTTAGACACTCAATTGAAAAGTGCCCCTTCTCACACAAACCTCTTATTCCTCAGAGAAAGTAAAATTTACTTCGACTTTAGAAATGGCAGTCGGACGAATTTACAATTGACCATTCACTAGGGGAAATATCTGGAAAATTCAACACTCCCCTACTCCGCATCTTTGAATTTGCTTCCTTTTCTTTTCCAAAACCATAGAGGTGACTTCTTGTCTTTCATCTTTCCCGCTACGTCACCTTGCGTAACTAACGATGAATGATCGACATTGTTCGTTTGGCAATCCCTGTGGGAAGCCGAGCGTCTCGATTTCGGTTCCGAACTCGAGTCGTGAAAGTATGGTGTTGAATCGCATCTCGGTCTGTCCAACTTAACGCACAGTTTGGACAAAGTTGTGTCGGTCTTGGTGGGATTCTGTACATTCGGAGGCGACCGAGCGGCCTCGGCCGTCTTCGGAGACACCGGTTGACTTAATGGCGAAGTTACAGAAAGATCACTTTCCCAGCAGGGACTGCGAGGGGAGATTTCTCCGTCTACCGAATCTACTTGAGATCCCAATTCGCACGAGTTATCTTGTTCTGAGCTCCTCCTTCGAAGACACCTCCTCGCATCTGAATTTGGGATGCTCGCTTGCTCAAGATTAGGGACATTTTCGTCATCAGAGGTAATCACATTGAAACTTTTTAACTGCGAAACAGATCGACTTTTGAGGCTCTCTTTGCTTTTTTTCTGTTTCGACGGGTCGTAGTGAGTCTGGACACGAAGGACCCGATGAAAGAAACTCTTCAATTTACCCGGAGTGTTTTTCAACAAATCATCGGTAGCCGTGTTGAACAGTTTATATCGGCCGGCGATCCACGAGTGTCGGCGTTTCTCGTGTGACCGAATCGTCACCGGAGATGTTTCGTCGGTGCTCACGATGATAGCCGGAGGTGATGATTCCGGCGAGGTTGCACAGTCTGCCACAGCCGCAGTTCCATTTTCACGTTGTATTTCTTTAAAAGGTGGACATGTTTTCTCCGTTGATGGAGTTGTTTCCGGAGGATTCACATTGATCGCTTCGTCAAATTCGGGTCGACGACGGTATTCACCAAGAATGAATTCTAGGTGTTTGGTTGTTTCTTCGAACGTCGGTCTGGCTGTGGGGCTCATCTGAGAAGAACAACAGAAAAAAAATCGGTTAACGTATTAATTAGGATGAGAACGAAGAGGTTTTTACAAACAACACACGAGTTTTATTCTTTATTTCTAGCTGCTACACATTCCCTTGTAACTAATTTACAAGAATTTGGTGTTGGATCAAGAGAACGACTTCCACATGATAAGTTTGAGTATTCTTATTACCTTTTCGCCAGATAATGTATGGATATGATACAGAGAAGTTACATGTTCATCACTTCTGGAAGTTAAGGGTTAAGTTAAGTATTTGAAAAGGACTACTAAAACGGTAAAAACGAACGATAACATCCGACGTTTCGGAGTGGTCATGACTACTCCGAAACGTTGGATTTTATCGTTCGTTTTTACCGTTTTCTGTTAATTGCAGATACGAAACATGTAAAAAAAAAGCTCCAACCTCACATATTTAGAGAGAATTGGATGCAGCTTTACAGGAAAAAAAAACACCTTACAAATCCTGAAACTTTTAGGTCCAATCATTTAAGCAAAGTTTAGCCGTACAAAAGCGCGTTCGAATTCTAAAGCACTTTTATCTGAACATTCATTTTTGAAAACGGTGTCAAGAGAACCGGAAGCTCACGGTGGAAGAACATTCATTCAATTAAATCAACCCTCTTGTAGAGAATCCCAGAGGTCCACTGATTGCCTAAGATCACGATTTAGATTGAATAACTGTCCCAAGTGTTAATCAAATACCAGGAGAAACACAAGTGCAGTTGTAAAATAGTTTCTATCAAAGAAATTTTACCTGGCAACAACAGAGTGCAGTCTGAAGAAACTCATGAGGACAGTCTCCTGTCATCAACTGGAACTTCTCCACATCCAGACCAAATGACTAAACAAAAACAATAATACAAACAACAGAAATGACTTCAAGAGGAAAGGGTAAACTTAAAAAAGCAGATACGTATTCAACACTGAAATATCTTTCAATTTGCGTTACTTACTGTTCCAGAGTGAAAACACAAAACCTGTGCCCTCTACTCAACCAGTAACGTGTTTCACTCTATCCTACTTATCATTATAGATACTGAAAAGTGTTGATGTTTTCATTTCCACAGTAATTGCTTCAAAGGCAAGCTGAGATTTGTTTTTGTTAAAAATACACAACATCCTCTTGATACCATTGTTAAGAATAAAGTGTATATAAAAACAGACATTTCTTGTGATAGATCTTCAACAACAAAGCCATTTCTGTTGACAAACACTACACAAAGCAAATTATTTAGCCAGGACCCACATCTCACAAGCTGCCTTCACATTACTGCCATAGACCGAAATAAAAAAATTCCTCACATCTTGAAAATAATTTTGAATATAGCAAAAAATAACCCCAAAAAAGTTCCTTCTCTCGAGGCTGTGGAGTTTGGTATTGGCAAACTGTAAAACACCCTAATGCATGTCTTTTCTTGTTTTCTGTTGCTCTCTTTAGAAATAGATGAAAAGTTTGACTTGGGATTTGGACTACTTATCAGAAAATCCACAATTTTTTAACTAAGTTATCTGCTTTTACATTTTCAAGAAGAAATCAGGGGCCACACTTACATGTGTTCGAGGCAGCTCATCAGGGTCAGCTTGTACCCGTCCAATTATTTCACATAAAATAATTCCATAAGAAAACACATCAGCCTGGAAAAGATATATAAAAAAAATATATTACCAGTGACATTGAACATGGGCATTCTCTTGCAAATTGATTCAATAGCAAGGCAAAGACCAGAAACATTTCCAGAGACTCAGACCCACAACAAGAAAATCTTCTGATGTACCAACACTTTTCCCTTAACCCTTTAACTCCCATAAGAGATCAAGACATAATTTCTCCTCACAATATTTATACAATATTGAGCAGACAGGTGATGAGAAAAAAGAAAAATATCAATTAGGGGATTATTACTTGAGCCAATACCAAATTCTCCAAAGTAACATCATGGGAATTGTATGACAGATAGTAAGCAGAATTACCAATGAGATTGTGGGAGTGAGAGGGTTCAGACTGAATGCTATAAGAAAGGAGAGGTGGGGGGGGGGGGGGGAAGAGATGGGAGCAGGGCTGAATAAGATCTAATTCGTAAAGGGAAGAAGTAACCTCACACAAGGTTAATAATCCAGATGTATACTATTGCATCACACAGTTCAATCCCTGCTGGGTATTGCTTGAACATTACCTGAAGAACCTACATTATGTAACAGCCTGTTCAATTTTGTATAGTTTAGGCAAGAAGACTTCTGATTAATAACTACCTAAATTTAGAGAAGGTTTGTTTCCAGTCAACCCTGATAATCTAAAAAATTATACTGAGAGATGACACACTGGTGCACAAAGCCCTTATATCAATTGTCAATTCTTGAATCTTCTTTTAAAAGCAGTGGGCATTCTTACATTCAATGCAAAAACTTTGCAGGATTCATGTTGAGTTTTTCATAATATGGCAAGAATTTTTAATTTAACCTTTGTTTTGGGGGCATGCAGGAGAGATGCTGGCTCAACCACCCAGACTGTCTTAAAACTTCATGAAGTTTTTATTTCTAATCAAGCTAAACACTAGAATTGCACAAGTCACGTAAATTGAGACCTAGAAACCCATCCACTTTACTGATGGTTCAAGCAGTTGGACATGTTTCATAACAATGAAAGTTTTAGTAAGTTTAAAACATAGACTTGCAAGAACTGCTAACAATCATGGCAAAATCCTACAAAAGTGCTGATTTCTGCGCTTCTATTCAATACACATCAAACAAACTTCAGAGCACTAATTTTCAAATCAGCTGGTATAAGATTAAGTCTCACAGTTAGCACCTTAAAGTCTGAATATCTAAAAGCTCATTGGCTAGAATTTAATCAATAACTTCCCTATCACCTGCCCCTCGCCTACCTTGTCATCGTAACATTCACCGCGTAAAAGTTCTGGAGCCATGTTAAAAGGAGATCCAACAATTGACTGTTCTCTGCAAATATAAAATATAGTCAAACATAAAAATTTCTCCGAAAACCTTCATGCAAAGCTGAACATTTCTAAACAAAAGGGATCTATAATCAAGAACACACTTAGTACATGTAAAATTTTAAGTAGAAGAATACAAGGGGAACTTTAAGTAACACCTGCCAAGGGGAAACTTTACTTTGAAAACATTCAAGGTGAAATTTCTGATAAAGTGACAATAAACCTATTTCCATATTCTACTGGGCAGACTCTATAGTGTTACAAAGCAATATACACGCTCCACAACCATTCTTAAAACCATTTCTTGCAGATTTAAATATCATTTCTACCAAAAGATTTGTTGTCATTTGAACTCTGAGCCAATGTTATCTCAATGTTTGTTGTGTGAGATGCAAACAAACAAAAATAGCCCATTTTTGAAAAGAAATAAAAACACATGCAAAAACCAGAGTATGCTTCAGACAGGTACTTTGATTCCTAAACATATGTAATGAGAAACTAAAAATTAGTGAAATAATAAATTTTTTGCACAGTTTTGAAATGTTGTTTAATCATGACTGCTACCTTAATTTTACCAAAATATAGGTCATTAGTTTCAACATTATTCAGCACTGTTGTCCTTCAAAAGTTTTTTCTGTAATTAGAAAGTTGATATGGTATTTCCTCAAGTTAAGAGATTCTGATATTCAATTTTCATTACCCAAATATGCTCTTGTATTAGCACAGAAAAAGCATTTCATTGTGAAGCAACCTGTTCTGTTGAAACAGGTCTGAATAAAACAATAGATTATAAAGGTTAAATTAAAAAAAAAAGGTGAAAGAAACTGCGGTAGCTCACATTTCACCAACAATAAATATTCAAACTGGCCCTGAAAATTATTGCCAGCAGCTATAAATAGAGCAGTATTGGAAGGCAATATTTTTAGAAACATGGGCACAACCTTTATTCCATGAGTATACAGGGACCAAAGACGATTTTTTTTTTTTTTAACATAAAACATGTGAAATCGTTAGAGTTTGAATTCTAAATTTTCATTTGATCTCTTTCGGTTTTGGTTGCATAAGTAATGACAATATATTTCACGCCGTCAATCGCTGATCTCATTCAGTAATTCTGAATTCCGCTTCAGAGGCAAACTCGGACAAAGTTATTTGATCTGCGGTTAAATTTTCGTTTTAAATCTAAATAATAACTTTGAAATTCATTTAACCCGACGACTGTACGGTTTAAATGGTTGTTTCCTCAAGGAAATAAACACTTAAAGTTGCTATTCTTTCTTTATTTGGATGTCTTACAACGAGTCGAATATTTGACAAGAAATACTCCTTTTTAGGCAAACACGCGTATTTCAAAAACAAGACGAGGAATCAATTATCTAAAAGCTTACTTGATGTCAGTAGCTAATCCCAAATCTGCAACGATAGCATATCTCCATCCGTTTCTCTCTTTTATCAAGCAATTCTGAAACAAAGCAACAAAATTGCAGATCAAACCGAGAAAAAAATAGACGTTCATGATATTATTTTGTTAAATTCAAAAACAGTCTATAGTTCGTCCAAGATCAGCGATCGAAACTACATTTACATCGAGGTAAAATTGCACTTGCCTTTGATGTTAAATCCCTGTGTATAACGCCATTTTTGTGGAGGTACCTCATTCCTTCAGCGATATCTCTTGCAAGGTATAGTCTCGTCCACCATTCAAGATGAATTGAATGTTTTAATAAAAGTCCTTCGAGGTCACCTCCATTAACAAACTGGAAGAAAATCGCAACCTTAAATAAGTATATTATTACCATGAGAAAATCGTACACAGCAAGTACAATTCCAACTGAAGCGTGCTCCTGAAAAAATACTTCCAGGAAAATTAAGTCGGTTCATTTAGTGGTTGAAAAAAACTCGACGAAAAGTTATTAGTAATTATAATTACCTCGCAAAGAAGATGCACTCTACTATCATCAACGCAAATTCCAAGAAATCTGTGAAAGAATTTAGAAGTGATTAGCTTAACCAGGGTGAAATCGATGTTTACAACCGATCTCCATCGTGTCTGGACGAGAGGAAATTACCAGAAAAATCGGACCAAATATTACCTGATAACATTCTCGTGAGAAAGATGACACATTAACTTGATTTCATCCAGCATCGTACAATCATCTTTTTCCACGTCAGGTTTGTTCATTTTCAAGACCATAACTTCCTCTGTTTCGCGGTGCCTTACCTGACAAACAAAAACAAGAATGAAAACAAGATAGCGAAACTTTAGTCACGAACTTCAAGGAGTTTTAACACGCTTGAAAAATTAACAAACTAAGATAAAGAATTTATTCTACCTTGTACACATCTCCGTAAAATCCATCAGCGATTTTGGAGCATATAAAGTCATTGTATCGGTAGATGCAAGAGTTTGGAATTGACGAAGGTATATCTAACAAGCTCCGGTCGATTTTTTCGGACTCGTCTTTTATAATCCTACAATCGACGGAGTTGCTTTTCACCTCGCCATTCCAAGTAGCAGAACCATCCATAGGGACAACCATAGGTGTAATTTCAATAAAACGTGAATATCAGCTTGGTTTTCCCGCCTGAAACAGCATATTAGAGCCGACTTTCACTACAATTCGACCACACATGTTCCCATAGTAGATCTGTTTAGTCGTATTGTGTTACGCGGGCCTTGTAAACTTGACCCACGGCCTCACGGGAAGGATCACGGATCCTAACTTTTGATTGGCTAATCGCTGCCGTCTTGAAACATACTCCTGTCAATCAAATGTGTTCGTTATTGTCACAGCTAAAAGGTTTGTTGAGCGTGAAACCACAAAGAATGCTAACATTATTAGCGTGATCACCGAGCTGTAAATGGTAAACAAATGCTTGTGGGAAAATACACAGTGTCTATCTTGTTGTTGTTTTATGGTTTCCTTTGCAGGCAACTCTCAGCTGATTTTTAAGAGCAATTTCTAATGCTACACACTCTCATTGCAGATTTTATTCAGAACTTCTCTCTAATCACGCACTTAAATAAAGCTCTTGTTTTATGTATCACTGTCACGACTCGAAACTAAAATTTGCATAAGTTTCTCGAACGAAAAGCTGGATAAGGAAATTACACGAAAAAGTTGTGCATAACAAAGGTTTAAACAATACAAAGAAAACTGAAACAGTGTCGAGGGTTTTTTCCTCAACTGAAAGGCGTATCTGCCGTATTCATTGTGTAAAACGAAAGACAGAGAAGACATCAAAATGAAAATAATTTCATTTAATTTCCTTCATTAGAGTTTGGTACGCCCACGTTGAAAGAGATCTCAATGTGACCGAGAGAAGGGGGGCGGGGGTACCTTTATTCTTTTTGGGGAATTGTGCAGCCCTTCGTCACCCTACCTATTGAAGAAATATGTTGATCTTTGCGATTCCACCTTGTGGAATCAAATCCAGCATATTTAGACAGGATTTTATGATCAGTTTACAGGCCACGCATCGTCGAAGTTTACACGCCCCCCCCTCCTCCACCCCCCCTCCCCCTACGTGCCTTGGTTGTATGGTGAGAACCCATCACTCAGCTAAGAGGTTAACACGTTTTTGTGACATACAAGAAGGCCCAGAATACGATATCGTTGGCATTCTCTCTCCTCTCACAAAGTGTAGGCTCATTGAAGCTGATGCGTATGCTCTACTCAACATAAACATCTGTGCACTCTTGCGCAATAACTGCATACACCTATTCAATTTCACACAATAAACCCGGACATTTCCAGTTGATTTAATGGACGTCTTTCAACGATTCATTCTCTCAAGTGCCATGTCACAACGCCTCCACAGCGAGTTTGAGTCATTGTTGTATGGAACAATTGGAAAGTTTTCAACACAGCTGCATTCGAGGTAGTCTTGGATAGAAGGAAAAGTAATTTGGGAATCATCCAAAACTATAGCATATTCGCTTGAGGTCCTCAGCCTGACAATTTTCAAACTTAAGTTAAACAGGAATTAAAACCGTAATGATGTAATGATTCAAGACTGGTTCTGAATAAAATAACTTTATTTACATCAAGGCAAAGAAGATAAAAGAAGTTTTTCCAAAGTACAGAGTCAAAGTCTTTAAACCTGTGATTATTCTCAGTGGTTATCCTACACAATACGTGATTGAGTGTTGTCCCCGAGAGTCCTTAATTGAAACATATATTATTGATGATCAGAGCTTCCTCTGTAGTGCAATTGCTTAAACTACTTTACAGGGCTTTTCCTTTAAAAATTGGGAAAGGAGGTTCAATTTCTCTCTATTGAATCCCTTTGGCACTCTTCCGGTGACTTTTGATGTCGGCTCAGCTGCGTCGATTGCGAGAACGTCTTGTGACATTTTTCGCATTTAAACGGTTTCTCTCCCGTGTGCGTGCGAATATGATTGTTTAGTGTCGTTGCACCAGCGAATGAGCGACCACAGAATCCGCATTTAAATGGTTTCTCGTTTATGTGGACGACAACGTGTTCCCTCAGCTCAGCTGGGCCTGGGAACGATGAAGGGCAGTGCCCACACTGGTAGGGGCGATCTGGTGACTAAACGGGACAAAGAAGTCACAAGGTATCAGTCAGCCTTTATTTGTATGGTGATAAATGTTTCCATCTTTCTGCGAGCAAACGTCCTCTCCCCCCTCCCCCCTCCCCCCTCCCCCCCCAAAAAGGAAAAATCTGCAACATCGTCACCTCACCAGAAAATTTGAGCTTTTCGGTGCATGTCATAATCATTTTCCGGATAAGGCAAACTCAGATATTTTTCCTGATAATAGAGATTTCGCGAACCAATAGCCGCTCTAGGTTTAGCATAGTAATAAGAACAATATCATTGATACCTAACAGCTTACCTGTGGGCACACATGCATCTGAAGAAGCACCCTTTGTGAAAACGTCTGTGTACACTGACCGCACCTCCAAATATGGGGCTCTCCATGATCTTTCAGGCCCAATCCAAAAGGGTCCAGTGGCCTTTCGTGGTCATCAAACTCCTTTGGGAGAAAAAAGACGAAGCGTTGTCAAAGCACGTTTTTATATCAAAGCGAGGAATGAATACTTAAGAATAAGATTTCTTCCCTTAGCCGGCAGCCTTCAAATAATCTAAAAGGATTTACGCCTTTAAGGAAAGGGGAAAAAGTAGATTTTTCATGCATCTTATCTTTTATGCACCTGGTCACGTACATCTTCAAAAAATGGCTCCTCTTCCATTCCTGGAGGCTTCCACTGAACTGTGTGCTCTAAAATAGGAATAAAGGGTATGAAAGTTTTTAAGGATTGCATAAACGCCAACACTGATCGATAGGTTGTCCGGAACCTCAAGAAAATCTTTAGACTATGCCCTCAAACGAGAGATAACACATCTATCAAATAATTGAGAGATTACGAGCACCCTGATTGGTTAAAAACTTGTCAGTTATTGCACCGGTAAACCCATGGGAAATTAAAAAAATTGCAAGTATATTAATACTATGAAATAACTAAGGCACGGTGAGTTCGCTGATTGGTCAAAAACCTAACATTTATCGCGTCGGTAACCCATAAAAGTTAATTAAATAAGAGCAATAGGCCGCACTTTCTAGCTGTCGGTTCACTACTTGGGATGTTGGGAGAACACTCGAAAGGTCTGTAAATCACTCGTCTCCGGCTTGTGATTTATAAACTTTTCTCGCCTGAAAAATGCTTAAAAATGATTCATGTTCCGTATGCTCTTCTTACCTTTTATAATCCTTGCTTTCATTAACGCTGGTACATCAATGAACTCGGAGTATTGTTCGTCGTACCACACCAGTAGTTCCCGCCCGGCCGGAATATGCCTGAATGCCCGGTAGTAAATATTCCCGCAGTACTGAAACACCGTCATATTCTGTTCTTCTCTATACCGCGCGCACTGAATGAACCTCATCCAACTGGACAAGTATTCTTCACTTCCATCGATAAAATGGCTGAACTTTCCGTCTTTGTAAATCTATCACGTTAGTAGAAAAAAAGGTTTCCAACACAGAAACTCCAGGGTTTAGCAAGGGAGAGGTCTTACTCACGTTCTGGTAACCCTCTTTTCGTGTCATAGAAAAGGGATCTTTTAAAAAACAGAACTACCTGTCACACCCCCAGAGTTCACGTAAGACGCTGATAGAGGACCGTCCTACCGAAAAGACCTGTTCACATCATGACTCTTTCCCAGGTCTCTCTTTCTTCCGCTAACTGGTGGGAAAATAAGAGAGAGCTTGGGAACGGGATTGAGATGGATTTGTAACTTCACCTAAATGGGACGCTTGTCTATTCAAGGCAATTCCACAATTCTATTCGGGGACACAATTGCACTCCTAATAAAATTTTGCTAGTTTACTCAACAATTGAAAAGCCTCAATTTAAAATGCTGTGTGGGGAGAAACTCGGAGAGAGTTCAGTGACTTCAACGCGTAGAAAAATACCCAGAGTCTCCATATTTCATGTTCATCATTTTCCTTTTTTTCTGTCTCTCTCAAGCTCAGTCTGAGCTAATGCTGTTAAAGACAATAAACACCTCATCCTTATCTTAATTAAAACTGACTGACATCACGCCGAGAGGAGTTTTAACGGTTTGGCTAATCAATTGTCAACATATCGTCGTAAATAATAATAATAATAATAATAATAATAATAATAAAAATTCCACATAGAACAAGGTGTCCTCATACCTCCCACATGTAAATATTATGCACCCCCTCTCGCAGTTCATCGCACCTAACAACCTGGCCTTCATAAGGACCGATCCAAGTTCCGGGGGGAATGGGCTGAGCTGCACACACTCCAAACTCCGCCCCAGGAACGCTTGACTTGCAGAGTTTCACTTCATCCGGGAACACCATGGATGGGCTTGGTAGAGAACATCGCTTTTTCTTACGTTCTAAGTAGAGGTAAAAAGATTCATTAGAACAAAAAATTTTTTTGATAGTATTCAGTATTCCTGAAGGAATACTTCTCAAATTAGTACCTGGGTTGTTTTCCTCTCGCTTGATAATCTTCCGCTGATCTCCAGGGATTGCAGTCTCCACAGCCGTATGTCCATACAAATACATACAAATCTCCTCCCAGGTGAATGGTGGCCTCTGGGATCTAGGCCCTTGTGGTTTACGTTCATTTGGATGCTGAACTTTACTCATGGCTTCTCTGGAAAAATAAAAAAAGCGAAGTGAGAACTTTTTTCGGCAGTCAAAACTCGAAAAGGTTCTCGTTTCTCGTTACCCTAATCTTGAATCAAAGACTCGTTGAAGTATTTCAGTGCCTTCTCAATCTGATTTTCTCTGTTCCGTAATGTATCGAATGAATTCCTATACATTTCTTTGCAAGTTAGCTTGGTCCAGAAGAAAAACATAAAATAAAAGACGCAAGGAGCAACTTTTAATCCTTTGTACCCTAACATTGGCATTTATATTTTCCACATTGTTCTCTCAACAATTCCCATGGTGCTGACAAGCAAAAGTGGACAAACGAGTGTCTGAGAATCAGTAATGTCGAAAAAATTGGAGGGGTAAAAATCTACCCGAATTTCGAACAGGTTTTATTCAAAATCATGTTGATGTCTTGTTTCTTAATTACGTTGAATCTATTCACTGTTGATGTTTCATCTACTATTGGGGCATGATTGAAAAGTGAAAAATAAGAAAGCTGGGTATTTGTGTGAATGAATGCAATTTCCAACAATATCCTCGAGAACTGTTAGACTGTCCTAAGTTGCTGTTCAATTTGAAGACATTAAATTTGTCTTCCCACGGAGTAATGTAAAACAATGAAACATTTTGAGTTTCATCTTCTATCTTTGTTTACTTATGGGTTTTGCTGTTATAGTTATGGAATTTACCTTAATTTTCACCTGAACAGTTACCACAGTAAGACAGTCTAAGTTTTCCACTGGAAGGTGTTGCCTAGCCACCGAAACTATGAAGTCAGCGATTTGTCCATCGCAAACAAAGCGCGCCAAATGATTCCAAGGGTAGCCAGCAGAATTAACTAACAAATTGCTTAATACTCTGTCATGAATACAATTTTCTTGGTTTTAGTGGATGTTTACGATTTCTTGGGGTTTGTTTCCAACACTTAGCAGGCAATCTGGTAAATAATTCAAGGAAGGGATACTTTTTACCACACGGTTTGTGAAGGAATATATATTGTCCAAAACTTGAGTGTTAATTTATAGGCATTTGTGCAAAATAATTGATAAACAACCAAGAGTAAAACACCTTCAAATTTGGCTTGAGACCTTCTTGAAAAAAGGTTTAACAATTAAAAATCACACGCACCTGTTTGGATCAAAGCAAACATACCTATTTTCCTTTGTTTCTTTAGAGCTTAAAGTTGTTAACAAACGAAGCCTTCGTAAACGTTTGGAGTATTTACATCATGGTTGTGTCAAAATGGTTGGAGATTTAGTGTAAAATGAATTTCGCATTTTAAAAGGCAAAAACGTTGTGAATTGGCTACGCTCTTGTAATAATTGTTTGTTTTATTTCTGCTGAAGTATCAACAAAAGTTCTCGCTATTGCGACATACATATCGAAAAACTATTTCTCAAGTCCTAACAAATCATACAATCAAGAACACTTGTCACCTTGGTGGAATTCGTGCCTTAAGTTATCCCCAAAAGTCTTCCTTGTGCATATTTGAATGATAGCAAGTAAAGCTGTCATAAAATCTACACTTTTTGACAGGAATGTTTAATTTGTTAAGCAGGTAGTTTAACTTGGGTTGTTATCAATATTGATAGTGAGAATACCTCCGATATAGACCACCAAGGGCACAGAGATAAGCGAATATCCCAGCATGGGCAATATTGTCTAAGAGGATACCTCAAATAAGTCTGTAGGTTGGAAATGTAAAGAAAAGATATACGAAGTATACCAGAGTTTTTCCTTCTTATAGAACGGAATGGGTAGCGAATATCGAGAGGTATGCTAAATTCAAGTTATAAAAAGCGTGAATAAAGCTGCTTGGTATTTCTGTGGATGAAGAGAGGTATTGAACACACTCTCATAGAACCCTAAATCATAATCGAATCAACCATAAATAGCATTCTGAATCTAACACAAACTACGAAAAAAAAACCAAAACATTCTGAAATTAACACAAAATATGTTCTTGACAAAAATACCTTACTCGGTGTCTTAAAAAATTTAGAGAAACTCTCGACTAGGAGCAACCCTATTGTATTTAAGATGCTTACAGAAACAACTAAGTAAAAAATTGCCCTCCTTTTTTTTTCATTTCAGTTAGGGACGAAAAAAAATCGGTTTGTCATGAATCACTCTGACATCAAAGCCTGCACATTAACAGCCTGCAATATCTGCCAATTTTAGGGAGAAATATGTTAATTAACAAATTTTGATATCAACTTAACTTTGGATGTCATAATTCTAGCTGTAAGATGACGTACTGCCAAAATGGAATTTTTTTCTACATACAGACCATCACAGTGGAAACATTCTGTCAACTCGAACTTTCAATTACGAGTTGAATTTTTGCCAGAATCTTGCGCAAGATCGACCTACGAACCCCCATCGTTGTTCCAAAGGAAACGAGTGAAAAAAGGAAATAATGAAAACAACATTCTCACTGTTCAGCTAATAAAATAAAAAGTAACCGAGACATTGCTCGACAAGAATTAAGTAAAGAATTTCCCTCACAGTTTGACACCGAAAAAGTTTACCACAGAATTCAGAACATTTTCTACGACGATGTTCGCGCGAAAGTGAGAAGTCGAAGAAAGAAAGAACTAATGCACAGTTTTTTTGTTTCTTTAGGAATTCCTCTCTATTGTCACTGAAACTTAAAGTTTCTTCTGTCTGCAGAGAGGACCGAACTACTGCCACAATAACTGACAAAATACGTGAAGTTTCCATCCAAGTTTTTCCTCAGTATAAAACTATTTGCAAGAGACAATAAATAATACAAAGCCAAGATCGAATCGCACCAGTAACTTACCCTCAAAATAAGGACAAAAATTAGTCAGAATTTAGGTCAAACTGGGTTTGTCGATACAACCTTCAAATGCTGCAAAACCTATACCAGGAATGAATAAAGAACCATTCTCTTGCGTTCAGGCCAATTTCTGACCACGAAAGACACGACCCTATCACTGAATAAAGCGGCCTGTTTTTGCTTTTAGTTTATTTGGGGCTTTGTTGTATTAATTAAACCTAATCAAGCATTTGTCACCTGCCAAATAATAGTAAAACCGGAGAAAAACTGCTATTGTGGCGTTCAGTGGGTGGAAGCACTTCCAATTTCCACTCCTTAAGACTGCAGACTTTTGGATTAGACATCCTTTTTCTCAGCAAATCCTACCCATTTTTTTGCAAATAACTATATTTTTATAAATCTACTCCCACGCCACTTATTTATATAATTTTGCAATTGGAAATTTTCAGGGTTTTGATTATACACCGCAGATACCGAGTGTTATGGACCGATAAATGATTCAGAGTGGTGTTACTGTTATCTCGAAAACTATAAAGCATTTTATCATAAAATGTAGATACTTGAAGTGCTGAAGGGTTCACGCCACTCATTATTTTAGCAAAAAGTCATCTTTTCCGGGTTACACAAAAATTGTCGAAAAATATTTTGTGAAAATGAAATAAACTAGTATCTTGTGTAGTAATAAGGGCCAGCGTTTAAGTTTAAAAAAAATGGTTATCAGTCAGAAAGCCTTGTTTTTTCCCTGGTTGCATTAAATTAACTGGTATTTAGTGGCTGTGGAATATATTCCTTTTTTAATTAAAATTAAAATTTTTAACACAACAAAATATCATACCTTCCAGATTACCTTAACAACACATCATTACCAGTTCCCATCCAATTATTCTTTCCCACTCAATTATCCATCTTCGAGATTCAATATCACCAACTTCATGTGCATAATTCAACGTTGTGTCAGACTGTCAAACAAAAATCTGCTCTTTATGACAGAAAATTTTAATTTGTAAAGCAGGTACTTTAACTTATACTGTTATTAATATTCATCGGGACCATTTTTGAAACCTGACCGCCAAGGACAGGCTATAAATATCATATCATTGTGGTCAGGAGACAATGGAATGGCGCGAGCAAACTAAAATATTTTAATTTCTCTCAAAGGAGAAAACATCGTCAAAATGATCAGAAAATAAAATGTAAAAAAATCCGTGATGTCTTCTTGAAAATTTTGAGAGATGGACAATTTACAAACACACGAAAACAAATAGGGTGAAAAGATGAATAAGACAATGAACAGGGTGCACTGACAGACCTGAATAAGGAACAGAAACAATCTCGCATATATTTGCTGAAGAAAAATTCTTCAGCACTTGAAGTCGTAGGAAAGTATGGCTTAAAAGATGAAGTGATCTTACAAAATAAATATCCAAACAGTGTCATACAAGCTTTTACATAGAGTTTCGTACATTTACTTATAATAGTTTGTGATAATGAGAAGTCGGAACTTCCTTTTTTAAAGAACATGAATAAAGTGTACCACAAGTAGGTGAGTCTAAGTATTAGTCAGGGCAGTGCACTTGAGTTGTATGCCAGACTACCTTTTATCCGGACGTAACACAGAGCCAGAGCGAATATAGCAATCCAACACAACTTTGACACGATACCACATTACATCATGCAGAGTATATATGACACAACGTTAAAGAAATGTTAAGCTAATTTCATTTAAAAAATGTCTGAAAAAACTGGAACATTATCCCGAAATATTTGGAAAGAATATCTCTAGGAAGCACAGTTCAGTGTGACTCAATTTGATATGAACAGAACAAATTTCTTTTCGTCATAGAGTATTCTAACGACACAACAAGGAAATTGTTTTTGAGGCGACAATTTGACAATTAATTTTTAACTCAACGATGTCTTGGTATTAAAGTTTTCTTTAAAATATTCTAAACAATCACATACTTGAAAATCTAGGGATATAACCAAGAGAAGTTACGAATTGATCCAAATAAAATGTGTTAAAATGTTTTGAATAACTCCATCGAAATACCACTGAGACAAGGGAAAAGCAAAAATTATCCTCGTTAGAATTTCTTGTCTTATAATTTTTTTGGTAATTAACACGATAAAAGTGATGTTCTCTTGCACGCTATCTTGAACGGACTCCAAAAGTTGATGGAAATAATAATTCAAACAAAACGCCATCAGTTGTTTCAATAATAATTTATCTTTGGGCTTGCTGCTGCTATAATTATGAAACCACTCTCGACTGAACTTCACGAGTTTCTCTGTGCTTGAAGTTATAGTCTGTTCTTGAGCCACAAAAGAAAACATACATCAAATATGTTATTTTTTAAAATAACCACAATCTTAACCACTACAAAACGGTTTGAAAAGAAGTTAACACCTTTCCTCATGAATCTAATTTACTCAATTTTGACATGGTTGTAAATTTCTAAGGTTTTGTTTACAACACTTTCTGTAGGCTATTTATAAATAATTAAGCACCTCAAGCTACTTTTACCACAGTTTCGTAAACCTTTCGGTTTTTTTTTAATTCAAAACTATTTCCAAAAACAGTGATAAGTAATAATTTTTTCTGGCATCATAGGCTTTCATAATCTATTATCTGTGCTCACTGAAACCGACTTCGCTTTTACACAGAAACGGTTTCGAAAACTTGAATTTTATCACCTTCCCCCGCAAACAACAGAATAAACGAGTTTTAGATGAACACATGTTTCCTCTCCAAAGTACAGTGCTTAAAACGGTTCTTGGATCAAGAAACTTCCTTAAAAATAGCTGGACTGATTTCCAAAACTAATAAAATATATTTTGCGGCTTACTAACATTTTGCGATATTTTTATAACAATTTTACCTCATAGTTAGATAACATCAAGGGATTTACACCAACTAATTAAACATAATACCTTAAAACAGTACACTATATCTTACTTTTCAGCATGTATCATGGTTAAATCCTCTGGGTTAGGCCCCCAAAATACTGTCCTCTGCATAATTGGATTATCTCAAGTCCAAATGTCATGAAATCCGCACTTTTTGCCAGAATTGTTTAATTTGTCAAGCAGGTAGTTTAACTTATACTGTTTACAATATTCATGATGTCAATACTTGGTATAGACCGCCAAGGGCAGGGAAATACTGCATAATATCAGCACGGCCGAGCAAATATCGCGTGAACTACAGACAGTGAAAAGGTACAACCCGTGTTTATAACTAAGATACAAGAGGATTCAAGTTTGTAGAACATGACTGCTTCATAACTACGACAATGTTATAATTACTGTCAGTGTCAACTTTAGCATTATTTGTGAAATTATTTCGGCAGATATCACTTATGGCAAACTACTTTGTGACACATCCCAGCGTGTTTACAGTAAACGTTAATAAAATTTTTAGTTTTCTAAAGGTGGCAATACACTCCCAAATTAACCAAAACTGAAAAAGTAAAAATGTGAAATTTCTTGAAGACAAATAAAGATTGTTAGCTCTTCAAAAATCATAAATCATAAACGAATCTAACAGCTTCTTACAAAAACTAACATAACAAAGTGGGAATTATAAGGATGGGCGAATTTCTGTTTGAGAAAATCAAATGCAGAATTCCTTATCAAAAGTTCTATCCCCTAGTATAGGTGATGTTAGAGAAAATCTTGACTTTTTTCTTACTTGATGTCATAATTACGAACCCCCCTGTAATAGAAATATTTTGATAAAAATATATTCCATCTGAAAGAAGTAGAAATATAGAGCTATCTATCGTAATTTATTTACGTTATTTAATTTCTCTCTTTCTTATCAAGGGAACTTAAAAGTTATCTGAAACATTCAAAAATTTTTTTTAATGCATAAACATTATTTTTAGTTTGATGCGCGTATAAAAAAATTGGCTCATGTATATGAAACTAACCGCGGACATATTATGAACCAACATTTTGCTTTACCTTAGCCTAAGAGTTTAATGTCACAGCTAGACACGTTTGTATGCTAACAAAAGATTTTTGTGGGGTAGAGACTATAACCTCATACTTTGAGGTTTGGTACAAATTATTATCTGCAGACACAACATTTCTCAAAGAGTTTAGAGTTTAAAAAACGGAAGGCAAAGATAATTTGCCCGCAATTAAGGAGCCCGTAAGGATTTCACTAAATTTGAAAGCAGTCTCATGACAAAACAAGTAATTTAACAAGCTTAATAAAATTTCGCTAGCTCTTTCTGACAAATAGATATAATGTCAGTAAGAATAAAAATTATCCTCCTGGCTTCCTAATGTAACAGTCTTGAATGGAACTTCAAAAGTTTTCATGCCAAGAGCTAACGTTTCTATACCCGAACTCCTGCTATCATGGTGCAGCGCCTCGAACGCTTTCCTAATCGTCAATTCTAACAATTTCGTTCAAAAGATGGATTAAATTTTTATTTTATTCTCGCGTAACCATGATCAGAACTCTAATAAGATTGTCATGACATCTCGAAAAGTAGTCCAAGTCTTTTGCTTCTCATGAGGTTCTTTGGCTGTTACCTTTAGTATCATTGAGATCTTTGCTAAAAAACTGCGGTATCGTTTCGAAGATTATCATAAAATTTCCAGTTTTCGACAGAAGAATCTGAGTTGACAAGCAGGTTGTTTAACTATATTTTTCTTACGCATTTGTAGTAACCACATCATTAGCATATCGACATATGTACGTGAATGCGACTGAATATATATCAGTGTCGTGAAAAATTGCAGATGAACTTACAACTTAAGACAATAAGTCTGATCCCCTCTCGCAACACGGCTGTATTCCCAAAAAGTAGCTCAAGATTACCCATTTACTGACTGCACCAAGAAAATTATCTTGACTGCACCTAGAAACGAAAAGTTTAGCGTGGCAAAAACAAATTTTGAAAATTTAAGTTCGTTGAAATAACGAACTTAAATTGATTGATTTCAAGACTCTCTTGAAACGAACCAACAGAATTTGAACAAAGGAAAATTAAAACAGGCGTAGTCAAAACAAAAAGTTTTAAACAAAAATGTTGGGAAACTAATACCTCTCCTAAAACAAGATACAATCCAAATATTCAGCGAAAAACTGAAACTTCCTGAGAGAATTTCTTCCTTTCCTTGAGAAAAGACCGAAGTAATTTTGTTAAAATCTCTTCGATCTAGACTCTGCAAAGCGTTTACTCTTGACAATAGCATGTGTTTAGCAGAAACATTGCGAAACTACCTGTTTCAAAATTCATAACATAACGATCAGGTACTGATTGAAGACAGTGAGTTTCTTACGCCCATCTGCGTAGGTAATCTATAGAAAACTACATCATTAATATTTGGCAAAGAGTGAGACACTGGATATTTTTAAATTCAGAAGACCTTTTCTTACCAAAACAAGGATAAATAAAAATTGTCTGAAAACAAGCACGGCCATTTGGTCATCTTTGAACAAGCTTGTTGGAATTTCAAGTCTTCAGTTTATTTTTAAACTGAAAAGACAAGCTTTGTAAGAAAAACATTTCAGTGTAAAACATCAGTCGCTGTATATTAAATTTTCTTCTGTTCCGTCAAATCCGTGATCTTGTAGGAGCATATTTAAGCCTATAAGCTTCTGTAAAAAAGAGGATACAATTTCATCCATTCTTTTACCTTCGAGAACCTTACAACCACTTTCCCCGGAGTTATTTGGAAAAAAACCTATGGATTTGTTTATGATCTCAGGTGATTTTATCCGTAATCACCGCGTGCCTCACAAAGGTTTTCTATGCCCTAAATAACCTTGTACTTGGAAAAAAAACCTGATCATTCGGATAAAATTAATAAGTCCTTCTCAGAGGAAATACAATATCTCGTCTTATTATTGTACTCTGTTCCATTCTAATGGCATGGGAACCGACCGCATCATTTATCATAAACACTCTGTGTTCGATTTGGTCTATTTGGGGTTTTGTTGTTATAATTGAGAAATCACTCTTTTGTCACCTGGTAAAAAAATTATTAAACTCACACTAAATTTGATTCTTTGTTATTGTGCGGGTAGGATTCACAATTTTATTCAGTCAAGATATATCAAAACAAAAGTATTGTGTAATCTTCAATATGCATCGGAAAATGTTGCAACGCAGTTAAGCCGAAATTTGAATCGAGGAGTCTAAACCGTTTTACCAACAAAACTTAAACAGTTTTCTGTTCCATTGTTTATTCAAGGGGCTGGTTTCTAAGCTATTCAGCGGGCCATCAATAAATCATTCATGTTCAAAGCTACTTTTTGCCACAAGGTTTATGTAGAAATTTTATTTCAAACAAAGCAAAAAATTTCTGTATCTGTATTTTTCATTGGCGAAATTCAATAAAATTTCACCCTCCTCTTGAACCAACGGAAGTTTCAAATTCGGAGTATTTTTGTCAAAATGTCACATCTTGTAACTCAGTACCTCTTTTTGAGTTTGTGAAAATACCTCAATGAGACTTAGAGATCTGCTAAACAAAATCAAACCATCTACTAAAATCTTATTTAATTATCTCAAAGATAATCTTATCTTTGGAGGAATATAGAAAATTTGCGTCTTCAGTTGGGTGAGAACATAAGGGACATTCGATTCTCTAGGTGAAAAAGTTCAGAATTGATACTTAACACCAATTTCTCATCAGCGTAACTAATAACAACCTCATATCACCAGTTAATAACATCACGAATTCACACCGTTTGTATGAAAACTAAAATTCACAAATCACAGCCTTACTAACCTTGCAGGATCTGCAGCAGTTTTTAGGTCATCAACTCGCTTTAAAACTCCAGCCTTGTGCATAATTGAATCACCTTCAGTGGACCTGTCAAAAAATCTACACGCTTTTGACAGAAATGTTTAAATTGTCAGGCAGGTAGTTTAACTTATACTGTTATCAATATTAATGACCGAAATATTTGTATATTGACGGCCAAGGACACAGAAATTGAAAAACCAGCGTGGTGTGGGTGAGATTGTAAATAACGACACAAGTAAGTGGTTGATATTTACAGGGAAAAAAAATGCTTTAGGACTACGATCCTGTTAACGATTATCGTATTCACTTTTAAGATCTTAAAAGCAATTCTCCCTTCTAACTGCTTTTACTAAATGTAGAAAGTTTGTTGGAGCTACTTCTCAATTGGAGTCGAAAGTAATCAAGATTGCTTTGGTTGTGCTTCATTTCGCCATGTGATTGGTCTAGGAAACTCACGCCACTTTCTCAACCAATCAGATTAAAAACTAACAGCCAATCGCGACTTGGTCTTCTGCGTTTTCCCGCGCTTAGCAAGCAGTTTGCTTGTTTTCGCTTAGGGCTCTTATTGACGCCCTGTGATGTTTTCGTGGCTCTGATTGGCTATTGTGGTTACCTTGGTTTTGGATAGAGATGTTCTCTACATCTCGACCTGGCTGATAGATTTTTGTATTCTCATCACTTGTTTGCTGGATAATGTATTGATATTTTGAGGAGGAGTAATATATCAATCACTTCTAGGAGTTTTCTTATGCCTTAAGTGATTATGAGGAAACTTCTTCGTTTCAATATCGACGCATTTCCAAGCTAAACGGTGGTGAGCATTGAAAAACTAATCTACTCGAGAGTTATAGCATGATATCATCATCATCATCATCTGGTCGAGCTTGCTTGGTATTCCATGACACGCTCCCTCCACCTTTCTCTGTCTTCCATTGCAGTTGGTAGTTCTTAAATTCTGCATCCTGTGTCATCCATCAATTGGTCAATGTAGGTCTTTTTTGGGCGTCTTCTCGGCTGATGTCCATGTGTTGGCTTCCAGAGTAATACATCCCCTGCTAGTTCTTCTTTACTGCGCCAACAATGTTCTGCGAATCTCATCCTTTGTTGCTATAGCGATTTACTGATTGGCGTAGAGCTCTACGTTTGTGGGGTGGTCCTTCCACGATCTGTTTAAGGCAATGCGTAGCATTCTAGTGTATGCTCCGTCGATTTTCTTTTCCAGATGTGTTGTTAAGGTCCAGGAGACTGAACCATGGAAAGGACGGTCTCCACTGC